CTTTAACTTTTTCAAAATTTGAAATATTAAAAAAAAAGAAAATTTTGAAACTCCTTTATAAAGTTTAAAAAATTTAAAAAATCGTGTCCATTTTTTAAATTTTGTGGTTGGTTATCGTTTAATCTAAATTTTCAAATTTTTCAAAATTTTTCACTAAAAAAATTTAAAAATTCTGTAAATTTTGCAAATTTTCATAATTTTGTGGTTGGTTTTAGTTTAATATAAAATTTTTAAAATAACCAAAATATAAGAATCTTAAAAAAAATAAAAAATTTCTAAGTTTTAAAAAATTTTAAATATTCCGTAAACTTTTGAAAAACTTCTAATTTTTAAAAAATTTTGGTTGGTTATTGTTTAATGTAAAATAACCAAAATTTTCCAAAATTTTCAGTTTCAAAAATTCTGTAGGTAATTTATGCAAATTTTTGAAAATCTCATAGATTTGAAAATTTCAACTTAAAATTTTTTTAAAATTCTTTGAATTTTTAAAATCTCAAATTTTCAAAATTTACAGGTCTTCAAAAATTTAAAAATTCTATAAATTTTGCAAATTATTGAAAATCTTGTGAATTTTCATAATTTTGTGGTTGGTTATAAAACTTTTGAAATATCAAAAATTTGAGAATCTTAAAAAAAATTCAAAATTTCCAGTTTTTCAAAATTTTAAATATTCTGTAAATATTTGAGAAACTTGTAAATTTTCATAAATTTGAGGTTGGTTATATAAATATAAATTTTTTTAAATATCCAAAATTTGAGAATCTTAAAAAAAATTCCAAATTTTCAAAATTTCTAGGTGTTGAAAATTTTAAAAATTCTGTTATTTTTGAAAATCAGATTTTTTAAATTTTCATAATTTTGTGTTTGGTTATCGTTTAATCGATTTTTTTTTAAATAACCAAAATTTTCAACTTTCTTAAAATTTTCTAAATATTAAACAATTCTGTAAATTATGAAATTTTTTTCAATTTTGTGGTTGGTTATCGTTTAATCCTGTTAAATTTATTTATTATTTAATTGTGTATTTTTATTGGTAATTTAAAATAGCTATTATTAACCATTAAACTAATAATTATTTCTCCTGCCACCTGCACGTGTAATAAAAACGAATCTTAACCTTAAATTTAATTATTCATACCTACTCTTTTTTGTTCTTGTTTTTGTCATACTTTCCTAGTAGTTTGGGAATCGTCACCAAACACAAAAGCGCTCATTCCTAAAATATCAAATCTCTCCCTCAAAATACTGTATTTTTAGTAACAAGTTTTATGATAACCAACTCAAAATTTTCTAATTCTGAACTTGAAACCAGGCGGTATTATCGCCATTCTTTATACCACAGTCAGCATTTATTATATTTATAAAACCCACTGACTCATTATAACAACAAACTTACAAAAATAAATAAACATGTTTACAATGGATTCGAAAACAATTACACGTTTAGATGACCTGTTAAAACATTATTAGAGTAATTTAATTACAAATAAAATCTAGAACGCCACAAATTAAATACATTGTATACAATAATTACAATTATTATCGATGTTTTGTAGAACATAAAATATCTTGCTTTTTACAACATTTTACACAAAAACCCTTATAATATTTTTCGTAGCGACATAAATTTCACACATTTTTCATTTGAAACTTTTTTCTGTACTGTAAATATTAACCAAGATATCGTTTAAAAGTAGAATATCGCTTCATCAAAGTGGTCTATGAATATAGAAAACAATCGCCTGCTTCGTGTGGGTTGTAGAAAGTGATCTGGTAATTGCGTTTTAGGCATCCATGGTGTGCTACGATCATTACTCATAAAACAATTGAATGACCTATTGGCTTTTTCCCTGAGAAAGTCATAAGCACTAATTTTGTTGTTTTTGTTGGGATGAGATCAGTAAACTAACGATATGTGTTTAGTTACTGCATGATAATAATTGGCCAAGTCTGTTAATTGTTTTATAGCGCATAAAAAACATAATAAAAAAATTCGGGGAATTTTACCTACGTCAAAAAACTATTTCAAGTACCTATTAAGCCATTACTTTCAATTATTGTTGCGGTAACTCGTTTTAAAATTGTAAAGAATTTGTTACAAAGTAATAAATTTTTATTCGGTTGAAATAATTTAAATTGATTTTTATTGAATGCAAAAATTCCAACGAAAAAATACATTGTAACATGCTTTACAACAACGTTAAAATATAAATAACATAAGTTAAATTTTGCCAAAGTAATTTTAACTTTAATGTATGCCAAATCTTGCTTAATAAGTAATTTATTTTTGATTATTTATGCCCTTTGACATGGCGACTACGTCACTGTCTTTATTGGCATCATGTTACCTTTGCATTGAATATTACGTTAATTAACACAATTTCAGCACATAAAAATCTAGGAACCGCTGTGCAAACAAGCCAATCATAAAAAGATAAAAATTTAAACTGATTGTAAAAGTGTAGAAACCGCTGTGCAATTCATTAAACTACCTTAATGATAAAAAACAAGTAGTCGGTTTTTTTAGGGCAATAAAAACGTGGTTCACTTACGGTTGGTCCTGTCGTGTCTGTAAAAAGCACTAAAATCCATGTTTTTTTTCATAACCGAAATGAAAAAACACCGGTCGAGAAACGTCAAAAACGCGTCCTGTCAAACGACAAACGTCGAACGGAAAAAGCGATTTTCGCGAAATCGCACGCAAAACGAATTTCGGCAAAAGTAAACAACACAATCGCGATCAAGTTGGCGCGTAGACACGCGGAAAGATGGCAACCTACTACGGTTATAAACCTATTCAAACGAAATGACAACAAACCCTAGGTTGCCGGGTTGTGCAGAATGTCCCAGGGACTGGGATGTTTGGAAAAATGTGGGTTATGAAGATTATTTTGGCGAAAATATGCATAATTGAATGTATCATATTTTGACTTAAATAATTAAAAGTAGTGTAGAGAATAAATAAAAAATTAATAAATTTCTAAAATTTTAAAAAATGGCGAATTCGCCGGTAACAAATAAATACAAAAATAAAAATAGCTAACTAATTTTCATTAAAAACATTGTAATGGAAATAAAAAATGGATATATTGCAAAAATTATGAATGTGCAATTAAAATACCAAATTTTAAAATATCAGACATTTAATTATTTTAACAAACTTTTTATTATTTTCATAAATAATTACAAAAATGGTGGATGCGCTACAAGACTTTCCAAAGTAAAATTATTAAAATTTTATATTACCTACATTAATTATTAATAAAAAATAAAAATAAAAAAACTTCTTGTATTAATTATTATAATAACAATTATTAAAAGCATAAAGATAAAGATAAAAATATTACAAAGAGTAAATTTTTCATTAACTTGCAATAAAAAAATATCAAAATACGAAATAAAAAAATGCTTGAAATTGAAAATAAACTTACAGGCAAAATAATCGATCCACACAAATTTTCGATGAATTTCAATCGCAAATAACTTTTTTATTTGATGTCGGATTTAAACGAATTTTAAAGAATATTGTAGATAAATTAATTGACAATCGCTCACATTTTAAAAAATTACTAAAAAATAGACGTACGTTTATAATATACAGGTTTAAACAAAAAGATGTTTTTTACCATAAGTTTAAGACACTCTGTAGAGGGGCAAAACCGTATATTGTTCTAAATTAAGTTTTATTTATCAAGTCACAATTATTCTTAACAGTTTTGTTTTTGGTTCACCTCGATATATTTATTTTTGTGAAAAATATGGATTTTTAAAAAAAGCATTGCAATTTTCAATATTTTTCTGTATGAATAACTAAGGTTGCTATGGTCCATCCATAGGCTATGGAGAATGACAGTGACAGTTTTGTTGAATCATCCCATACTTGGACATGTCATACACGGCTTTCAAAAGCTATCAAATTGTTTTTTGCAAATTAATGTTTAAATTTTGAGGTGTCTTCTTACTTTAAAAAATGGATATGTCTCCGAATGATGTTGCCAGAGCCATTAATTTAATTTTGAAAGCTCTATATGACATGTCCAAGTATGGGATGATTCAACAAAACTGTCACTGTCATCCTCCATATGCTATGGATGGACCATAGCAACCTTAGTTCTTCATACAGGAAAAATATTGGAAATTGCAATGTTTTGAAAAAAAATCCATATTTTCAACAAAAATAAATATATCATGGTGAACCAAAAACAAAACTGTTAAAAATATATGTGACTTAATAGTTAAAACTTAATTTAGAACAATATACGGTTTTGCCACTCTACAGAGTGTCTTAAACTTATGGTAAAAAACATCTTTTTGTTTAATCTTGTATATTATAAACGTACGTGTATTTTTTAGTAATTTTTAAAATGTGAGCGATTCTCCATTAATGTATCTACAATATTCTTTAATATTTGTTTGATTCCGAAATCAAATAAAAAAGTTAATTGCGATTGAAATTCATCGAAAATTTGTGTGGATCGATTATTTTGCCTGTGAATGTAGTAAAAAAGTCCTGTTGCATTGGCGATTTTCACAAATTATCTTCCTTTTATTTTAATAAAAGAATGTCCTAATAATTACTCATATCCCTTTTTTAACAATGATTACCTAAAAAGAAGATTTACAACGCGTCTCTTTTAGGCGCGAGACATGGCAACGTCGCAGCGCACTTGTCGGTGCGCGAAACGATCGTAGTAAGCCGCGTTTTATGGCGCGGATTCATAGGCCACTACAACTCGAAAATTATTGCGTCATCGACACGTGAGAAATTGATTTTTTCCCTGTGCAGCACGTAATTCCCGTGGGGACAAGATAACCGACGCGAAAGGTCAACCAACAATTAAATGTAATGTATTTTTAATTAATAATTAATTGTTTGATGTGCGATTTGCAGATGTTTTAATTTATTTGGTTTTTGACGTTTGACGTACTTGTATTGGGTAATCAGCTTTCTTTTGCATATTTGAATTTTAAATTGGGATTACATCATTAAAATTGCGGTATAGGGTAAATATGTATTTTTATTTCAAATTAAAAACAGAAAACAAATTATATGACTTAGATTACCTACAATGTTAATAAAATATTTAATATTTTTACCAATTATCAAGAAAATCAAGCCCAGTTCTTGGTAAATCATTATCTTCATCCACTTCTACTTGCATTACATTGTCTTCAACATAAACAATGGAATTTTTCTAAAAAAACCCAATTTTAATATTATAACCAAAAACAAAAAAATAAGAAACATACCTTAGGTTTTGGCTTTATAATATTCGAGGTATTATTGGTAGTCTTCTTTTCTTTATCAAAAATACTTAAATTTCTTTGGCTTTGACTCCTAAAACTAAAGGGTCCTGAATGCTCATCCCGGTACGAACAATGATCATCGATGATCAACTTAACAGCATACTCCTTATTGTCATCCTCACTTTTACTGGCATCGTATTTAACTAATACTTCAGGTTTTATAATACTCTCCGATAATATTTGGCTTTGCTGATCTTCGCTCAATGTTGACCACAGCTCTTCGTAGGTATTTTTTACTTCGTCCATATCTTCGCATAATCTTGTAGCTATCGGGTTCAAACTCTTAAAATACTCCTCTGCTATCGATTTTAAAGCCATTTTAGAGATTTTTTACACTACATTACTGTTTACAAACAAACCTCGCCCATATGTGTGCGATATGGATTTTTTGCAAGTAAAGTTGGCAACACAAACGTCAAAACCTAGGTTGGCAACAGCCAATGAGCTAACAAAATGTAGACAAGTGGTGTGTACTTGAAGAAAATGAAAAGTGTACACGGATAATTGAGGGTTTGCACCAGCTTTGCCAACCCTAGGGAAATTTTCCTATTTTAGGGAAATTTTGCCATCTTTAGGGAAATAAGGAAATTGACGCAGATTCTATAGAAATTTTTGGCGTTTTAAAATAAAATTTTGAGAATCATTGTGAACCAATTTTAAATTTTAAAGCTTGATTATGAACATCGTTGCTTTTTTTCAAATAAGTTGAATCGAGGGAAAAAAATGTAAATCTAGGGAATTTTTTGAGGCCGCAGGGGGATTTTTTTCAGTTATGTTGGCAACTTGCACGTTTCTTGAAAATTTTAGTCGACATATATTTTTTTAAACTTTTGAAGCTCTAGGAATTTTTTTTATTCAGTATTTTATTTTCTAATATTACCGTTCTTGCCCTAGTGTACTCTTTCATTTAGTAGAGGTGCTGCGAACAAACCAGTTGCCTACATTCGTTATGTCTATAGACTACGTCAAAAACAAACGTCACTCTTGCAGGTTATGTTGACAATTTCTAAATATTGCTAAAATGCCCAAAGTTGTTTCAAGAAGCATAGCGTGTTCGGATACCAAAGACCAGGAGGAATACGGCGATGAAAAACCTCTGCACATATACTACTGCCTGTGCGGCCAAATGACGTTGATTCTCGACTGTAACATGGACAAATTGCCTTTAAGGAAGAAAGACGGGGCTCGCGTTTTGGACGGGGTAAACCACGCGCATAAAATGATTTGCGATCAGGACGAGACGGTGCACATAGCGCGTGAAGGGGGTATAGAGAGACAGTACAGATTTAAGTGTAAAAAATGTAATTTGTTGTTGTATTACAAGTCCCAGCCTCAAAGCCCTGTAACCTTTATAGTCAGGGGGGCGTTGATAAAATCCACGAAAGAAGGTCCTATGACGGATATTTACAATCAAGTTGCAGTGGAGAAGCCTAAGAAGATTATGGTGACTAAGCATACGAAGAATATGGGTAAGTTCAGTTCAGTGACAGTTTCCACGATTGATGAGGAAGAGGATGAAATTGAGGCGGTATGTAATTTATCCTTATTTATTCTACATTATTTATTTATATGTATTTTATTTACAGCGAGAAGTTGCGGATAGTTACGCTAATAATGCCAGAATTATAGAGAAGCAGTTGGAAAGAAAAGGCATGAACAAGAGAAAACAGGAACAACAAAAGTCACAGGACACTAAGAAAAATCGCGGAACGCTCATTGACAAATAATAATTAAGTCTGGATTTAATTAAAATTTAAATCAAAATATACATTTATTTTTTTTATAAACTACATTTGTTTTATTTGGTTGGGTTGCAGCTAAATTAAAATTAAATTAAATATTAAATTTGTCAGGTCAATTCAACTACTGAAAATTTTATAGGTATACACCCAAGGAGCTTCCAAAAAACGAATATTATCGCATGAAAATGTGCACTCTGTGAATGTGTTTTTTATCATTTTAAGCTATATAGGTACCTACTTAAACTAAACGGATTTGTATGCAAAATACTCGTTTTTTAGCTATCTCCACAATCCAAACAAGGTCTGTTATATGTTGTTTACAATTCTTGTGCTTTGGGTTTGTGCTTCTTATACAGATTAAAAATCGTTTTAAACGCTGTGTTTCTTACACAGCTCCAAGTGACAAATATCGCCTAGTGGGAAAACAATGTCCCTAAAATAGTTCGCAACTATATGAAACCGACTTAGGGCTTACAATTGCCTCTGTAAAAATACAACGTTTAAAACGATTATTAATCTGTATAAACAACACAAACCCGAAGCACAAAAATTGTAAACATAAAAATGGCCGCCGTTTAATGTGATTTGTCTAGAATAATACAAAAAGTGCGGGACGAGGTGGGAATTTTATTTATTCCTTCAGCAGGTTTCCACATTACCCAGGAGGTACTGCTCATTTTTACCTATCTTACAATAATTATTTTAAGATAAATAAAGGCACAACCGCACAATAACAAAATAATAATGTACAAGCACAGTAGGTATATGAAACTCAACGATTTAACACTGAACTATAAAAAAAACTTGAATATTTTTATTTATATTTTTTGTGATTTTTACTGTGGTATTTGTGTGTTAATATAATAGTAAGTATTAAAATAAAAATGATCTTTTATAATTATTTGAATTATTTTTACATGAATTAGGTGATTTTATTCCGGTGATTCGTAACATTAATCGTTGTATTAATTCTAGAATAAAATCTAAAATTCTGATTTTTGGCACTTATACTTGAAATGTGAGCGCTTCCAATGGCAATTCAGAAATTTTAAAAATTTATAAAGACTTTGAAAAAAAAAATTTGCAATATAGAATTATAAAAATCGTGCATCAAAAACTTTACCCTGCGGCGAGCTATGTGAATTATTGAAAATTTCTGTACATATATCGAGTCAAATGTAGTCAAAACATTGACAAAGTCGCTAACTTCAACGGTTGTAGAAATATGAATTTTTATCCAAATGCGCGCTACAATACTGGAAACAAATTTTCGAACGCAAAAACGAAAAATCCAACAATACTTGATTCAACGTATAGCATATGCCCCGCCCACTGACTGCGCGAGCAGATTATGCAAGACAGAGTAAGCACGTCGACACGGTTTCGAATATCCGAGCACTGTGTGGTACAAGCCCAACTTTGTGGGCCTCAATGTCTACAAAAATCTGCGTATTATCCCCCTTGCGGGGGTGCCGGCGGCACTGTGCAGCGGTGGGGAGCATGATGTTGTATCGGCAATCTGTGACGTATATGAAGCGCAAATTTCGGGGCTTACTATTTCCCTATTATGCGGTCGGGCAATGATTTAAGCGTTTAGAATTAAAGTTGGAAGTGGTACGCGCTAAATTTAAAGGAAATATTTTACACTTTGATGGTTATTCGATGTTTTGATACTTTTAATGACTGGAAATTAGTTTAAGAACGTTTTATATTTAAATAAGTAATGTATCTGACATTTCAAATTATATTATAATTTTAACATGTGAGGCCCGGCCTCAGTTGCTTTATACGACGATCCGCCACTGCCTTGTTGTGTGGGTTGTGGCTATATCAATAAACTTTTTCACTATCTGAATCCACTTTATTGACAAAATAACATGCTAATTTTTTTTTTTGCTTAGTGGGAATTTAAGCTTAAAACAATAAATTTGGTGTCTGGTATATTAAAATAAAGCACCCTACTACCAACCTAACATAATGATCACATAGTTGGTCGCGCGTGCGCATAAAGAAAAAATCCAACCGCAACCCAGATTACTAGATGTTCAACATCAATCTTGCTGCTCCGTATCCTCATCGGCCACCGAGGACTTATTCTTGTTGACGCCGTGCAAGTACATGACGCTCTGCCCCACCGAATCGTAGATAGTGTATCGTAACTGTTGATTGGTGAACCCGCTCGGGGACAAAACGCTGTCGCTGAGCCGCACCAGGCGGCGCGACTCCCTCTGCATGGGCGCACTCTTCCCCGCGGGGAAGTTGAGCATGCTGTTGGACACGTTGTACTGCTCCACGTCGCTCACGAACTCCATGGCGCTCAGCGGCGGCACCCACATGGGATTGGTCATCTTGAAGTGCACCAGCGAGAGCTCCACTTTACCGTCCTCGGCCTGCGAGTACTGGTTCGCGTCGGAGGCTTCCTGCTCGTTGTGCCAGTCGGGGTGGCCGTGCCGCTTTATGTCCATTTGAGCGAAGCTGCACACATCGCCAACCCCTACAACCGTCACGGTGAAGTTGCGGAAAAAATCTATGATATCCAAGGATTTGGGGTATATGCACCGCCACAGTATATACGGCGTCACGATCGGGGACAACAACTCTTCCACCAAACCCACAACGCGATACTGAAACAACTGCTCGAACTTCTTTCTGATTCTCTTCGTGTGAGCGTGGCCCTGCCAATCCGCCGGTAAATAATGCGTGTGCAAGACGACAGCGCTTAGTAAAGACTCCGTATTCCAAGACGCGTTCTCGTCGGGCTGCATGGCCCTACATATGGCCACTATGACCCCCAGACCCGAAATCAGTGTAATAACATGCTCAACACTTAAAACATCCTCATCGTACAACGTTAGAGCGATGAAAACCGCCATTATAGAGCCCGATATAAAACTGACGTGGCTCGCTATAAGAGTCGTTAACGGGGAACTGAACGCAGCTACGTATCTTGTGGCGGCCTTGTGGGCTTTGGTGAGTCTATCGGCGACCTCGTGATCCAACTCGTTGAAATGTCGTAGATACAGTAGAGCGTACAGAGACCAATTTCTCAATCCGACTTTGGCGGGATCGCGCCGGAACAAATCCGCGTAGTAGAAGAAGGCGTATAAAATTTGCCAGAGTAGAATGAGCGGGGCGAATATGAGATTAACGAAGGCCAAATAGAGCACGTGACGGCCTAGCTGCGTTGCCAACTCCTGCCTCAAACTGACTTGTTTGTACTCCTCCCTCAAGTTGAAACGGTTTTCGAAAGGCGACCAAGGTGACCAAAAAAGCAACCATTGCATGTTGTAGCATAGAGTTTTCGTCCAATATACTTCCTCACCGACCAAGGGTATATCGATTCTAGGCGGCAATAATCTCTTATTAGCCAGAGCTATGATGTAATTTTTCTGCCGCAGTATCCTGTGGTAGATATCCAACTCGGTTAACTCTCGTTTGTCTACGCACATCCGGTGTTGCAACTGCGCAACTTTGATTCTAGCCTGAACTTCATTCCACGTTATGGTATCCACCTCCTTGTCCCTTATACCGAGCGCTATGTTGTAGAACTGCTTTATATCCCAGAACTGTATGATTTGGTAGACACCCCTTATGAACTTGAGAGCGAAAACCGCCATGGCGATCAACAGGAGAATCCACGTGATCCAAATAAAGTTCCCGATGCATTCGCTCAGCGGCAATATAACCTCGTTCATCGTGGTCTTCGTGGCACCCCTATGGAACAGCTTCTCGTAGTTGACCCCGTGGGCCAGATACGCCGACAGCGCGACTATGAACGCGAACTGGTTCAGCTCGAATATCTCCTGCAGCAGCATGCAGAGGAAGCCGTGGTTCTGGTGGTAGCTGTAGGCTCGCGTGAAGAACGAGTCGAGATCGACGATGTGGTTCCATCGCGACTGTTTCGGTTCCGCTTGGAATATCACGTGGTTGCTGCTTCCCTCGTCGTACTCCACGTCCGACAGGGTTTGGTAGTCTTTTATGACTGTCTCGTCGGAATCCTGCAAAAAAATAGTTCACTTTTTATTCCTCAAAAGTTTCTCTGGTCTGGTCAACTTTGAGTCTGTTTTGTCTAATTTGTTCATACCTCAATTTTTACCAGCATTGTTATATATCTGAATTTTGAGACTTTTCACACCGTAATTATTCTCTGCCAGTAGATACGATGGATAAAACATACTAAAAATTGGGGTTCCCCTAAAATTTTTGCATGTACTTTTACAACAACCTAAAATGAAAAAAAGTATAATTTTTTCAAAACATGTAAAGAGTTAAAGACGGAAATTTTTAAATGTATTTAAAATATCATAGGAGATGTTTTTAATTCATTTTAATTTTAATTTCTTAAAATAAGCAGATATCTTTAATTGAATGTGATATTTTTAATTCGGATTGAAAGTTTGGACACCCTGGTGTTCCAAACTAACTCTGTCGCTAGATGGCGGCACGATCACCGAGACAAAGACAGTAAGTGTGTTGTTGGAGTGGGTCGGTTTTTGTGGCGTTTGGAATAACAGGGGTGTCCAAACTCTCAATCAGTCGGAATTAAAATCATCACATTCAAATAAAAATTAAATCGAATTAAAAATATCTCCCATGATGAAAAAAAACTACTCTACTGAGACAGAAAAAAAAACTTATTTTTAACCCTATAGGGTTTCTGTCTCAGTATAAATTATTTTCCCTAAATTAGATATAAAACAAATAAAATTAGAATTCAAGTCCAAGATTAAATATTACTTAAAAAATATTAATGAATAACAATAGTTATTTATGTATCAAGGCGGTGAAGTCGAATTTTTTATCACGAATGTGGAAATTATTTGCCAAAGCAAAAGCCGAGGCAAATAACCACGTGAGTGATAAAAAATGACTTTGATGATCAAATCAAATGTCATTTGAATGTAGGAAGTGTCTACGTACCCAAGCAGCATTTTTGGTTCCAAAAACCATTGCCAAAGTGGTGATAACTTTAAATTAGTTAAGTATACTAAACAGCTACTTTAATTTTTACTTAAAAGTAATTCTAACTTTTAAATAGCAATATTTTGTAACAGAAACTTAATTTTTCCTTAAATTGTTACTATAAAGTAATAAACATTTAAGTAAAACTTGGTTGCCCCCAAGAAGACTTTGCAACTTTAAAAAAGATGTTATAAGTAAAAAAAACTTTCAAGTAAATTTAATTTGTAGCAGTTACTTTCGGTTGCTACCTAAAGATTACATTATAATTATTTTTACTTTGTAGTCCCTTTGCAAGTTAAAATCTCGAAACTGGAACATGAGTTAAAAACTACAAAGTTAATAACTTAAAAGTTATTATTTTAGTATTTGGAACGTTTATGGTACTAACCAAAACAACCGTAAAGTGGAAAAAAACTTTAAAGTAGCGAAAACTACTTCAAAGGAAAATGCTTCTTATCGGCCATTTTTTACTGTACAGTACCACGTGGCAATGTAAATAATAAATTATTTTAATTGTTTGTAAATGGTTGTTTACTTTTTAATAAATAGAAATATTGTTGGTAATAGACGGTATTAATAATTAAATAAAAAAAATAATAATAAATATTAAGATTTTTTTATTTATAAACATTACTAAATAAATAATTTGTTTATACTTAAATATTGATGAAGCGCATTTATTTTACAAAAACTAAATTCATAAGTTCAACAGTAAAATTTAAAGGGTTTATAAATCTACCTGTCTAATTAAATATTATATTGTTATTCTGGAAGTTATAAACTACCAGTACATATTTAATAAACGACGACATTGAAAAGCCAAGTCCGTAGTGGTTCCATTTAAAAAAGGAGGGATAGTATAATCTAATATAAGTTTGACAAAGACAGTTAATATAGAAGTAAAAACAAATAATAAAAGTAATTATAACGCTCTAGCAACGATATTGGAACGTTCTAGTAACGTAGCAGCTACGTCCCAAATAGTAGCAGGGTTGGTAGCTAGTGACATATTTGCTACCTTTTTGGAACTCAATAATTGTTCCCCACTTTAGTCGTAACGTAGTAATGAAAGAGTAATATAAAGAGACCGGCGACTGTCGCAAAACACTTTGAAGTTTCTTCAATAGTCCCATATACGTAACAAATACTTAAATTGTTGCTTGGGATATACTGTTTGTTGCGACGGTTATTATATTTTTGCCCGTCGCGGCAATTTTTAATCTACTTAATAAAATTAACTGATTTTTAAAAAATATTATTTAGTTGCTGCTGAGGAGCAGTAGACACATCTTAAAATGTATAATGGGTTGCATACAATACTCGTATTAAAGTAGAACTTTACTGCCGATTATTGACTACTTTACTGCCGATTGTTGACTAATTTACTGCCGATTTCGGATAAATAATAATTAAATAACTAATAATTAAATTTTATGCACAACATTGAGCACAAAAAAGCAAATAAAATGTCATTAAACGTTGTTAAATAATAACAAAAAATCTACTCACCTTATTTAAAACATAAGGTTTTCACATTTCTTCGAATAGATCGTGGAAATCGATGGATTTTTCTGGATGGGTTTTCCTTGGATTAAATTTACGAAAAATTTTGAGTGTTGAATGAAAAAAAAAGAAATGTCATCAGAACAACATTTCGAATTTACCATTATTTCCTTTTAAATTTGTTGTTTAACCCAACGTTATATTTATGCACCAACATTAATGCAGTCATTAGACATTTTTCAATTATTTCCATTATTACTGTTCATTTTAAAATTTATTTGACATTTTAACTTCAAAATTAACCTTAAAATTAACATTTGGAAGTTTGATGACAGCCCTGATAGAATATATTCTATCTTATAAGGTTTACTTTTTACAAAAGAGAAGTAAGTCCTTGGCACTTCAAGGCGTTATTTGAAGCTTACAAGTGCCTCTGTAAGAATCACAACGTTTTTAGCGATTTTTAATCTGTATAAACAGCACAAACCCGAAGCACAAGAATTTTAAACATAAAAATGGCCGCCGTGAAAGTCCCTACAGTGGGTTGCCTAACTTTGTGATGTGATGTGGAATTGCGCAATAAAAAAATAATCATTTCAGACATTTTATTGTAATAAAAAACAATTTATCCTTATTTAATCTACATTATTTCTTAAATGTTTTTATTTACAGCGACAGTTGGGCTAATAATGCAAGAATCATAGCGAAGCAGTTGAAAGGAAAAGGCATGAACAAGAGAAAACAGGAACAGTCACAGAACACTAAAGAAAAATCGCGGGACGCTAATCGATAAATAAAAATTAAGTCTAGATTAATTTAAATCAAAATATACATTTATTTTTCATAAAATATACCTAGGTACATTTGCTTTATTTGGTTGGGTTGCAGCCACAATCATATATTTACATTGCGCGGGGGATTTTCGAATAATTAGTAGAGATTTGCCGTTTTCATTATTTGTTAGTTCTACACTTAATATGTACAGTTTGTTCACCACAAAAATTTAAAATAAGAGTTCTTGAAATAAAACTTATTTTCTAAATAAATGAAAAAAAATAAATACACCCTATTTATTTTAGTTTTACTAAAGTGTATTTAACTACAAATAAAAAAACATTTATCTATTTCAGTGTCAAAATCAAAAGTAAAAATCATCCGTTTTACCAAAGTTAACAGACGTATTTTTCTTTTTTGTCTTTTAAGTTATAAAAAACTATTTTTTTTTACTACACACCAAATTAAGTCGGACACTTTTGATATTAAATTTGTCAGGTAAAGTCAATTCAACTTCTGAAAATCTTGATAATAACCTTGGGGTAGTTCCAAAAAAAGATTTTTTATGAATCTCTTATGAAAATGTGTTTCACTCTGTGAATCAACTTTATTGTCAAAACCCACCATGTTATTTTATCTTTTGCTACTCAAAAATCGTTTGGGACCGTAAAATGAAGCAACCTACTACCAACCTAACGTAATTATCACATGGTTAAGTCGCGCGTGCGCATAAAGAAAAATCCCCCGCATCCTACACACCGCAACCCAGGCGACTAGATAAACAAACATCAATCCTGCTGTAGGAGTGGCGTGTCCTCCTCGGCAAAACTTAACGTCGACTTCTGCTTGTTGACGCCGTGCAAGTACATGACGCTCTGGCCCATCGACTCGTATTGGAAAGCGTTGGGGTCTTCAAGACCCTCGCTGAGGCGCACCGACCGGCGCGGGTCCTGCGCACTCTTGCCCGCGGGAAAGTTGAGCATGCTGTTGGACACGTTGTATTGCTCCACGTCGCTCACGAACTCCATAGCGCTCACCGGCGGCACCCACGCGGGATTGGTCATCTTGAAGTGCACCAGCGAGAGCTCTACTTTACCGTCCTCGGCCTGCGAGTACTGGTTTACATCGGAGACGTCCTGCTCGTTGTGCCAGTCGGGGTTGCCGTGCCGCTTTATGTCCATTTGAGCGAAGCTGCACACATCGCCAACCCCTACAACCGTCACGGTGAAGTTGCGGAAAAAATCTATGATATCCAAGGATTTGGGGTATATGCACCGCCACAGTATGTACGGCGTCACGATCGGGGACAACAACTCCTCCACCAAACCCACAACGCGATACTGAAACAACTGCTCGAACTGCTTTCTGATTCTCTTCGTGTGAGCGTGACCCTGCCAATCGGCCGGTAAATAATGCGTGTGCAAGACGACAGCGCTTAGTAAAGACTCCGGACACCAAGACACGTTCTCGTCGGGCTGCATGGCCCTGCATATGGCCACTATAACCCCCAGACCCGAAATCAGTGTAATAACGTGCTCCACGCTCAAAACATCCTCATCGTACAGCGTTAGAACGATGAAGACCGCCATTATAGAGCCCGATATAAAACTGACGTGGCTCGCTATAAGAGTCGTTAGGGGGGAACTGAACGCCGATACGTATCTCGTAGCAGCTTTATGGGCTTTGGTGAGTCTCTCGGCGACCTCGTGATCCAACTCGTTGAAATGCCGTAGATACAGTAGAGCGTACAGAGACCAATTTCTCAATCCGACTTTGGCGGGATCGCGCCGGAACAAATCCGCGTAGTAGAAGAAGGCGTATAAAATTTGCCAGAGTAGAATGAGCGGGGCGAATATGAGATTAACGAAGGCCAAATAGAGCACGTGACGGCCTAGCTGCGTTGCCAACTCCTGCCTCAAACTGACCTTTTTGTACTCCTCCCTCAAGTTGAAAGGGTTTTCGAAGGGCGACCACGGGGACCGAAAAAGCAACCACTCCATGTTGTAGCACAAAGTTTTCGTCCAATATACTTCCTCGCCCACCAAGGGTATATTGATTCTGGGCGGCAGTATTCTCTTGTTCACCAAAGCTAGAATGTAATTTTTCTGCCGCAATATCCTGTGGTAGATATCCAACTCGGTTAACTCTCGTTTGTGTATGCACATCTGGTGCTGCAACTGCGCCACTTTGATTTTAACCTGAACCTCGTTCCACGTTATGTTATCCAACTCCTTATCCCTTATGCCGAGAGCTATGTTGTAGAACTGCTTTATATCCCAGAACTTTACGATTTTGTAGACTCCCTTTATGAATTTGAAGGCGAAAACCGCCATGGCGATCAGCAGAACGATCCACGTGATCCAACTGAAATTCCCTACGCACTCGCTCAGCGGCAGTATAACCTCGCTCATCGTGGTCTTCGTGGCACCCCTGTGGAACAGCTTCTCGTAGTTGACCCCGTGGGCCAGATATGCGGACAGCGCGACTACGAACGCGAACTGGTTCAGCTCGAACATCTCCTGCAGCAGCATGCAGAGGAAGCCGTGGTTCTGGTGGTAGCTGTAGGTTCGCGCGAAAAACGAGTCGAGGTCGATGATGTGGTTCCATCGCGACCGTTTCGGTTCCGCTTGGAAGAGCACGTGGTTGCTGCTGCCCTCGTCGTACTCCACGTCCGACAGGCTTTGGTAGTTTTTCATGGCGGTCTCTTCGGAATCCTGCAAAAAGTAGAATGATATTTTCTGTACTTGCATATCATAACCAGCAACCAGTGGCGGCCCGTCAGGGGATGCAGGTGAGGCAGTGAACATCATAGAGAATTAAAAAATTAATTATAATTTAAATATTTTACTTTCTATAACATAATATAAATTTTTAATATTTGGATTACATGAATTGTGAAATAGTCAATAAAATTGATTGATTTTATACCCAGCAACATTTAAATTATTTGAATTTGAAACGACCGCAATTTAAACTAATGATTGGCTCGGAAGCATGCCTGAACTAATTTAGACTCACGATTGGCGTTAGCCTTGTTGTCTCGTTCTATTACTATGCGATGTCATAGTTGTCTCCTTCTCTCATATTAGCATACGCGCGGCAGACACGCCTACATCCAAGGAAATAAGCAGGTGTTGTGGCAACACTTTTGCGGAATATTAGATAAATTATACTTCATATGTTTTTCAAAATTCAATAATAAATGGTATTATTTTTCTTCGATTTAATCGAAATTATATTTCTATTCTAAAATAAACATATTTTAACACTATCGCCATCTTGTAGCCATCACAGTAACCAATAAAATAAATACAGATTCCTTCTTTAGGTTTGTTTTGGTTATAAAATTCTGAACTGTTTAAAGAACAAATCTGTGGTTATTTACGCAATATTTTGTTTATTCTTTTTCTATGAGTTTGTCTATTTTATGATTCTTTTGTAAGTGGTTTATTCTGTGGGTTTAGTTAATTGAACTTGGTGATTTATGTGAATTTAATCATTAATATGGATATTACGGTGAGAAATTGTACCGATATTTTTTACTTAGTTTTAAGTATAGGTTGTGAACTGCGACGTCAGTTTTTTTTAAGTTGTGTTTAAAAAAATTTCTTCGCCTTTAAATGAGAGCGAAACCCTGCCTCTGCCTCACCAAAATGAAATGTCACGGGCCGCTACTGTATTTTACACTGTTGCTTATAATAAAACAGTGTTGCCAGTCTAGTACAATTGTTCTTTTTCTAATACTTTTTGAATACATTCTACTTTTAAATACAACCTAGTAAAAAAATAAAACAATGTAAAAAAACAGCAACAGCAACATTGATAATAAGAAAATAGAAACAAAAATGAATAGGGTAAAAAAGCTATTGGGTAGGAGTGGAAACAACAGCCGCCTCGAACGTCTTCAACGTCGCAAATAAAATACCACAAACAAAAAATATCAGATAAAGAAATTATCATAATAATCTAATAAATTTTGTTGACCTAAATTTTAATTAGCAAAAATAATTGCAAAAGTATTGTAAAAAAATAGATAAAACTGCAAAATTTACCAACTTCTATATAATAAAAATAATAATATTGTTTCTGGAAATAATGAACAAACAAACTTTATTATACTTCTTGCTTTCTTGACCTGTATGCTTTCAAGTTAAGGTAGTTTCATAAATAAAGCATTTAAAATAAATGAGGATGATGATAATGTATTTGTGATGTGGAATAAAAAAAATATTCAACAGAGAACTTTACCAAAAAAAGGATTTTAAATAAGTGTTTTATCATAATCTAAAAATACAAAAATCGATTGTTTTTTCTATTGGGGAAATTTTCTCACTCCACATTACGTGATTTTATGAATACCTAGTCTGATTTGTTCATACCTCTATTTTTAGTAGCATTGTTATATCTTTATTTTGAGACTTTTCACACCGTAATTTTTCTTTGTTAGTTGATAAGATAAATAAAACATACTACAAATTAGGATTCCCCTAAAATGATTACATGCAGTTTTAAAATAACCTAAAATGAAATAAAAAGCTAAAATTTCATCAAAACATGTACTATCGCTAACAAAAAAAACTCATACACTTTAAAAATCTAGTGTTCCTGATTTTCTATCATTTCGTTGGAGTAATTATGGCTTTTAACATGAAACGTCACATTTGAAAATTAAATACAAAGTTAGGTTGAAGTTTGAAAAAAAAATAATATTTCGTCATCCCTCTGTTTTGTCAATTACTGCCCGCAAACGGCAAAGCATGGAAGTCGCCGTCTTGCTTTATCTCGTTCCAAATGGCTTCAATGGCTTGCCAGAGTTCGTCTGCATTGTTTGGTTGAAAATGTTGTTAAAAAAGTCATAATGGATGTGACAAAGCTCGATGTCAGCTTGACATTGACGTAAAAGTTTTATTCACACAGCCACAATATAGCTGTATGAGTTTTTTTTGTTAGCGATAGTAGATGAGTAAAGACAGATAAAATAAAAACCTATTGATCGTTATTTAAAAAGTTGGGAACATACAGTTTAAAATTAAATAAAAGCAATACACACAAAAGTGCTCAATTCAATATTTGCAATTAATTGTTTATTTTCCAAAATAGTCACATTATGGGTAAATAAGTACTAGGTATAAACCAATAGACTATAGTACTTATTTTTCCTAAATTAGATTGAATTAAAGATTATTTGCAAAATATATTTTAGAAAATAATAACAAGCACATTTTATCATAATCAAATAAAGCGAAATATAGCACGTAGGTGGTTATTATTTGGTATAATTTATGCACAACAAAAGCAAATTAAATGACATTCAAAGTTGTCAAATCATAACAAGAAACAGCTGATTTCGAATTAAATCTAAACTAACCTTTTCACATGAGGATTTCACATTTGCATTCTTCGAATCGAACGTGTGAATCGATGGATTTTTCTTAAACCTTGGATTAAAACTTACGAACAATTTTGAGTGTTAAATATAACAAAGAAATGTCACCTAAGTTATTTCCATCGACTTATTGTTGTTTACTTTTGGAGTTTTTGCTTCATCAGAACGTCAACATTTCGAATTTACCATTGTTTCCCTTAAAATCAGCTATTTAACTACAATACGCACTATATTTTGGATTACAAAACGCAATGGACTATTTATTTTTACATTTGTGAAGGATAACCAAACAGTGTTGCCATGTTTATCCTGTTTATCACGTTGACATTTTATGATACCAAATTCCACAATAAAACATAAATACCAATTTAATTTAATGAAATATACCCCATATAATTGAAAAAGAATCAAAAATTGTATACACATTGTAATATTTTAACAAAATATTAAATGACATTTAGGATTTTTTGCAACTTGGCAACGTTGCATATAATATAAATTCCAAAATATCCTAAAAACGTCCCAAATAAAACAAGTCTTAACCAGTAAATATATCACAACATCTAAATAATCAAAGTTTATTGAATATTGACTGATTTTTTAATAAATTAAGCTTTGGTGCGTTTAGTTTTCTAACGTTGGCATCTTAAACGTCAAAACTCGTTAAATTTTGGTTATGACAACAGGAATCTGCCACGTACTTTTTTATTTAGATGTGTGTTTTTAAATAAATATGGGTAATTCCGAGAGCGTAGATATTCCCGGTGGAGGTACAGATGGATATCACGTGCTAAGGGTTAGATTATGGTTTGAATTGCGGTATTTTTGACGTAACTTTTGTTAATTTTAGGTGCAAGAAAATTCGCCTGGAAGCAAAGCTGGTTTGCAGGCATTCTTCGACTTTATTGTGGCTATTAATGGCACGAGATTGGATAGAGACGACGATACGTTAAAGTTGATCCTGAAAAACGGGATAGGTATAATGATTTTAGTGGATAGAGACGATGACTTATGTTTTGCTTGTTTTTAGGTAAACCATTGCCCTTGTCTATTTATAGTTGCAAAACACAAAGTGTTAGGAGTGTTACTATTGAACCAAGCGAATCTTGGGGTGGGCAGGGTTTATTGGGGATCAGCATTAAGTTTTGCTCGTTTGAAGTTGCCAAGGAAAATGTTTGGCATATTTTGGAGGTGATACCAAACTCCCCAGCTGATTTGGCTGGCCTAAAAGCTTTCTCAGACTATATTATAGGTAATGTATAAAGAATGTCAACTTGAGCTTGTCAGGAATGTTTAATATTTTTAGGGGCTGATTCTATACTACATGAAGCAGAGGATTTGTTTAATTTGCTTGAAAACCATGAAGGTGTGAGTCTTAAACTGTATGTTTACAACTCAGACATAGATTCCTGCAGGGAAGTTTCCATAACCCCAAATTCTCAATGGGGCGGAGAAGGCTCTGTAGGGTGCGGGATAGGTTATGGTTATCTGCACAGAATTCCAGTTAGGAATCCAAATGTCAACAAACCTGTTGCTAACACTGTATTAACAACCATACCTAATAGTAGTAGTACTGTCAGTAGTAGTTGTAGTACCACTACTAGTGCAGCAGAGGTTAATCCGGTTACTACAAGTGTTACTAGTGATGTTGAGGTTGCAAAGTTGGTGGAAACCACTGCTGATATGTCAATTCAAACCACACAGAGTGAAATTTTACAGTCAAATCCTGTAGCATCCGCAGAGTCGATATTTTCAACGCCAGTAACTCTATCTAGTACTATTTCCAACATACCAACTGTCGATATGGCAAATAATAACCCCCAATTCACCATGCCATCAAATATCCCCCCTCCAGCTACAATCCCCAATTATTACAACATGCAAACTCCCATAACCTCACAAAACAACTTCGCGCCGCCAATTCCACTTTTTACCCCGCAACCCCCCGCGTACCCTTACGGTACTACCAACTTGGCGGCTTACAGCTACCCTCAACCGACGTATACCCAAGTACCAAGTAATTTACCCCCGCCAACGGGTTTTAACACCAACACGCCCCTGATTTTCGACCCCACCATTGCTGCGCGGTCCGCGCAGCAACTTCTCAGCGGAAATAACCCCCCCAGTTAAGATTTTAATTATTAAAGCTTTTTGTAGACTTATGAGTATAAAGGGGGTATTTGCAATACAGTGTTTTCCTATTTGAATTATTTTTGTAACCTGGATAAATATTGTCAAGTTTTGAGTTATTGTGGATGATTTTTATTTATTTTGTAAAGAATTTTAACACTGTATTATATAATGTTATATGAAGTTTGTACTTCTTTAAGGTTTTCTGTATTTTAAATATAAATATTTGTAATATGTACCTAATATAATTTTAAATAATAAAAAAAGTGCTGAAAACAGTTTTATTTATTTTTTCTACTCCCACCTTTAAAACGCCCACAGCAACAGGTTTTTAGTCACAGGCTGAAGTTAGTTTTAAGTTAGTTGACAGTTGTCAAATGTCAAACAATCGTTAAAATAAAGTGCCTTTCTTGTAAAATAATACTAAATGTGAAAATTATTTTATTATCTCAATACAAAAATACATAAGTATTAAATAGTTTCTCAATGCTAATATTTGAAAAGTTTATATGAACATTGTACTGACCTTTTAATTTCGCCGGCAGTAAACTATAACTTAAATTCGGGCACGGACTCCACTGTAAAGTTCTCATAAAACATTTCTTTTACTTCCACTGTGAAAAACTGTCAATTTTCAATATACATTTTGATTTATAACCTTATAATTTTGTTTATAAAATGTGACATTTGACAGTTTCCCCTGTTGTTTCATAGATGGCGCTCTATACAAATTTTTGATTTAAATCATTTTAAGATAATAATAAGTATTTGTCGTAGAAAAAGTATAGTATGCATCTCGTTTATAAACTTTTATATACACTCATTAACTTAAGCACTCGCTCGCAAGCTCGCTCGTGCCTAAATTAAATTCGTGTATAAAATGGCGTTTATCAAACTTGATACATAATATACTATGAAGTTAGCAACAGTGACATTGGGCATTTTAGTCACGGGCTGAAGTTAGCTTTATTATAAATTGCGAAAAAGTGAGGTTAAATTCGTCAAATGTCAAATATTTATTAGTTAAAAATTGGCTTTAAATTCTTATTTGTGTATCGTTGACAGATGTCAAATGTTTAACAAATAAAATTGGCTTTACATTTTTCTTTGTGTTCGTCGTAGATAAAGTATAGTACCTATGCAACTCATTTCATAAAATTTTCTAGGCACGTGTTTTTATTAAACACTCGGTCGTGCTTGATTATATGAACGTTTGTACTGACCTTTTGATTTCGCCATAGTAGTGCAGTTAACTGGATTTAACAGATAAAATAATACAGTGCCCATAAAACATTCTCTTCACTTTAACTGTGAAAAACTGCTTCTATATCGATTGTTAGTCTATTTTCAAGGGATAAATTTTGATTCACACTGACAAAGTTGAGATTTTAACGCTGTTAGATTCTCAAGTTAGAAATTCTAACGGGAATTCCAATAATACTTATTTAATTTAGATAATTTTTGTTTATAAACTTTTTTAGACACTTATTTAATTAAACACTCGCTCGCTCGTAATATACTATTATAATATATTTAAGTACTACTTACCTTATCATACTCAAATATTAACTGAAAAAAATATGGATTGGAAATAAAATAAAAAAAACTTAACTCTAACTAATTTATTATCAGATCTTTAACCTAAACAATGTGTTGTATTAGTTGTTTTTGGGGAAAATGTTAGAAAGTTTTATACAGCCTAGCAAAAACCTGCTAAAATACTATTGTACCGAAAAAATTACGAAAAATTAAATTTTGTGAGATCAAAACAACTAACCTTAACCCAAATAAGTCTTCAAAAATGTTTTAAAGCTAAAAACTAATACTATGTAATGTTGAAAATGAGAAATTTTAGAATAAAGTCGGCAATTTTAAAATGCAAAACGCAAAAAGGACTTTTATGAACAAGTCCGTTTGATTTTTTGACGCAAAGCAAAAAAAATATAACAGGTCAAAAAATCGGTAAGCAGTGAAATAATAACAAAAAAAATGTTTGATTTTTCGTGTTATTATTTTTATTATTGTGTTGCGCGTGAAATTTAAAATATTTATTAAAAATGTTTAATTGAAAATAATAAAATAGGTAAAAATAAGGTGGGGCGAATGTTTTTAAAACCCATCACCCCACCCTACTTTTAATTTAAGTACATTAATTCAAAAAAATTGTGAATTCGTTCTAAAATCTGTTAAAAACTTAACCTTAAAAAAATGTCGAACAATCCATTGAAAATCACGTTAATATATAATGTGTGACAAACATATTTGAATCTAACACTAATAACTAGCGGACTAAAAAAACACCTATGAATCTATAATTAAAGTTACTTTGTACTTTTGCTCTCACCAAAAGATTTTTCAATCGTTTTGTCATTGTCAAAGTGTAAAAACTGCCGGATGCAAGAAAAAAGATCTCGGCAGTTTTTTATTTTTGCTGCCGATAAATGTCGGTTTATTAGTGCGGCGGGGGGAGGGGGCAGACAAAATTGCGATTTATTTGGTTTTCAGTTCTGCTCTCACCAAAACTTTTACAGCGCGTACCGTCTTAAAAAGCGCGAAGTCGACAGTACGGGTTTTGCTGGGCGTAATTTAGTCGTAGAGATCGTCATCGTCCATTATGAAATCGCTACCGAAGCCCGAATCCAGCGTGTACCTTGGACTTGAAAGAAAAAAAATCGTGTAGAATAAGTTCAAATGTTGGTGGTCTCTTTCCACACACTACTTGTACCGTAGTACAAGAAAACAAGGTATGCTCTTGCGCATTTGTTTCCACCACTCCGTCAGATTGGCGAAGAGGTGGGAGCACCCAGTCGCCGCCATATTGACTATTTAAACTTTTGATGCGAGTTGTTTTTGAAGCTATTTTAAAGTTTTGCAAGTGTAAAAAATGCCAACCTGCCAAGTGAAAATCTGTAAAAACAATGCCAAAAGAAATAACCTGTACATTTAGAAGATTAAAAAAGTAAGAAATACCTCACTTGAAAAAAAAAATTATAACAAATTATAACTTTTTCTCACTTTTTTAGGATTTCTTTTATTTTTTTAAAAAGTGGACAGGGCTCAGGTTAAAAATTAATTTACAAATCTGAATTTTTGGGAGTACATTCCGAATAGTAAAAAAGTAAAAAAAATCTCATTTGATTTTTTTTATTAGGTATGAGTTTTTCCCACCTTTTTAGAACTTGTCCTAATTTTTTTATTAAAAGTGGTCGGGGCTCAGGTTAAAAATTAATTTTAATTAAAAGTACCTTCAGGATCATTTTCTTTGAGAATGTAAAAAGTTAATATGTTAGATTGTCAAAAAAATGTTTTAAAATGTCCAGAATACATTTTAGAATGTCAAACGTACTTAAGAACACATGTCCATAATACATTCTTGTATGTCAATGTCCAAAATGTCTAAAATACATTCTAGAATGTCAAACTTACTCAAGAACACATTTGAAAATGTTCGAACGCATTTTAGGATGTGCATAATACATTCTTGTATGTCAACGTCCAAAATGTCTAAAATACATTCTAGAATGTCAAACTTAGTCAAGAACACGTTTGAAAATGTTCGAACAATTAATTTCTAAAAACGGATTCTAGAATGTCCATAATACATTCTAGTATGTCAATGTCCAAAATGTCTAAAATACATTCTAGAATGTCAAACTTAGTCAAGAACACGTTTGAAAATGCTCGAACCATTAATTTCTAAAAACGGATTCTAGAATGTTCATAATACATTTTAGTATGTCAATGTCCAAAATGTCTAAAAATACATTCTAAAATGTCAAATTGACTCAAGAACACTGAAGAAAATGTTCAAACCATTAATTTCTAAAAACGCATTCTAGAATGTCCATAATACATTCTAGTATGTCAATGTACAAAATGTCTAAAAATACATTCTAAAATATCAGATTGACTCAAGAACACATTTGAAAATGTTCAAACCATTAATTTCTAAAAACGCATTCTAGAATGCCCATAATACATTCTAGTATGTCAATGTCCAAAATGTCTAAAAATCCATTCTAGAATGTCAAACTTAGTCAAGAACACGTTTGAAAATGTTCGAACCATTAATTTCTAAAAACGGATTCTAGAATGTCCATAATACATTCTTGTATGTCAATGTCCAAAATGTCTAAAATACATTCTAGAATGTCAAACTTAGTCAAGAACACGTTTGAAAATGTTCGAACCATTAATTTCTAAAAACGGATTCTAGAATGTCCATAATACATTCTTGTATGTCAACGTTCAAAATGTCTAAAATACATTCTAGAATGTCAAACTAAAGAACCCATTTGAAAATGTTCGAACGCATTCTAGAATGGCAAATACAATTTTGTAATAAATAAATTTAGAATGAATATGTTGTTTACATTTGTCTTGCAATGTTAATGTTGTAACTTGACACTTTTCATTTCATTCTTTATATTTGCTTTAAAACGTGTTATTTTATTTTATTGAAAACAATTGACTTATAACTTTTTCTTAGTACTTTTTTCGTATATTTTATTTCGTATTTAGTAAATATTATTTACTTTAAAACAATATATTTTATTTGATTGAAAAACCATATAAAATAGTTTTTTTCATTAATAATATTTTCTTGAAACGTTAATATTGTGACTTGGATCTTTTTTTACGAGTGATCTTTCAATTATTCGAAAATTTAATCTAAAAATCGAATAATTTTATAGAAATTTGTATGAATTTCATAAGGCGGGAATGAACTAAGATGGCGATAACTGGGTGGTGAGAACACACCTCGTTTTCTTGCACCTCGACTTGTACTTACTTGATGGCCCTGCAAGCGAAGAAGACGATGCGCTTGAGCTTCTTGTTGTAGAAGAAGTAGTTGAAGCTCCACAGGCAGCCGTCCTCGCCGAAGGGGTCCGAGGCGAGGTCGGGGTTGTACGAGTAGATGTCGCAGTTCTCGAGCGAGATCTCGTCGTCGATCGCCGACCACATCGACGGCCCCATCAGCCTGTACGGCTCGCCGGCGGTGGCGCCCAGGTTCGAGTCGATGGCCGTGGTCACCCATTGCCGGGACGGCTCCTTGCTGAACTCCGCGCTCTGCAAAGTAGAGGCGCCGCGTGAAAAATCATTTTATGTTTTTTTTTTTCATTTTACATGTAGACATACCATATTCGGTTTTTAAGAGTGGAAGAATAATTTTTAAGAGTGGTATTTGTAATACAGCTGTAGACCCTTCACCGGCGTTGGGTGATAGTCAAAGTTTGTTATCGTCACTTTTAACAGTAAATTATTAATTAAAGGTGTAAAATCATTATTTGTTTTGCATTTAAGTAAAAGTTTTTTCTTATAAAAAAGAACGTTAAAACAAAAAATAACTTTAAAAACTAAAATAAAAAAAATAAAATAATTATCTTGAAAACAAATTAAATGTGGGTTTGGTAAATTTGTGGGTTATGGTAAATTACCCTTAAAATTGACATTTGACAGTTTGATGACAGCCCTGATAGAATAAGGTTTATTTTTTACAAAAGAGGCGTAAATCTCTGTATAAACAGCACAAACCTGAAGCACAAGAATTGTAAACATAAAAATGGCCACCGTTAAAGTCTGACCTTGTTGTGTGGATTGTGCGTTTGTATATCTTTTTAATATATTAATTACACAAATGTAGTTTTATTATGTTTTAATATTCCTCTTTTTTCTTTCACTACAAAAATATTGGAATAATTTATCAAGTGGAAGTAAAAAAAAAGATCAATAAGTACAATCCAGTAAAAAATTTTAAATAATTAAACAGAACAAAACATTAATACTAACTTATGCCTTGTCTTAGACAAGTTGTCTATGTTGCAGATCTCTGTAAAAACGCTATTTGCAAATGTCAATGTCAATCATAATGATTGAATTATTGAATGTTATTAAAATAATACATTTTTGCGCCATAAGAGGAAAATTTAACCAATTTGTAAGTATTGACTAAGCTAAAAAGACGCATCCCATTATTTCCTTAATTTACATCTTACGGTTTCTAGTGATTCCAGATAGGTAGGATGTTTAACATATTCTCTTTAAAATAGTAGTAGTAAATACAATATATGCATATAGGCAACCCACAAAGCATTAACATTCAAATATACCACAATTTTCCGCATTGCTGAGGTATTTTACACCTAGATGGCGTCACATTTACTTTAATTTACTTTAGCTTTTTGCCGCTAGCGTCAGTTTCTAACATAGATAATAAATCATATAGATACGCCACTGTCACATATTTGACGCTCCTTGTTACGCACACTCGGCCCGCTATGGCGCTAGTGTACCCGCCTGACATTTATTGGTTTTAGGTTATGGTTTTAATTTAGGTTATCCTGTCAAATTTTGACAGTCAAAATAGTAAAAAATAAAAGGCCTGATAGTTTACCTATTTAAATTGTTTATTTAAAAAGCAAAAATAAATGTATTATATTTTAAATTATTCAAGGTATTTACTAAACTAAACCAATTAACAATATAATAATGTATTTAAGTGAATTTTATCTTATTAAAGAACACAAATCAGTATAAAGTAATAATATTATGAACCACATTTGCGTTGGTACCTACATCATTGTTTTAATAAAATAGTTATAATTAAAAAATACAATACAACCTTGTCATCATTGTGAAAAGTATGCATTATAACTTGACTGTTAGAGCAGCCCACAGCACAGCACAACACCATGTTAATGTTCAAATAATGTAGCAATATATAAAAAATAGAGTACACAGATAACGATAAATCGCAATTTTAAAAGTTTTTTAGCGTACAGAACAAACCAAATAAACACAATATGAATTTACAAAACTTTACAAAATTTATCAAACTGAAGTTTGTTGATTTCGTTACCAAGCAACCGTCAAGATTAACCGCCGCTCCTGCCACATGCAACTCGAGTGTAAACTAAAACCAAAGTCGACTAGACAAAAATGTGGATTTTGTTTGTTTAAGGCGAGTGCACAGGGCATGGTTTCTAATCTATTATCTTTGGAGATACCCAATTTTTGAAAAAATAAAATGAAGCATTTTATATTGTTTCCTATTCGTCGCACACAAAAAGTGTTTAAACAAAAATATGGTGCTTAAAATTTTTAACATAATTATTTAAAGGCAAAACTTTCTATACTTGGTTAGTTTTGTCAAATTAACCAAAAATTTGTTTTTTTAATACTTTGACCCTTTAAAAATCATTAATTGATTGATAAAAAGTTGTTGATCTCAAAAATATTTACAAAAAAAATTTATATATTTTATTTCTGACCCAAAAGCAGTATAATATATATGGATATACTAATATAGGGCCTACAAAAAAAATTACAATATAATGTATTATAGCTTTTGCACTAGTAGGGTACCATATTACTGTCTGTCCACTCTAAGTTGGCTGAACTAAGGAATTTTGTAGTTTAGATATTAAAGAATTGTCGTACTGTGTGCTTTTAAAACAGATTTTATATTATAAATAATACTAGTATATAATATGTACTAGTATTATTTATAATATAAAATCTGTTTTAAAAGCACACAGTACGACAATTCTTTAATATCTAAACTACAAAATTCCTTAGTTCCGCCAACTTAGAGTGGACAGACAGTACTATTAGTTTAATTTTCAATATGTTTTTCATGAATAACTTAACAGAAAAAAAATTTGTTATTTCTGTGCATTTTTCTACTTAAAATTTTTCAATAAAATTTAGTATAGGGTCGTTTTGAGGGGTGGTGAATCCAGTGCCGTGCTTAGATTTTGTTTAAAAAAATCGCTAATATGAATTCTTAAAAATTTACTCTTACTGATATAGTAGGCCTTGTATTTTGTAAAAATATAGGGTTTTTTGCTCCAAAAATACAGTTCATCAAGATCTACACTTTAAAACAAATCCGGTTAAAATCGCACAATAAATAAAGATTTTACGCAAACAAATGGGTCACACTGTATATGTACAGGGTGCACAAAATATCCTTCTATGGGTATCTTTTTTATTTACAACACAAGAAGAGAAAAGTCTAAAAATCAGGGTTTACAAATAATTTAAATAAAACTGAAAACCTGTCAAAATAAAAAATACTTATTCCTGGGAATTTTCAAAAAAGTAAGCTTTACAACTTTTGTCTAATTTAACCACAACAGCTCTTTAAATAAAAAAAATATGGCGATCGCTAGAAATGTGGTAAAGATGCTTTCAGGAATAGTAAGAATATTTTTTTCATAAAAAGAAGCTAAATATAAAAGTTGTAGATCTCAAAAATATCAAAAATAATAATAAATAAATAATAAAGGACAAAATTGTTAAAAATAATTCAAAATATTTTTTGTGTTGTGCCCTTGAAGGAATACAACCTTTAAATAATGTTGCCATGTACTTTTGGTTGATTTTAAAATATGTAATAATGATGTTTTTCAAGTTTATTTTGTTATCAGCCAAAATATGACTAATAAATAACAAAAATATTTCCAATAATAAATCAAATAAGAAATTATTAATTTGCAAAAATGAATTATTTGATTTAGCAAACATGACCTAGTTCATGTCTAACAGTATATTTAGAAAGCATTTTTATAGTATGGCTCTGCATACATTTATAATTGTTTATTTTTACCGCTAAACTGTTTACTAATCTTAATAAATTATTCATTTAATCATTGCATCAAAACAAATGATAATTAAATTGTTAAATAATCACGTTTAAAATTAAAACTTTAAATTAAAATTGTTTTTATTGGGTGAATAATCTTTTAAGTAAACTTATAAATAAATAAATTATACTTTCTAAAAATGTATACAAAAGATCTCAGATAAAATTTTTTTGTTTTATTCTTACCTTAACATCCATAAAATCATAGTCTGGAAATGAAGAATTCAATGTAGCAATCAAATAAAAGAGGGTTTTGCGACTGATGGTATCGCATAAGGGCCCCTCTTCGTCCCCCGATATGCTCCTGGCATATTGAGAATGTCCCGGAGATACCCCCTGAGGGGGCGAAAGGGCTTGCAGATCGCTGGGGTGAATCCCCTCAGCATTAAACCTCTTGTAGAGTGCCTTGTCTGTGCCTGCCATTTTGCAGGAGTAACTTTCGATGCGTCCAACAATTTTGCTGTCCCCTGTCTCGATGAAGAGTGCATTGTTCATTGCCTCGAATCTAGTGCTTTCCAAGAGCTTCATTTTGGACCTTTTTATTTATTAATTTTAATATCACGAATTTTACTTTGTACTTATCACTCACTGGCTTGTTAAACTTATATCGTTAAGGGATTTAGGACACTTGGAGAGTTTTTAAACATTGTAGTCGGGTGTATGAATATACCTTTTCTTTTCGAATGCACCAACTTGAACGATGAGACCGACGATTTGTGAGTGAAATAATTTGAGCACATTACAAATGTAATTCGAAATAAAACCGAAAATTCTTCGCGACCAAGTCTATGGCTTGTTTGTACACAAAATTCGCTTGTCAAACTGCGTTTGGGCGAGTCCACTTTTAGAGCACAACAAAAAACACTGGGGAAACGTTAGCTAGTGTTCAGAATACGACATATCGATCACCATTTTATCACTGAAACAATAATATAACAATTTAAAATAGAATTCAACAATTTAAAACGCTTTTTTAGGCAGTTAGAACAACTTTAAAAAAATGCCTTGACGTTTGCTTCTTTTGCTACAATATACTGACTACCAACCTAACAAAACTAAAACTCAACGAGTTATATTTCCAAAAAACGTTAAAAAACACTTAATTATCGTTTAACCATTATCATAATATAAAAATAAAATTAAGTTAACAATACAAAAACATTCTATAAGAAAATAATTCCTCGAAACAACAAATAAAACATAAATATCAAACAAAGAAATTATATTTGAGTTGGTATTACTGCACAAACATTTTCTCGAATTCACCTATATTTTGCGTTCGGCCTGACCTTATAGCCGACCTCAGAATTTAAATTAAAAAAAGAGCCTTGCACATCTGGTTTAAAAACGATTAAAAGGGGTTTATTAAAAGCGTTCGAAAATCTATAAATATGCTCGTTACCGCAAGTGACATAAAATAAATCCAATTAGACAAAAATTGTTTTTTTTTTTAAATTAGGTAGGTATATTAGGTTATTTAAAAAAAACATAAAAAATAAATGAACTATTAATTAATATTATTCGACTTTTTTATTACTTACTACTTTAATTTACATAAAGTTTTAAACTTTTCTTTTGACTTTTTTTGCTTTTACCTCAAATATCCTCAAATAATTTATTTATTTGACTACCCCTAAGGGTTGGGGTGTCTGTTATTTGAAATAACTTATTTCTCAAGTTGTTTTCTCTTGAGTATCATCTAAATTATTTGTTTAGTCTAAAATATTTTTTTTTAATGACATGAAAATAATCATAACGTTCGTACTATAGTACTAAATAAAAAAAGTAACTTGGGAAAGGACTATAAAACACGTTTTTACTAAAAAAAATGAATTATTTTTCCATCACTTTTTTAAAAAAGTCACCTAGGTGACTACGTTCGTACGTAAAGTCACCTACATACGTACGTACGAACGTAGTCACCTAGGTGACTTTTTTAAAAAAGTGATGGAAAAAAAATTCAATTTTTTTAGTAAAAACGTGTTTTATAGTCCTTTCCCAAGTTACTTTTTTTACGTAAAATAGGTAGTTTATTAAAATAATAATAAAATAGTTCTTTAATATATATACGTATACGTAATAATAATTCTTTAATACACGTAATAATAATAATAAACTATTTTATATACAGTGTGACCCATTTGTTTGCGACTCACCCCTGTAAAATCTTAATTTATTGTTCGATTTTAACCGGATTTGTTTTAAAGTGTAGATCTTGATAAACTGTATTTTTGGAGCAAAAACGCCATATTTTTACAAAATACAAGGCTTACTAGGTCAGTTTTTAGGAGTAAATTTTTAAGAATTCATATTAGCGATTTTTTTAAACAAAATCTAAGCACGGCACTGGATTCACCAGCCCTCAAAACGACCCTTTATTAAATTTTATTGAAAAATTTTAAGTAAAAAAATGCTCAATAATAACTACAAAAATTTATTCTGTCAAGTTATCCATGAAAAAAACATTGAAATAAAATTAAACCTCTAGTAATAGTACCATGTTACTATTAGTTTAATTTTATTTCAATGTTTTTTTTCATGGATAACTTGTCAGAATAAATGTTTGAAGTTATAATTGTGCATTTTTCTACTTAAAATTTTTCAATAAAATTTAGTATAGGGTCGTTTTGAGGGGTGGTGAATCCAGTGCTGTGCTAAGATTTTGTTTAAAAAAATCGCTAATTGGAATTCTTAAAAATTTACTCCTAAAAACTGACATAGTAGGCCTGGTATTTTGTAAAAATATGGCGTTTTTTGCTACAAAAATATAGTTTATCAAGAAATAAATCCGGTTAAAATCGCAAAATAAATAAAAAATATACAGGGGTGAGTCGCAAACAAAAGGGTCACACTGTATACTAGTATTATTATTATTATCATAATACCTACTTATTTTAATTTCTATTAGTATATAAATATATTTATTAAATACTAGGAATTTTAAAAATGTTTGGCTTGTCAATATTTTTTATCAGTAATTTTGTTTGCAAAATACTTAATTAGTCAACAAATTGTTTATAACAACCTGAAAAATTGACGCCATTAAATTTTTAACAATGACAGATTACGTGGTAACCATAGATACCGTCAATCCGTCACAGGTTTCTTGATACAAAATAATATTTAAAATCTAGAAATTGTTAAATATCTCTGAAATTATTAACTTTAGTTTTTTAATTCGATTATGTAAAAATATACCGGGTTTAAAATAAAAAAGTTATTAACCTTCACTTTATGAATGATGAGAAACGTCATAAAAGACATCTGTAAACCATGGTAAGCTTTGTTATGTTAAACATAAGCAATTATTAAAGTGTCACCAATCATAGGAAAATTCAAAATTTACAATTAGAAAAAAACTTTCAGTAAAACAAATTACAAACCTTGAGAATGCGTTGATTATTACGAAAAACCTCAAACTTCACCTAAAAATTTTAATTGGGGACACCTACACTTCATTTAAAAAAAAGAACAAAGAAACCCATAAAATCTAAAACCCACCAAAAATAGCCTGGGTACTTGAACTGTCCAAAAAACAAAGAAAAACCATAATCACCCGAAAGGTTAATAATAACTTACATAACATTTTCCCGATCGACCGACCCAACTCAATGAAAGGGTCCACAAACACAAACAAGCGAAAAAAACAAAATAAAATTGCCGCGCCGCATTTATTTTTAATACTCAATTCGTAAACAGAGAAATTTGACATCCGGACCGAGCCGAACTCAAACCCAACTAAAATTAACTTTGTGTGCGAGAGACTCATCAGTGTGGCACACACCGTCACGTATGCTCCCAAAATAAGTATAACATCACTATTTTCCACCAACAAATCTAGCAGGTAAGAGAATCCTCCCCAACCCTTAGGAACGTCAAGGTGACAGTTGTCTTTGTTGCAGAGCGATGACATGAGCCTACCACCCTCCAAACAAAGTGCTGGCGAGGATCCAACTTCATCCAAACGAAACAGTGGCCTGTTCGCGTTTTTCAAATGGTTCAAGTCGAGTGCCTCGCGAGAGAGCATCAATTCCGATCTGCAATCGAGTGATTCCAGCAGTTGTGATAGTTTGTCGAGTGTGGAAAGTGGAGGAACCGTAGCGTCGTTCTCCTTCGTGCCTCCAAATGCTTACGCGAACATCACCAAGGAGAAGACCATTGCGGCTGGACCAGAGACCGACACCTATAAAGCGAGGTTGAAGCAGCGCGATAAGCGACGTGAAAACGATAAAAACCTCACGCTACGCAAAAAATACAACCTCTTCTTCAACCGCGAAACCCTCCTCAAAAACCTGGTGAAGCAGCAGAAAGACAACACCAAAAGTCTACCACTGATGACCAAAACCATCAACGAACAAATAAACTTGGAAGATAAAGCCCATAGGCGCACCAACAGCGATTCCTCCAAAACCAAGAAAGCTGGGGCGTATCTGCACGTGAAAGGCAAACGTAGAGCCCCGCAGCCCCCTCAAAAATCGCAATCGACCCCGTCGACGATGTCTTTGAAACGCAAGAAGCGCTTGGCTCCGCCGCCGCCGGAAAAATCCACCTCCGAGACGATCATTTACGCCGACGCTGACGTTATTTGCAATGACTCACTCGCCCTCGATCGCGGCGTGCTAAAGCCACTGAAAAACAAAGAAGTTGCGGACGAAAATAGCCGGCAACAAGCCGGCACGTCTTCGGCTAGAAGTAGTTTCGTAGAGGCGCCCGTTTCGCCTAGACCTTGGTACAAACGACACACTTCGCACAAAGACAAAAAAGAGATTGCACACAAGAAGGAACTTCCGGAAACTCAGATTCCAGACTTGACCCTGGATGACGCGAAAGAAGCGAACAAGAAGAGGAAATCCGGGATATCGTACCTGGCGAACATAAGTGAGCTGGATCGGGAAGCGGCGGAAATAATAAGGAAGGAGCAGCAGCAATCGCTACAGGAAATGCCTGAGTTCATGCGACCTCGCCAAGAAGCAAAACCAAACACCGACAGTTGGGTATCGCCCAAAAGGCGCTCAGCTAGGGATCTGATAGCGAAGTTCAACGCCATAACCAGCGTCACCAAGGTGACTGTGTTTGGTGCTAAGGAGTCGAAGAAGGATTACTTTGGCAAACAGCACAGCTTGGATGAAAGCAAGCAGAGGCAGGAGAGCATGCTGGAGAGCCACAAGAAGCGTTTGGAGCAAATTGATAAGAAGAATATTCTGATGAAATCCGAAAGTGCTAATGCTATCAAAGTAAAACCTGACACGCCCAAATTGGAAAGGAAAAGTTGGGTTTGTCCCAAATGTAACGTGGATAATGATTACTGGAGGATAATATGTCATGTTTGCTCCAACATAAAACCCTATTTTGATGATTTCTACGCCAATAAACAAAGCGACACAAAGTTGAATGAGTTGAAGACTGCTAGTCCTTTAGAAATACGCAAGAATACCACGCAGATAAATGAAAACCCTTTGGAGAGAAGTAAAACTCAAATAGGGTTCTCAGCGTTGGCCACTTATAACAACGCCAAAAATAATAATACAAAGAAATCAACCGTTGAGAAAAGTGGCGACGAGAAAAGGGAGGAAAAGGAGAAACTCAAGAAGATGTTGATCGAGATGAAGAACTCCCTACCGAAGAGAAAATCCAACATGCTCATGAAGCAGAACAGCAGGGCCAGTATTATAATGGAAAACCCCGAACAAAAAAGCGAAGACAAAACACCCGAAGGGAAAACGCAGGAGCAACAAGTTGTGGAAATTTTAATCGGTACCTCGGAAACGATATACGAGAACATAAAAGTGAAAAAAACCGACAACCCCAAACCGATTAAAGTGTCATCGTCGGCCCAAACCAGTGCAATCCCGAAAAAATTGGTCCCTCCAAACACAATATCCAGCATATTAAAGTTGGAGGAATCAAAACGCAACAACTTCGAATTAATGCGCCCGAAGGACTTCGAAGACATCTACAGCGACAAAAACTCAAAATCCGCCGCCAGAATATACGCCAACATGGCGCAAAGTGAAGAGTTGTCCCTGTTCTTCAACGTGCCCAAAAAAATGAGCGATTTGAAGAGCGACATGAGTCAGGCGGACGTGAACACTGACACCATCGAAATCAACAGGTTGCTGAGGAGATTGGAGACGGCCATCGCCAAAGGCGATTTGACCGAAGCAGCAAGTTTTGCCAAGGAGTTGGCCCACCTCAAGGTCAACTGTTCCGTCGTAAGGCAGAAGAACGAAGATGGAGGAGGCTTGATCAAAGAGAAGAAAATCGGCTTTCAGTGAGTTAATTATTATAATATTTCATTGTCATAATAAATGTGTTAATTTAATTTTTTGCTTAAGGATAGAAATGTACGTGGAGGATAAGATATCGCACAGAGGTCCTTTTCCTATTCAAGTCACAGAAAATCAGACCGTTGCGGAGTTGAAGCAGCAAATAGAAAAGGAGTTCGAGATACCAGCTGATGTTCAAAGGTGGATTCTGGGGAAGGAGTTGGTGACCAACGATAATGCCACTTTGAAAGATCACAAGGTCACCTCCGAAGGATGTCCAGTGTTTTTGTATCTTGTAGCTCCAGGTAATAGTAGTAATTATATTTATCTGATTCACATCAACTGTACGTATACGTACAAATATACGTATAAATAATAATAATATAATAATAATAATATACTATATACTAATACAATACAATATACTAATATAATAATATAATATATATAATATAGTAATAATAATAATAATATACGTATAAATATATATATTTTTAGATGCTGAGAAAAGAAAATCGCAAATTCTAAAACCAGAAGACGTACCTGCAATCCCGAACAAAGAAACAAATGAGTCAGCTGATAAATTAGTCAAGAAAGAGAATGAGCTTCCAAAAATAGTGCAAGTCATACCAAAAGTTGTAGAAACTATCAAGACTGAAAACACTACCTCAGAAAATACTGGCAAAGTAACTAAAGTTTTGGTGACAAGTAAGTCGAGTGAAGGTAGCTCGTCCAATCAAGCAAACTTACCGGTGAAAATAAATGAAGTTAAGGTGAAACCAAGTACTTCGAACGAGAATAAACCAAGTTCTGTTAAACCAGAGGTGGTTAAAAGTGAATTGATGATTGCCAGCGTCACCACGCACCTTCCAGTGTTGCAACACAAGATCTTGGAGGAAAAAATTGATGTTGAGGTACGAGATTTAGCAAGTGGGGGTCCACGAATCTCACCGAAGAAGGCAGTTCTTGAAGAAGACTTTGACGAATACAAAAACAACACTCTTACCCCAAAAGAGTGGGAATGCTGCGTCTGCACTTTGTTGAACCCTGTCACTTCAAGCATATGCAACGCCTGCTCTGCGATTCGAGTTAAAGCTCCAGCGAAAAAGAGCGTAAAATTGAAAAAGGCCCCACAGCCTCAACAAACTTACCAACAACTGATGAGTTTGGATAACGACGATCTGGTGGAGAACAACGAAGTTTTCGAGTGCTTGGTTTGTTTCACGGAAGTCCCAATCAAACAGGGTGTAACTTTAAGGGAGTGCCTGCATCAGTTTTGCAAGGAATGCCTTGCGCACACCGTAGAATATTCCGAAGAAGCGGAAGTGAAATGTCCTTACAGAGACAGTGACTACTCCTGCAACATTGCCTTACAAGACCGGGAAATAAAAGCTCTTGTTAGGCCGGAAATATACGACCAATTTTTGGCGAAATCCATCACACAAGCAGAAAACAAAACCGATAAGTCCTTTCACTGCAAGACTCCCGATTGCAAAGGTTGGTGCATTTTTGAGGATAACGTCAATGAGTTCAGGTGCCCTGTTTGCAGAAGAACAAATTGTCTGACATGTCAGGTAAGCGATTTTTATTTAGGAAATGGGTTAGCTATTTTTAAACCAACCTTCATTGAACAGTTGATTTAATTGATTTGAAACATTTGCTTTTGAAGGATAAATCGAGGAATGTCAATATTTTGATAAGTTCTTTCAATAGTATATTTGATTAAAAATAAAACAGTAATAATACAGAAATATTTAGATAACTCTTATATACCTCTTAAAGAGCTTATTTGGGGAGTTTATGAAGGTTATCGGTAACTTTTTTAGTAACACTATAAAACCCAAGTTTTATAATATTACGGAAACCACTATATAACTTCCTGAAGAACTGCTACCGGCTTTTTTCCTTCTTTTAATATTTCTCTCTCCCTCAGACACATTTAAAATATACAGGGTGTCCGGGAAAAGGAGGTCAATCCTTGAGTTAAAACAATAAGACTTTCATAATACCATTTTTCAATTTAGAGCTTCATGTTCGATATACAGGGCGACAAAGTTTGAAATTTAAAACTGATTTTTTTTAATAATTCAAGTAATTGATAAGATATTAAGTTTAAATTCGGTACACTACTTCAACATAAATAGTTACATTTTTTGAGACCAACAAAACAAAAAACAATTGTCAAATAATCAAAATAGGGGGGTCCAGTACTCACTGACTCCCCCTATTTTTTAGTACGTGCGCCAATGACTTTCAAACGGTATTTTTTCAGGGAATCATTTATTGTACTTATAGGTACTTACGTTATCTTTCCAATTGTCATCTTATTTATTAACCACGTGAATATATATTTTGAGTATATAAATATTTATATATATATATATATATATATATATTTGAATACATATTTTCAGAACATCAAAATACCAAAACATAAATATTTTTTATACCATTAAAAAATATATTTTTTTAAATAAATTAATGTATTTTGTTTACATTAACGTAATGATTTTTTACCTTGGTTTGGTCAATTAAGTTGTTTTATTAAGCACATGAATAATTAATAACTCGCAATTTTTATTTAATAAAAATTAAAGACACTATGGTTTTATAAAACAGGTAACCGCCAACTTTATAAAACTCCTTTATAATCCTACTGATTACTAAAGGTCATATAAAATGTTTGTAGAAACAATTATATAACCTAATTATATACCTAGAGTTTACAGTAACTTTACATGGCCATTATAAAACTCTTATATAACCGTTATATATATATATATATATATAAAACTCTTATATAACCGTTATATCATTTATCGTTACCATAAGTACACATTGTTTATTGGGATACTATTTTTAATTTCTAAATAACGTTTTAATTTCAGGCCATTCACATGGGCGAAAATTGCAAACAATACCAGGAACGCGTCAAGGACAAATCGGAGAACGACGAGGAGGCGAAAAGAACGAAGGAATGGCTCGAGGAAATGGTAAACAAAGGTGAGGCGCTCACTTGCCCCACGTGCAAGGTGGTTCTGATGAAAAAATGGGGCTGCGACTGGCTGAGATGCTCCATGTGCAAAACGGAGATCTGCTGGGTGACGAGGGGGCCCAGGTGGGGACCGGCGGGCAAAGGGGACACCTCGGGGGGCTGTCAGTGCGGCCTCAAAGGCGTCAAATGCCATCCGAAGTGCAATTACTGCCATTAGCGTTTACTTGCCAAATATATCTAATAGGGTGGAGCGAAAAAAAAATTTTTTTTTTCCTTAGTCTGGGGGTGGAATTTGTAGCCTATAAAAAAAAAATTTTTGAAAAAAAAAAAAATTTTTACTCAACGTCTGATTTTTTAAATTAAATTTAAGTTAAAAACGAGTGGTCGTAATTTTTTTTTCAAAAGTGTTCCGGAAACTGCGGAGTGTCCTCTTTCTTGCTAATTAACAGTTATGATTTTTTGTTGTCATTATTGTTGTTTTTAAAAAAATTCCAAAATAGTAATATGCTTTTCTGAGGCAATAGAGCGAATTTCGAGTTGAACACGATCAAATTTGTTTATTTTTAGAAAAATTGGAAGATTACATGCCAAAAATTTTTTTTATTTAAAAAAATTTTAACTTAAATTTAATTTAAAAAATCAGTGGGCCACCTCAAGACGTTGAGTGAGAAATTTTTTTTTTCAAAAATTTTCTTTTTTTAAAGGCTACAAATTCCACCCCCAGGCTAAGGAAAAAAAAAATTTTTTTTTCGCTCCACCCTAATATCCAAGAGCTGCTTTCTTATACTAATTTATTTATTTTCGTTTACCTGTTATCGGCGATTTTTTGTTATTTTTTGCGTTATTTAAGATTTTTATTTAGAATCAAGGCTGTTAATTAAATATTAGCGATTAAGTTATTGAATAATGTGTTTGGTGATGATTTGTAGTTGTTTGATTTGTATGTATGCCAGAAAACTGCCTATTTTGTCTAAAACGAGTTTAATAAATGTTTCCTACCTTAATTGTTTGAATTTCGCGCCAATGTGTCCGCAACCAAGTATACACTTATTTATTTACATTTGCATTTATGCATGAACCTTTTTTTGTATTTAAAATTGCATTTATTATAGGTAATACTATTAAATATTAAATAAATACTAATTTAGAAATCTCCAACGCCATCTATTAGAAAAAAGCGTCAGTGATCAGCGCCATTTTTTGACGCCGGTCGACTTTTTGAGGTTAAAAACGTTATTTAACGTTTGTTGTTTTTGTATTTAAGTTCCAACACAAAAAGCCAGAATGGTAAGTTTAAATGCACAATTTTACACCCAATTTTAATCGAATTGTAATTTTAGACGATAGGCAAGAATAACAAGATGATCCAACACATAAACTACAGAGTGAGGGTCACTCTGCAAGACTCGCGAACGTTCATAGGAACTTTCAAAGCGTTCGACAAGCACATGAACATGATTCTGGGCGATTGCGAGGAGTTCCGCAAGATAAAAGCGAAAAACTCCAAAGTGGAGCGGGAGGAGAAAAGAGTTTTAGGTTTTGTCTTGCTGAGAGGGGAAAGCATCGTCTCTTTGACAGTGGAAGGCCCCCCACCCCCGGAAGAAGGCCTCCCTCGCGTCCCCATACCTGGAGCAGCCCCAGGGCCCGGAATTGGCAAAACAGCCGGCCGTGGTATGCCAGCGGGCATGGCTGGAGTCCCGGTGGGGCTACAGGGACCCGTAAGGGGCGTTGGAGGCCCCTCTCAGCAGGTGATGACGCCTGGAGGCAGGGGGCAGGTGGCGGCACCTCCACAAATGAATCAGGGACCTCCGAGAATGGGGGGACCACCTCCAGGCATGATGGGGCCCCCTCCTGGTATGATGGGTATGCCCCCAAATATGGGGATGGGACGTGGGGGACCCCCACCACCAATGGGTATGAGGGGACCCCCACCTGGTATGATGAGAGGGGGCCCACCTGGACCTCCAAGACCATACTAGATTTAAGTTTAATTAGGTTTATTCAATAAATTTATTGTAATATGATTTTTTTGTCCACAATTTTTAATAATATTTTAAGTTTTTATAGAATTAATTTTTTCTTGGACAAACAGAAAAACTATTTCAATAATATGCTGTAAGGTTTTACTATTAATATAAATAGGTATTCATAAGATGAATGTTTTATTTCCCCTGTATTTAAAATAAAAATTGTTTAGGTCTCTGTCAAAATGACAAAAAAATATTAAAATATGTTATATTGTTACATTTTTTATGACAGGTGAGTAAATTTAAAAGTGTTTATTAAAATAATAACTTTAAAAAGTAGAAAGCACATTTTGGAACAACAAAAACGCCATTCAATTGTTTTCAAAATAAAATCATTTCAAATAAAAATAGACAAATAATTTGGGAGATATAACTTTACATGAAATAGTGGTGGTTTAAGATACTGGATTTTTTTACTGCTTATCGCAATTTGTTTAATTTAATTTTTGTGGTAAAAGGGGCACGGCCCTCACCAAGTATTTAGTCTTCTTGTTTTTTCTTCAAACAAAAATGTAGCAATCTAGCGTGCGGTGAAAAATATTCTATTGGTTAATTACTTCCTATACAACCCAAATTCTATAGAAAGTAGTCTTAAATTTAAATAAACCCCCTCTGGTGACCCTGATATAACTTTAGAATGCAAAAAATTACATATACATACTTACAAATTATTAAATACACAATTTTTTTCTTTAAAATTTTGCAATTCAACCGAATGTCATTTTATATGGCGGCCATATTGGTTAAAAATGCGCCGTGATTGGCTCAAACTTGTTTCTCATTTGTTTTGAAAAGAAATGTCAAAAAGTTGTGTTTTAAAAGCTAAAGTGGCTTTGAAGAGTTAATTACGAGAAATCGTAAGTTAATTTTTATATTTAGTAGTATTTAAAGAAATCATTTATACAGTGTGGCCCCGGATCGAGCTGCCAATAGGAAAAACCTTTTTTATTATGCGTTTAAAAAAAAAAATCGTTCTATATAAAAACTCCACTTATTTAAAGATTCCCAAAATAATTTTTGGAATTAAATATACAGGGTGCTCAAAAATTAGGAAAACATGAAAATGCTTCATTACTTATTTAAATTCTAAAATAATTTTGTTTTATTTCTTCCCAATTTTTGAGCATTTTGGACATTTAATTAAATCTTTTTTATTTTAATATTTTTTTAAAAGCAATTTTATAAAAAAAAAAATTTTTTGTAATTGCCAATCTGGTCTGTGGACAAACTGTTTAGTCTTAAAAACAACTTTTGTTGCAAAATTTAGCTACCTACCTTTGTGAGCTGCAACAAAAACCTGAAATTCTTAAAAAAAAGCTTTAAATCAAACAAAAACTATTTATTAAATAAATCATTTTATTTAACGTCCTTAATTATAACCGTAAGAGTTAATGACAGCTGAGAAGGGAGCAACTTGTTTGGCAACCTTTTCACCAGCCTTCTTTGTAATCTTCTTGAGTTTGTCGCGCTTCCTGATGGAAAGAACAGCCTTAACCTTACGTTTGCTTTCGAGGGTACGGACCACAGATTGGTATTTCCATCCTACCTCGTGGGAAAGGCGGCCAACATGACAGAACTAAAAATAACACAAAAATAGTCAACAAAGCGCTAAATGTTTATAAAAGCATGTAGTTAGTTATAAAATAATCATTCCAAAGGTTATATATCATTATAATCAAATAATGTAGGTAAATAAGTAAATAATCATGCTTGTATAAGGGAATGGAGTGTTTTACAGTAAAAATGTCTTACTTTGCGTCCAGGTTTCAAACAGATTACTCTGAGTGCACCAGGCACTACAACTCGCTTCCTACGGTCGTATGGGGGTGGGATACCTTCATAGGCTTTCAAGTTACGTAAAGCTTGCTTTCCTCTTTCTGATTTGTGGGGCAACATTCCTAAAAAACGTTATTTTACGTATAAAACCTTCAAAAACAAATAATATTAAACAGCTCTAGTTAAATTAATCATACAAGTTGTGTTTTCATATCTACTTCAAATAATGTAGGTAAGTTGATTTAAAATCATGTTAAATTGTAAAGAATATGTTTTAAATGTTACGTGTGCGTACCTCTGACAGTTTTCCAGAAGATCCTTGATGGGGCTCTGAAATGGAATGGACCACGAGCTGGGTTGACATTACAACGTTTACGGAGGAAGGACATAAACTTTAGTTTTGTTCTGAAAAAAAATAAAATAGACTCGTTAAAACCACACTTTTAAGACCTTATGTATGTTATAGATTACCTGTAAAAGTTACCAGAAATGTTTAGTTGTTCACATCTTACAACTGTGACTTTGTTTCCTTGCAAAAGGGTTTTTGCTACAATAGCCGCTAGGCGACCAAGCAAATGGCCCCTGCCGTCAATTAGGATAGCCTGAAACAGAACGAATATAAATAAAACTCGTACGACACGTGTGCCACACAATAAGGTTAAGTCCTTAATTAACACAAAATTACGAATAAAAGCACGAATTTCGTTGATCACTGCGTCGATTAACGTTATTTGTTGCTCATTGCACCATTTTTAGCCGGCCTAAGTGAGAAATAATCGAAAAAACTTGAAATACCTTCTCGCTAAACCCAGTCATGTTTCTATCATATGCGGAAAAGGCTGCCGCCGGAAACGTTAAAAGATGGCAGACTTGTTGTCATCTGCTGCCAACGTTGAGAAAATTACTGCTTCCGTTGGCGCCAAATTTGAATTTAAATGTGATTTTTAATGGAAATGAGTTTATTTATTTGTTAATAGAATGATTTGCAGTCAAAATATAACGTTTTTTAATAACAATTTAAACTAATTAGTCTTATTTCCGTTTCTTAAGAGTTTTATATACATTTATTATTTTAAATATTTGTTTTGACCAATGCATTTACGTTTTTATATGTTATATCATCTAAGGGTTTTTATAATTCTGGTAATTTTTTTTTTTTAAACTTGGGACTCAAAAAAATACATTGACACTTAATGACACTATAGGTAATTTACTGATAATTTGTAATATTGGATAAACCCGCAAAAACAATTATACTTAATCAAATAATCTAAAGATACAAATATTATTATATTTTGTCCCTTTCTATTTAAATAAGAAAATCTTTATCTGCAATAAACTGATAAATATTTTTACTATACTATTACTCTAAATTAGTTAATCCAGTCGATATAAAAATGTTCAACTGTTGTCATAGAAAAATAGATAGAAATGAAAGCCATGGGGAAATGCGAAGGCGCACGGGAAAATTATCGCAACCGGTGAAAAACACAGATTTAAGCGTTGTTCCTGTTATTCCAAAAACGCCCGAGTAAGTAGAGGAAAATTAAAAAAAAAATACAAAACTATTTTTTTAGAGAAAAAGATGCCATCAGGAAGGCCATACAAGAGAATGAGTTTTTGTCAGATGTTCTGCAAGGAAATCGGTTGAATAGTGTGGTGGATACGATGTACTTAAGAGAAACAAATGAAGATGAGGATATAGTTAGAGAAGGGGAGTTTGGAAATCAGCTTTATATTTCGTATGAGGGGAAATATTCGATATTTAAGGATAATCAAAAAATTGTCACTTTTAATGATATAAGGGTAAATACATTTTTTTTAATATTACAATATTTTAGATGACTTAAGTCTCAAGAAAATAGGGTCTAGATCTTTAAAATATTTTTTTTATTACCTAGGCATTTATTTATGTAAACGGATTAAACAATTTTTTTCTAATAGAGCTTTAAAAATAAAAAGATATTTTATTTAATATATATATTATAATTATAAAAATAAAAAATATAATAATAATTTTTATTTTTTTATTTTTAAAACTTAATTAGAAAATCATAACGAAGTTATGATTTAAATTTAAATTTTTTTACGCAAACTGTCAGAACATATGTTAACATGCATGTTTGTCAGATGTATACATGCATGCATGTTAACATGTTAGCACAGAGAACATATATATGTATGTTATATACCTATATCAAAATAATTTGGTATTTTTAATTTTTAAAATTGGTACTTCTGTTAATTTGTGCTGCATAAATCCACTAAATTATTTTGTTTTACTCAATTCAGCCAATTATAAATTCCCACATAACAGAATCAGTGGCGGCCCGTGACATTTCATTTTGGTGAGGCAGAGGCAGGGTTTCGCCCTCATTTAAACGTCGCAGTTCACAACATATACTTAAAACTAAGTAAAAAACTTAGACTGTGGTGGGGAAGGAATCCTCTACGTTGTCAATAAAATATATTTTATTGTAAAAATGACGTTTATTTTAAATAAACCTCATTTTTGTCTAATTAATATTTCATTGTTCAGCAAGAACCACGTGAAGGTCAACAATATCGGTACAATTTCTCACCGTAATATGACTAAATTCACATAAATCACCAAGTTCAATTAACTAAACCCACAGAATAAACCACTTACAAAAGAATCATAAAATAGACAAACTCATAGAAAAAGAATAAACAAAATATTGCGTAAATAACCACAGATTTGTTCTTTAAACAGTTCAGAATTTTATAACCAAAACAAACCTAAAGAAGGAATCTGTATTTATCTGTGATGGCTACAAGATGGCGATAGTGTTAAAATATGTTTATTTTAGAATAAAAATATAATTTCGATAAAATCGATTGATTATAAGAAAAATAATACCATTTATTATTGAATTTTGCCTCGCGTATGCTAATACGAGAGAAGGAGACAACTATGATATCGCATTGTAATAGAACGAGACAACAAGGCTAACGCCAATCGTGAGTCTAAATTAGTTCAGGCATGCTTCTGAGCCAATCATCTAGCTATAAATATTAGTTTAAATTGCGGTCGTTAAAAATTCAAATAATTTAAATGTTGCTGGGTATTCCACGTATAAAATCAATCAATTTTATTGACTATTTCACAATTCATGTAATCCAAATATTAAAAATATATAGTATATTATAGAAAGTAGAATATTTTAATTATACTTAATTTTTTAATTCTCTATGATGAGGCACTGCCTCACCTGCCTCCCGCCACTGAACACAATATGTTTTAAAAATGTTGTCAGAACAATATTTATAAATGAAAGGTTGATGAAATGTTGTACGAACATTTAGGGAAAATATTTCTATAACTGTTACGCCTAAATATTTCTGAAACATTCATAAATATCACGTGAATATTTTTCAAAATTTATTTCGCAATTTTATGTAAATATTATTTCCTAAATATTGTTAATTTATTTAACAATATTTATAAGCTTTTTAAAAAGTTTTTCTTGATAATAAGGTATCTGTTCTCTATGTATATGGTATATCTTACTATTAAGTGGTTGATTATGGTATATAATCTCGATTTTAATTTGTCAAAATTCACCATTTTATTAAAAAAAAGATTTATAAGATGTCTTTAGAACATTAAATGAAGATATCTTTAAGACGTCTATCAAAAGACGTCTTTCAGACGTTCAGCCATAATACAGACATACAAAAGACATCTTCAAGACTTTGTGTGCTATCTGGGATATTCATTCAATATTTTGTGTTGAATCAAACGCCATAAAAAACACAGTTTCCATAAAAACTTAACCACTTAAGTGTTATCTAAGTTTTTATGGAAAATATTTTCATCAGGACGGCAGACTTGGATGACGTGATTTTTGTGTGTATTTTTTAAGGTGTTCGGCGAACTATCACTGCTGTACAACGCCAAACGATTGGCTTCTATCCGCTCGATATCGAACGGAAAGCTATGGGTCCTGGACTGCATCGTGTTCAAGGCGCTCATCGTCAAAACAGCGCTGGAAGAGCAAACGGAGATGATAGAGTTCCTGCAGAAAGTCCCGAAGCTCAACGCGGTCAGCGTGGAGCTGCTGATGCGGGTGGCGAATCTATTCCAGGTGGAGTTTTTCCAGAGCGACTTTGATATAGTAACGGAAGGGGAAAATGCCGACAAGTTCTACGTGATCAGAGCGGGCGAGGTGGAGGTCAGCAAGAGCGCGGAGAAGCTGGACGTGGTGCTGGGCAAAGGGAAATTTTTCGGCGAGCTGGCCATACTGAAGGAGGACGTTCGGCAAGCCACGATAACCGCAAAAAGCCCCGGAGTGGAATGCCTGACGCTGTCCAGCAAGCAATTCATGGACCACTTCGGGGACCTGGAGGAGTTCATCAACATCAAACTATCCAACGAGTACACCCCTGTGCAGGAGATCAGGGAGTTCAACGAAATCGAGATATCCGACTTGACCCTCGTAACCACCCTGGGCGCGGGCGGTTACGGCAGGGTGGAGCTGGTGCGGCACAAAAAAGACGCTAATCAAGTTTTCGCCTTGAAGTACATCAAGAAGGAGAAGGCCGTCAGCATAGCCGCCCAAGATCACATCAAGAACGAGAAAGAGCTGCAGATGAGTTGCAATTCCAAATTTATCGTTAGGTACCTATGAGGTGAGGTTACAGTGGCGGCTCGTGGGTTAGGCCACATCTAAATGCGAATAAATTATTCTGCGACCCCTTGTGGAAATTTTTCTCTGAAAAAGTTTTAATAAGTAAAAGTAAGAGTTTTGATAGACTTAATAAGTCTTATTCAACGTTTTTAAGAGAAAGTAAGACTTTCAAAACTCTTTTTTTTTAGTTACTTGGTTAGTTCGCTGCTTGTACCTATCCTTGATGGTCTTGAAGTACTATCTGTTCGTTTGTGTCCGAAAATTACTGTACTAAAAGTTCTGGCACTGCAGTCCGCAATTGTTTGCTCCACTGTGCGAAACCTTTTCTTTAGTCTCGGGTCGATACCGATAGTTAACAATGTTCTCTTTATTTATAACAAATTATGCGACAATTATAAGTAAAAGAGAGTTAGTTTAGTTAATACAAATTATTTGTCCCACTGTGCGTATGCCTTCGCTTTATTCCAGTAAAGACTTATTAAAATAGTGGTGTGTTGACATGTTTATTTCTGATGTTTAGGTGACTTATCGGTTTCGTACCAAGATATTTGAAAAGTTCGTGAATATTGCTTTCCCTGCCTCTTATCGTTAGATATTGATGAAATGTTTGGCGTTGGGCGACTGCCCAATATCTGTCATTTTTCAGTTTTGTTTCTTCTTAAAAAAGGCGTTTCAATTATTGTTGCCATAAACAGAATTAATTAAAAAAAAATAGAAATACTTAACAAAAGTTTTAAATAATTTAATCTAAATCAAAACAAAAACACTTGTAACACAAACTGCCACCCACCACATCTTCAGCCCTGACGAGCCGCCACTGTAAAGTTACAGAGTCCTTTGTAAACTTTTCTCAAAACTGGACGAAAAATGCCTAAATTTCACATTTTCTCGAAAACTATTTCTAGTAGGTTAAAAATTGCTATTTCACTGTCGTTTCAGATTGTATAGAACTTACAAGGACCCAAAGTACGTGTACTTCTTGTTGGAGTGCTGTTTGGGGGGAGACATGTTCAATTTGATGCGCAAAAAATTTCCCAAAGGCTTTGCAGAAACCGCGTCTAAATTCTACGCCGCTTGTGTGCTGGAGGGTCTCGCGTACCTCCACGAAAGAGGCATCGCGTACCGAGACTTGAAACCGGAAAATATCGTGGTGTCAAGTAATGGCTACATAAAATTGACGGACTTCGGCTTCGCCAAACTCATGGACAGCAAAGATAAGGCGTTCACTTTTGTGGGTACTCCGGAGTACATAGCGCCGGAAATCATCAAAAACGAAGGGCACAACATAGAGGTTGACTATTGGGCTTACGGTATTTTTATCTACGAGCTGTTCACCAGCAGGACTCCGTTTAGAAGCAGGGACCCGAGCAACTTGAAGACCTACAGGATGATCTTGCAGGGCATAGATCACGTGGCATTCCCGAACACCATCCCAAGCAAGGCAAAGCAGATTATTAAACAGCTGTGCAGACCCAAAGGCTTCGAACGACTGGGGTGCCAGAAAAACGGCATCAAGGACATAAAAAGTCACCACTGGTTCGGGAATTTTCACTGGGGAGCTCTCAGCGAGAGGAAACTGCTGCCCCCCTTCAAACCTGATCTGAAGAGCAACACCGACACGAGATGCTTCCAGAAGTTCCGAGGCGACACCAGCGTGCCGCAAGACGAGTTTTCCGATTGGGACAAGGATTTTTAAAACGAACATATTTAAGATATAAATGTATTTAATAAACGATCTACTACAAACTATTTATGTGTATTTGTTAAGCGAACTTATCGTCCCATCCAGAAAATTCTTCTGGAACGATTTCGGTGTCTTTCTTGAAGGTTTCGAATCTGCTTGTGTCTGTACTACCCGACAGTTTTGGCTTGAATGATGAGGGCATTTCACCGCTCTTTAGTTGGGCCCATTCAAAACCGTTGTACCTAAAAATGATCAGATCAGTTTTATGCACAGAAAATGTTAAAATAAACAAGTTAATAATCCAAGTTAAATTATGGATTAATTATAACTCACGGTCATATTTAAAATAGTATTATATTTATTTATTACTATTACAAACATAATTCACATTGATATTGAAATTAACGGTTTATTCGAATTTGAAGTCATTCCATATGGTGCTGGAAGACGCCGACGCATTAGAACCATGTATTTTTTCTGAAATTTGTATTTTGTTATGCACAGATTCTTCTAGGTATCCTTCTGCTACCGTCGAGGACTTCCATCCTTCGTGACGCTTTAAAGTAGTCATGTTAGCCCCTGCATTGACCGAAAGAGTGGCCAAAGACCTTCTCAGGCAGTGACCGGTGTAGAGCGCTGGTTCCTCCAATTTCAAAAACATTGCAATTCTTGAAGGTATCTTCGACAACGTATTTACTCCCACACACTTGCTGGTATACCTCCCATTTTTGTAAAAAACAAAAAAGCGGCTAGAACTAGTATTCTTTGGTCTAAAAGACATGTATTTTTTACACAAATTGATCGGGTTGACTGGAAATCCTTCTTCAATTATGGTGAAACTTCTCAATTTCTTGCGTTTAGTGTCTGGCAAAACTACGTGAAAATATTTCCCTTTGTCTTGAATATTTTCTAGTTTCAAATTGAACGATTCATCGCATCTACAAGCAGTGCTAATCCCCATTATCAAAGCCACTTTCATCAACAGGTACTCGTCGTCGGGAGCTTCGTTCAAAAACTTCTCTATTTCAGGTCGTTCTAATGTCTTGGACTTCTTTGGTTTGTATCCCTGTGATTTGCTTTTCAAAAAGCTCGTTAGTTTGCCATATTTTGAAATGTGGATTTTTTTATAGTCGAGCGGGTAATTTTTTTTGCAAATGTAAAAAATAAGCCAACCCAGATAACCAAAGTTTCTTAGTAAACCTAAAGAAACGCGTTGTCGGCAATAACAAGCTGGCATATTTCATGCAACAGTAAGCCAATAAGTTGGAAGTCCAAAACATTTCCCGTCAGTTGCATGCAAACTGCAAGAAAAATGTTTAGGCCCAAGTTTGACACGTATTTCCAATAATTTCTGATTAAGAGTTGTATTCAACAGAGGTGTAACCGACGGGCAACACATTTCCTAAAATACCTTGTTGGTCAGTTGCATGAAAACTGCAAGAAATTTGTTTCCGCCCAAGATAGCCGCTTATTTTCAATAGATTCCAGTCAACAATTGTATGCAACAGAGGTGCAACGGACGGCCAACATATTTCCCACAATAAAGAACCGCGCTTGCGCGAGAGTCCCCGCTACCGTTGCTCACCATTTGTTCTTTATAATTTATGGTTTGTTCTGCGAGTGTGTGTACGACGTGTTGATTAATATAAACAAGAAATCTATCAGGTATGTTTTATGCACGCAATAGTTATCTATTAGCTTTAGCTGTACCTATATCCATATGGAAAAATCTAAAAATCCTTTAAAAATAAAAAAAATACAAAAAAGAAACCAAGACGTAAGTAAATTTTTAAATAATTTGTTATATTGAAGTGAAACTTCTTTCGGCATGTACCTAAATAGAGGCTATAAAAATGTAGGATTTTTTGAAGATGTAGTTTTTTCTTTGAAGTATTATAATTTTATAAGGGTTTTTATTCAAATAACATTAATTTATTTAAAATTTCAGAAGCTATTATAATAGCGGTAATTTTAAATTAATTAATTAATGTAATATCTTTTTTGTATACAAAAATTTGTTGTAGTATACTACAACAAATTTTTATAAAGCACACCTTAAGGTAATTACCGCCCTTGTAAAATTTGCATTTTTGAACCAATTTTTATCGCTCTTAAATATATTTGTATACAATACCAGCTAGGCATTTTTTAATTTTTTGATAATCAAAAAAGTGCCGTGAATAAACACATTTAGTGGATATTTTAATAAAACCAAATGCTTCCCAAGAAACGACAAAATTTACCATAGTGTAAAAAAATATCAAATTATTAATTAAAATCTGACTGAAAAAATTGTCAAGCCAAGCGTTAATAAATTATTTTTATTTTTCAGATTGATTATGGGGCCTTTACACATTCATAAACTGTTCAGGAAGTTTATCTCCGACGAGATATGCAATATACATGGGGGGGATGAGCAAGGCAATCATCCCCTTTACAACCCTGGTCTTGTTAGGGCTATTTTTGGTATGTTAAATAATGTTTTATACAAACTAAACATATGTTTATTGCTAAACATATATTTATTGCAGGAGCTGTGGGTACCAATAAAAACTTTGATCCACCAACGCGTGTTGAACTTCAAAGAGAGGTAACGGCGAGTGGCAAAAGTTTTGCCGCAAAACAGCGTCAACGTATTACCGCTAAAGCCTGATTTATAGATTTCCTTCCTTTCTTCCTTCCTTCCTCTCATAAAATATGAACAATACCAAAAAACGTAGTGCCATTTATAGATTCCCGTATGGGAATCTTTAAAAAGCACAACGGTTTTTGTATTGTTCATATTCTACGGAAGGAAGGAAGGAAGAAAGGCAATCTATAAATCAGGCTTAAGCGTCGAGATCCAAACGTAAACAATGAAGATTCCATAAGGCTGCGCCTGTTTGAAGCCGATAATTTATATAATAATAAATATATTTATTATTCCCGGCTGAAGGACGAAAGTCAATGGCCTTTTGAAAAATGTATTTTTTTCAATAAAGAACATTTATTATTATTATTTATTATTATATAAATTATCGGCTTATAAGGTTATTCTGTTGTGTATATAAATATTTATAATATTTTATTTCTTTGTGAATATAGGTATTTTTGTAATAAAACGACGTTTGAAAAAATTCGAGTATGAAAATTTACGCCTAACCCTCTTGTTAAAATAACAATACCAATAAATGAGGCATTACTGAATTTGGTGGCAATTTGCCGATAACGTATCGGAAATTAAAATGAATAGGTAAATGAAGCGTTTGGAACCAGAGTGGCCTAACCCACAAATGTTTTTTCTTAAATGATGTTACAATCATTTTAGGACAATATATTTTTCGGAAATGAAAAACTTTGTTAAAAAAAGCACCCAAATATATATATATATATATATATATATATTGTCCTAAAATTATAACCCCATTTTAGAATAAATGTGGGTAAGGCCACTCTGGTTCTCAACGCTTCATTTATTAATTTATTTTAATTTCTGATTCGTTATCGGCAAATTGCCACCAAATTCAGTGAATTTGAATAGGTAAATCATTTCCTATCCGTTGCCCACAATCAGTATACGCAAAAGGTTTCCCGTGTGTTGCCGGTGGGTTGCACACTTTAAGTTGTCAGGAAACATTTCCGCCTATAAACTCTTATGTTGTCCACAATAATTATAAGCAAAAGGTTTCCCGTCGGTTGCCGGTGGATTGCACACAATATATTGTTAGAAAAGATTTTTGTCTACAGACAGTCAAATGGTGGCACCCACTTGACAGCAAACGGCTACCATATCAAGAGAACGAATAGTAGGCAACTGACCGGCAAACGGAAGGACGCTGGTTATCTGGGAATAGAACAGTTTCATCGATACCTTTTATCTTCCGTGAACAAGGATATTCTCAGGAACGTTTTTTTCATCTGTTTTCTTCTTTTTTTCTATACTTTTTTCTATACGTTTTTTTCTTCAAAAAAGCTTCTCTTTTCTGCAGGGAAAACTGACAAGTGTCAAAATTTATTTGAACATTTGCTAACAATGTATCATGCCCGTGGCAACCAAACAAACAACCTACTTTGACCAAAATGTAAAAAAGTCACTGTCAAGTCATTCTGACATTTATAGGGTACTGAGACGCAAGTAGCTTTGATTTGATCACAAAGCTTATTAATTATTATCTCATAAAAAAACAATTTATTCCACTTGTTGGCCTGACGGCCTCGTGGTATAAATCTTTCTCGCGTGACTTATTTTCAACATAACACACTAGTACCATAAATATAAAATAATATTATTTTATGTTTAAAATAACAAAACAAATCTTGCGAATTCCCAGGATCTGCCAAATCAAATTGACCAATAGGAGCGTTGTTCGCATTTCGGTACCCTGAAAAGTTGAAATATGCACTATTTTAGCCTATTATAACTTACCAAGGATGTTTCCTGATATCGTCGCATCCATTCTTCTGCATTCCCAGCCTATCCTTGGACAAAGGCTTCAGCAGTTTCTCTATCAAGTTCCTTGCTTTACTCCCTATAACCTGAGGAAAATTTATTTGACCGGTCAATATCCGGTTGTACGTTTTCATGTGACTGGGATCGTCTGTTTTAAATGGAGTTTTTCCACAGAGCATCTCGTAAACCACGCATCCGAAAGCCCAGTAGTCCACGGCTTTGTCATGGCCACCTGAATATACACTATTTTATAATAATAATAATAATGATAATATTTATTTATTGATCACACAGTTAAGCCTGAATTATAGATTGCCTTCCTTCCTTCCTCCCGTAGAAGATGAACAATACGAAAATCGTAGTGCCATTTATAGATTTCCGTACGGGACAACAGGTTTTTGTATTGTTCATCTTCTACGGGAGGACGGAAGGAAGGAAGGCAATATTAAAGATAGAAGTGGCCCCAATATCGATCCTTGAGGTACTCCGGATATATGCTATTTATTAGGCACCTACACAACTTACCATTATCACTTAACATCTCCGGTGCGACATATTCCGGTGTACCGGCAAACGTGTGGGTTTTTCCGGTCAGAATTTTTTTAGCGTAACCGAAATCGGTTAGCTTGACGTAACCGTGCCGGTCGATCATGAAGTTTTCCGGTTTAAGATCCCTGTGGATTATTTTTCTTGTGTGCAAGTAATCCAAAGCCTCCAAAACGCAACCTACAAAGAATAATCAGTTTCTTGCTACCTGCTTTTCCACCCGTCATTTTACCCGTTATAAACTTGGCGTCCTTCTCCGAAAATCGTCTGTTGGGCTGTCTATACATCAATCCGAATAGATCGCCGCCTAGACAAGCTTCCATAAGAAAGTAGACGTATTTGTTATCCTTGAAGGTCCTGAACATTCTTACTATAAACCGAGATCTGCAAGGCGTTTGCATCAGTTTCTCGTTGAAAATATGCGCCTGCAATTGTTGTTCGACCACGTGTATCTTCTTCACGTATTTTAAGGCAAAAACTCTGTTATTTTCTCTGTATCTTGCCTAAAAAAGTAATTGCAATGTTCCTAAATTGTCATCCAAATCGACCAGGTAAAAAAAGGTAGGTAGGTCGTTACTTTTTAAAAAAAAAATTTACAGTTTCTGTACCAAAATCGATGAAACAGAAACATCGGTTTTTCTCTTTTTACGAGTGACATTTTTTCTTGAGCCAATTTTGATTGTAGGTATATATTTACTACATATACCTACGCTAAAGTATCGGGTTTTCGCAACGCGCGCGCCATCTGGTGGACTTCGATGACATTGCGTGAATTTAAGAATTGTCAACAAAACCGATTTGTTTAACCGTAAAAAATACTTTTAAAAAAATTCACTTAATTTTTTATATTTTTGTTGTACAAATAAAAAAAATTTAACCATCGAAACATTTTTGGCCAAGTTATGGCATTTTTAAGAAACAATATCACTCGTAAAAAGAGAAAAATCTGTGTTTCTACGGGAGAACAAAACAAAGCAAAAAAAATGGAAAGGTCCTTATATCCCTAATAGCACAGTTTTTTCTAAGAATGTTTTTTAAACCTTCCAGTGGGAATATTCTTAGGATCATGCTATATTTTTTCTAGTCATTTTCTAAGAATGTTTTTTAAACCGTTCAGTGAGAATTTTCTTGGATCATGCTATATTTCTTCTAATCATGTTCTAAGAATGTTTTTTAAACGTTCCAGTGAGAATATTCTTAGGATCATGCTATATTTCTTCTAAAGAACATGCTTAAAAGAAATATAGCATAATCCTAAGAATATTCTCACTGGCCTATAGGCAGGTTCTTAGAAGGTGCAAAGTTTAGTGGTAAAAATTAATCCACTCTAAACATATGCTTAGAATGTTGAGAAAGTAATTGCTATAAAAAGTTCATTTAGGAATATTCCTGGAACATTCTGTTAAGCATATTCAGTTCAGTTAGGTACCTATATAATAGTAAAATATACCATAAACTACGTATAAAGGTACCTATACTTAGTATTAAATACTAAGTAAAAAACACAACCCAAAATATTTTTTTATAGTTATTTGTCAAATTAAAACAATATTCGATATCAAAAATTACTTTACTATAGGTATCTAAATTATCCGGCTTTTACATAAAATCTTCTATCCAACTTAAATACAATGAAAAATGTTTTTTTTATAAAGAACTTTTTGGTTTTTTCTTTTATGAAGAATTATTTTATAAGGAAATATTTTGTTTTTTTATATTTTATTTTATGTTAAAAATAAATATTTATTAATTTGTATACCGATTTTTTATATCTCAATTAACATTTTTATGTATAATAATCCTAACTATCTTCAACTTCAATCTAATCTGACTCATCCCACAAAATTTTCCAATTTTACTTTTTATAAATAATGTCATACAACTTATGGTTTAAAGGTCAAATTGTTTATTTAATATTTTTAAATAAATATATATTAATATGTCGCAAATTTTTTTAAGGGGACGACAAATACATTTCACTGTCATATTATGACAGTGAGGCGTATTTGTCGCCTCCTGAAGAATTTTACGAATGTAGAATCCAACATATTAGAACGTGGGTATCTGACATATTTGGAAATATTCTCAAAAGCTTCCTAGAAGCTCCATAAGAAACCTTCTAAGAACATTCCAAAAACGTATTCTTAAAATGTTCTTAGAATGCTTTTTAGGAAGCTTCTAAGAATCTAATTGCATCATTAAAAGGGTATCTATTGAATGTTTTAAAAGTCCCTAAGAACATTCTTAGCAATAAGGGAAGGTTCTAAGAATATTCTATCTTCTTAGAAGATTCTTAGAATCAAATTTTGCTATCAGGGATAACTACAAAATCTTACCAATTCCACTCGTCCAAAAGCTCCTTGCCCAAGTGTGGCCACAAGAGTGAACTTTTTAAGTTCAAGGTTCTTAAATTCTTCCCCCAAATCTTCCGAAACATCAGTGACCGGGACATCGATAAAATATAAATCAAAGTGGTCTTTGGTAAGGGTTAAACATTCCACGCCTGGGGAACTGATTGCTGTTACAGTTGCTTGACGACTGCAAACCTGTTGTAGAGCTAGCTCTCCAAATGATTGGCCCTTGTTCAGCTGGCCAATCTCACCTAAAACCGTTTAGACTGAACAAATTGTGACGAATTGGAGTGACGTACCTTCACTCTCCTTCGACACGGAAACCTGCCCAGCACTGATGATGTAAAATTTGTCCCCCTTGTCCCCCTGTTTTACTATGGCTGTTCCCGTCTTGAAGAACTCCTTCTCCAAATGGTCGGCGCCTCTGTGCAAGTTTGATTCGCTGATGGATTTCAGGGCCTTAACTTGCCTCAAAAACTGTATCCTCTCTTGGTGTTCTTCCTTGTTCCAGTCTTTGAGTATTTGGAAGTAGATCGAGCTTTCCAGGACCTGGAAAATTCAGTCCGCAGAAATTTCGAATGTAGTCGACCACTTTTGATTTGGCTGAAACTTTTTATCTTCATCTACCCTATCGGAAACATTTTTCACATTTTTTTACCCAACCGAAAAAAAGTTATGAATTTTTCAAATATCTATAACTTTTTAAAAAATTGAATTATCGGGACGTTTTTTTCAAAATTTTTGTTTTTATAAGTACCTACTTTTCAATAAACAGAAAAAAATATGTTCAGACCGGTGTTTAATGATTTTTTTTTAATTTTCAGAAAAAAAAAAACAAAATTTTTCGATGATTGTCAAGTTAAATTTTCTTTTCGTTTTTTTTATTAGAAACTTTGACATTTTCTGAAAATTCTCTGATATTTTCAGAGTGGCGTTTTTTGGTTTCGTAGTTTTTTTTTCAATCAAAATTTTTTTTTAACTTTAAACCCTAAACCATGTTTTTCGAATAAGTAAGAAAAAAATAGAAGATATTTCTGAATAATTTATTTAAATTTATTATTTTGAAAACTACATTTTTTTAAAGAAAATGAAAAAAAATACATTTAATTTATTAATATTTTGATAAACTTTTAGGTTCCCTCTTCATCCTCAAAAGTCCCCAAATGGTAATATGAAAAATAAGCTGAGTTATTATTTTGGTTTAAAAAAATATAGAAAACAAAAAAACGACACTGAAAATTTGCAGAAAATGACAAAGTTTTTAATAAAAAAAAATTAAATTTCCGCCTATTAAAAAATTTTGCAGATCGGTCTAAATAATTTTTTTCCATATTTTTTTGAAAAGTACATTTAAAAACAAAAATTTTGAAAAAAAACGTCTCGATAAATCAGTTTTTGAAAAAGTTATATATATGTATATTTGAAATTTTTCGGTTGAGTGAAAAAATTCTGGAAAAAGTTTTTGAAAGGGTAGAAAAAGATAAAAAAGTTTCAGCTAAATCGAAAGGGTTCGGGGTCAAAAGTGGTCGATTTGGTATAAGGTAAAGTAGACAGTTATAGGACACTTTATAGTTATTGGACAATTAACATTAATACTGTAAAAACAAGAGTTCTATAAATAGTTTCCTTAAAGACAAATTATTGTGTTTAAATTACAATACAAAATATTTGGTATAAATATGTTCCTCATGGTTTAAACATTGCCACTTTAATGCGTTTTAATTTTAATTCTGAAAACAACCAGTAAAATGGCCAGTGTCCAATTACTGGTTGGTAAAAAAATTAAATTTCTATTATTGGACATATGTCCAATATCATACTCTATTTGTACATTTACCAGCCAATTCTTATGTAAAATTGTCCCCTGAATCCGAAAAGACGGTCAAAAACTATAAAAGTTAAGCAGTTTTTGAGATATAGTTAATTCCATATTATATGTAAAATTGATTATATTTTAAAATCTGTTCTACTTTTATAACTTTTGGTGACATATTCGGATTCAGCGAATACTATTTCATAGGAATTGACTGCTAAATGTCCTGAATACAAATTGTTGTTAACGAGAATAATTAGTGCCTGCTTTTTCGCTTTGACATTTTTGAGTAATTAATTTTTAGAGAGTAAGTAATATAGTGATTTCTTCGTCACAGGACATTTTATAGAATAACATTGATTTAAATACAGTGCATGATAGAGAACATAAAAACTAATGGCAACAAAATTAATAAATTCGGAAAATACTTTTAACATACCACCCGAAAAAATATTAGATATTTATAAATCATCCTGTTCCGGCCTAAACATTATAAATGTTTCACAAACCAGAGATACCACTTAATGATATTTGCAACAAACTATTTCAGAAGTCAGACCAAGGAATTAATAGTTACCTTCAGAATCCAGAAAAACAATGAGGAATCCGAGAAAGAAATATATGAATTATATGATATTTACAAAAACGAAATAAAAAAAATTACCTAAAACAGCAATTTATCTTTAAAAAATATTTAACAATTTATGTTATTTGATGTAAAGTTGTTGTTTATATAAAAATTGTATGTCCAATAACTATGGTCCATGTGTCCAATTACTATATAAAATGTCCAATTACTATACTTTTTTGCATGTTTTTATAAAACTATTAATAAAAATTCAAATATTTTTATTTTTAAGTGAACGTAAATAAAGTTTAAACAAACAAACTATCCTTTTTATGTATTTATAAGAAAAAAACTAAAATCTTTAAAACAACGGCATATATAAATTTTTACCCAGAGTTCAGTTTTAGTGACTGCTTTGACAGTGGCAAATCTGCCTGCTTTGTACAGTAGAGCCAATTCACCGAAGACAATTTGTTTGTTCTCTACGAAGTCGAAATTTTTTCCTTTGAATTTTAGCTTGCCGCTGTGCAGGACGTACATTTTGTCTCCTGGATCGCCCAATTTCATTAGGACTTTTCCTTGTTCGAAGGTTTCCTTGTACATTGCATCTACTACGTTATCCAGTTTCTTCCCTGTTATTACTCTGTTTAAGAACTCGTTGCTTGTTATTGCTTTTCGTATTATTTCTTCATCTCTGTAAGTGTTATTTTGTTTTTAAAAGGTATTAGTTAGTAAAATTACTTTTTATATTATACAGTATCTCCTTCACTGTTAAAAATGTTTGTAAAATTACAAAATGTTGTATTGTATTGCAATTTTAAAACTAAGAATTCTTAGTTTTAAAATTGCAATACAAAATTTTGCATTTTACTTTGAAATCCAGTGGGTTTTGGGTATACCCATATCTCAGTTATTAGACATGGGACCCACACCAAATTTATATGAGTAAATAATGACATTAAATAGACAGTTCGGCGCAAACAGAATTTAAATTGAAGTTTGGAAAAAAAAGTGTCGCCTCACCCACCTCTTGGCCCCCCTATTTGAGATAATTCAAATAAAAGTGGTGCAATTTATAATCTACTATAATTTATCGACAAATTTAAAATTTTATTTAAAAAATTTAAATATTACAGACTTTATACGATTTTAAATTTTTATTATTTATATATTAAAATTAAAAAAGTGATAAAATACTCGAGTAAAAGTTGTCAAATATTAAAAAAACTCGAAAAATTAATTTTTATATTAAAAATGAAAAAAAAATTTCAAAAGAACAATTAAATATCTAAAAAAAATCAAAGAAATACTCGAAATAAATGTGGTCAAATGTTAAAAAAATTCGAAAAATTCAAAAATAATTTTTTATGTTAAAAATTAAAAAAAAACTAAAAAAACTCGAAAAATTAAAAATTAATTTTTTATATTAAAAATGAAAAATCAAAAATATACTCGAAAAAAGTGGTCAAATGTTAAAAAACATAAATACCTATTTTCACGGTAATTTATCTGAACATGTGATCAAAATTGATGAGAACACTGAAAGAAATATATGTTTGTTTTAGCAAATGTATGTGGTTCATATATGGACTACCACATACATTGCTAAAACAAACATATATTATATTTAGTTTTAACATAATATGTTAAAACTAAATATAAAAATGGTTAAGGTAAATATATTTTATGTTTCATATATAGACTACCACATACATTGCTAAAACAAACATATATTTCTTTCAGTGAATGTATGTATTAATATTTTCCCTTACTTTGCGTCCTTCTTGTTCACTTTATACTTTGTCTCTTCAACATTTGTAATGTTGGGTATAATTCCTGGTCTACGGGTTACAGAGTTATCTGGGGGTGTTTCCCGTTCTTCTAGTATTTGCGGTGTTTCTCTTCTTGGCGGTGTGTCTGGTGTTTTCGGTGAGTGAGGCACCACCGGTAGGTTCCAACTACGCTTTGTCGGAATCAAAAAACAAGGCATCTTGATCTAAAACAAATAACCCTGATTTTTTATATGGATACAGAAAGTAGGTTTGAAATTAAGAATAACATTTTCTAAAAAATGTAAAATAAACCTTTTTTTATCTACTGTATAGTAGGGTGGAGCGAAAAAAAAATGGCATTTGTAGCCTATAAAAAAAGAAAATTTTTGAAAAAAAAAAAATTTACTCAACGTCTTGAGGTGGCCCACTGATTTTTTATATTAAATTTAAGTTAAAAACGAGTGGTCGTAATTTTTTTTTCAAAAGTGTTCCGGAACTGCGGAGTGTCCTCTTTCTTGCTAATTAACAGTTATGAACTTAAAAAAAAATGTGTGGTCATTATTGTTGTTTTTAAAAAAATTCCAAAATAGTAACATGCTTTTCTGAGGCAATAGAGCGAATTTCGAGTTGAACACGATCAAATTTGTTTATTTTTAGATAAATTTGAAGATTACATGCCAAAAAATTTTTTTTTTATTCAAAAGAGTTTTAACTTAAATTTAATTTAAAAAATCTTTTTTTATAGGCTACAAATTCCACCCCCAGGCTAAGGAAAAAAAAAATTTTTTTCGCTCCACCCTTTACAGTGTATAGTGTATACGCGCGGTAGAACTTTTAAAAATTTTGTAATTTAATTTTTTTTTATTTAACCCACTGTGCAAATTTTTCCAACCATTTTGTAATTCAATCCCACTCTTGTTTTTTCCACTATTCTTCAAATTTATGCATGTGTGTGAATATATTGAGATGTCCCCCAAGTGAAAATAATTATTTTTTATTTTTGGTTGTTTCACTGTTAGTCTTCACGGAGGTTAGGATTTCGTTGTTTTTTTTAAACATCCCTTTGTATATTTGAAATAAGTTATTGTATCTTTTGACACCTTAATATTTTTAAAAAATACAATTGTACATACACAAAATATTTATAAAAAAATCTACTTACTGAGATATTACACTTCACGGTGGATAGGTTTTTAAATAGCAAATTAATGAATGAATCACATGCATCTATAATGTCGTAAACAGAGGTTTTGCTTATTTAAAATGATTAAAGCGCCATTCGTTGCATAAACTTAAAGAAAAAACAGATTCACGGAGGATAGAATCAATTTTTATAACACGGACATAAATGGTTATAAAAATTATTTCTTTTAATTTTTAATAATATTTTATATTTGATTCGATTGCTTTGGATGTGTTTAATTTACTTAGTTAACTGATACTTTTAGTATGCTTTTACTACCTCAGATATTTGAAAACATATAGGTTAACCTAGAAAGAGTAACAGTCACGGAGGATAGGTTTTAGACTTTTAAAACATTGTAAAAAATAATGAATCGCGGTTCAAAATCTGGAACCTGAGCTGTAATATCTACTTAATTATGAAAGATCAAAGCACAATAAAAGTGTAGGTCAAAATCATTTAGTTTTATTAAATATCACTGGGGGACATTTCGTGAGATTCACCCGTGTAAGGGCAGTTTTCAATCATCCAATCACTTTAGTGACGACACATGAAACAGTTTAAAACTTAATTTCGATACCCGCGCCTTCATTCAGAAATTGAAATGTTTTAAACATATCCGACTTACGTTGTCTACATAACGCTAGAAACTTTCAACATTTTTACTTTTATTTTGAAATATTGGTATAAACAATTATCGGTTTGCAGTGACGTAAGTATTAATTAAGTTCCACGGTTTCAATTCAAAGTAGATTAGACGATTTTGCTTTAGCTTAAATTTAGAGTAAATGTTTACAACACACCTTAGTTTATTTTATTATTTGAAATCTATGGCCTATTATAAGGGAAACAATGGAGTACTGGTTTATTAGTTGTTCAATAAATATCTTACCTTATTTATTTATTAACAATATTATTCACAAAACGCATACTCTATTCACTTTATTTTTTCTTTTTTAAGTAAGAAACTAAAAATCTTTAAATGTGTACAAACGAAACAATTACCTGCTTTAAAATGTATTATTATCTATACCTATGCTTGATTAGATTAAGATGATGAATTGATTGTTTCTAGTACCTACACAATAAGCAACTAAGTAAATATAAATGGTATTGTTTTTTAAAACGAATCTAGATACAATTACCTACTTTTATGGTATTTTATTGTATCAGTGGCGCACGCTTCATTGCATTTTTGCAATGCTTTTATTTTTAATAAAAAAAAACAAAAAATATTCTGCATGCAAATATTTTTTGTAAATAATAGAAAATTTAATAAAATTATTGAAGGAAGGTATTAAAAAGAATTGTTATGGGGCTTAGAATAAAAGGGTATAACTAATAATCAAAAATAGTAAGTAATAAAGAACAAGAAATATTTGTTGTTGTGAATACAAATTATAGCCGAAAAGTGAAATGATCGGCAGTTTTTTTGCTACCTGCTTTCTGACCATTTCGCTTGTTACTGATTTTTTTGACTAGGTTTATATCTATTTATTTGGCAATTCGGTGATTTTTTTTACTTACTTTACTGTTTTGCTTAATATAAATATACCCCTTAATTAATAAAGGGTTGATTAAAAAACATAACATTATTTAAAAATTTTGGAAACTTTTTTAAATGTATACCAATGTGCGAATTTATCCTAACAATATTTTAAATGTATCGTACTGTGCGAATTTTTCGCACTAATATTTTATTTTAAACTACTATACGATTTTTTTCTGTTAGATACTGTTTATTTTTTTGCTCTCATTAACATGACTTACCTCCGGAACTTCATGCTCTCCTGATACTGGCTTAAGGGTTTTAGGTAAATAAAAAACAGTTTTCAACGTTTTATATCTATTTATTTGCCCTTTTTCAGCAACAATAAATAAAGTATTCAGTAAATAGATGCGCAAAATTAATTAACAAATTTTTTCTATACCCTTTTATTAGTATTATAGTATCATGATCACAGATTTGAAACAACAGATAAAATTTAAAAGTTTCTTAATCAAGAATAACACAGTGCATGGGGTGTTTGCTTCTCTCCATAGAAAATAATTTCTATAGAAAGCGATTGCTTTCTAGTGATAATTTTCTGTAGAAAGTAAAATCGCAAATTTCAAGAAACTTAATATAAAAATAACTTCAACAAAAATAAATAAATAGTTTTTTTATGATATGAATTTTATACAACATTAGAAATCTATTTTATTATCTATTTATCTAACAATAGATTAGGCAAAATAGTTTAGTGGTTTCAACATATAACAAATAATAGATTTATTATACCTTGTATATTTTATTAAGAAAATTAACTTACTTTCTAAAAACTTAAAAAAAAATATAATTGAAGTAGTACAAAAGCGTAGTTTTTGGTTAATTTAACAAGAAATATGGGGGGATTCCCCAAAATTTGTTTGTTGTTCACTCTTCTAAAGCCAAAATTTGTAAATTTTAATAACTCACATATAGGGCAATAATTAAAACCCTAACATTCATTAATAATAATAATATTAATAAATTAATCTCCGTGCTTTTTTCTTACTTTCCTACAAAATAATCAGTCGTCTTTGAAAAACCAATGAAAATCCTGATGCTGCAATATTTCGGGAAATGCAAGTATTTTAAATAAAGGTATTGAAGAAAATTTAATATAAATAATTAAAAATAAAATTGACAACAAAATTACACAACATTCAAAACCCTTAAATATTTAAAAAACTGAATTTCATTTCAAAAATTTTTTTATACAAGGTGTCCCTGAAATACAGATAACTATCCAAAAGTTGAAATAACCAAGATACAGGGTGTTAAAGCTAAAAGTTCGTTTTTGGTTTTATTAAATAAGTTTGGAAAAACGTTTTTGCGCAAAATTTGATTTTTGGGGTTTCCCAGGAATTTTGTTAGATTTGCAGGAAAAAACATATTTTTTGTTGTATGGCGGTAGTGCAGTATATTCGGGCCACCCTGTATAATTTAAATTGTATTATTATTTTTTAAAATTAAAAAGAATATTTTTTAAAAAATTGATACATTTTAATCTTAAATAGGGCCCACAAAATATAAATATTTAAATAAGTTTGGAAAAACGTTTTTGCGCAAAATTTGATTTATGGGGGTTTCTCAGGGATTTTGTCCAGACATTACAAGGGATTTGCAGGAAAAAACATATTTTTTGTTGTATTGCGTTAGTGCAGTATTTTCGGGATCCCCTGTATAATTTAAATTTAGTTAACTTTTAAAAAATATATATATATATTTTTAAAATTGCCATAAGAAACAAACTAAATAAAAATTATAAAAATTCATGGATAATTGAGAATTTAACATTTCCAAATAGTCAGAATTCGTCTACATAACAAAAATTGATGAATTTTAATCTTAAAAGGGTCCACAAAATTTTGTTTTTGTATTTAGAAAATTTAGCACAAAAAATTTAAATATAAAGCAGTTTTTAAGTGATAAGTGGTTAAAAACTGAATTTTATTTTAATTTTTTTATTAAGTATTTGTTTATACAAGATGTCCCTGACATAAAGAGACCTCTATACAAAAGTTGATAATAAACAGGGTGTCAAAGTTCGTTTTCGGATTTATTATTAAATAACATTGGAAAAACGTTTTTGCGCAAAATTTGATTTTTGGGGTTTCTCAGTAATTTTGTTTGGATATTACAAGAGACTTGCAGGAAAAAACATATTTTTTGTATGGCGTTAATGCAGTATTTTCGGAATACCCTGTATAATTTAAATTTAATTATTAAAAAAAATCTGCAATTATAAAAAACATTATTAACAACTTTTTTAAAATAAAAAAAATGTTTTTAAAAGAAACAATCAATATAAAAATTGTAAAAATTCATGGATAAGTCAGAATTTAACTAAACTTTTTAAAAGCATACATATATACAAATTATTTATTTTTTAATCAATTAAAAAAAAAGAAAAAAAAATAATTTCGTGTCCACGCGTCCCAGACCCTTTAAGGATTAAACAAGTATTTCTTCTTATTATCATTTATAAAGTTGAAATAAAAAACTTTATATTTAATGATCATAAGGGTAAATTTCAGGATTAAAAAAGAATTTCCCGATTATCATTTATAAAGTTGAAATAAAAAACTTTATATTTCACGACAGTAAGGGAAAGTTGTGTGAAAAGTGTGTCGAACCTTTCCGCGAACTTGCAGCACCAGAAAAACTACCAATCGACGCCTATCGGTACATCATGACGTCGGAGCTCTGGTACATGCAGATGTACGCGTCGCAGAGCAGACGTCGCGCGTGCTCGGGCAGATGCCGATCGACCTCGAAGTCTTCGTGCAATTTTCTGCAGATCGTGTCGTCCGACAGCCACCGCGAGATGTCGGGACAGGCGACCATCTCGGGGATGTTGAAGCCGTTCCTCTCCCCTGAAACGACAATCGGTGGAGGAAACCGCGTCTGAGGTTTGACGGCATCCCTGAACACTAGAGACATCTCAAACCCTAAGCTGAACCGGTTTCAGTTTAATCCCTGAAGATGTCTCTATTATCAAGAGATGTAGTATGTATGAAGTATGAATGGGTCATTCCACCAAATGAATAATGTTTTTTCGTAAAAGATTCTTACCTTTTCAATAAAAATATTCAATCTTTATAACAAGTAACTGAGGACCATCAAAAATTCAATTAAAGTGATTATTTACAAACTTGTTAGTTTATGTTTTTTTCACGAAAAATTTTATTCGCAAAGTTTTAATTGCACAGCCAAACTGCAAAACTTTGGTTTAGTACTCAATTTCATTTTCAAATGTTTATTTGGCAATTTAAATTAGGGATTTCACATTTTTAAATGTGCAATTAACATGTTCTTGACATAATAAATTGTGTTATTGACATTCTTAAATATGTTTTTGGCATTTTAATTGTGTTTTTCACATTCTTAAATGTGTTTAGACGTTCTGAATTGTGATTTTGACACTATCAAATGTATATTTGACATTTTTAGATAGGTTTTTGACTTTTTAAATTGTGTGTTTTTTTAGTTTTTAATATGCATTTGAGATTCAAATTTTTATTCTTGACATTTTAAATTAGGGATTCAACATTCTAAATTGTGTAATTGAAATTCTTATATATGTTTTTGGTATTCTAAATAGTGTTTTTCACATTCTCAAATGTATATTTGACATTTTTAAATAGGTTTTTGACATTCTAAATTGTGTTTTTTTAAGTTTTCAATATGCAATTCACATTCAAAATTATTGTTTTTAGATTTTAAATTGTGTTTTTGACATTCTCAAATATATATTGGACATTTTAAATTGGAGATTTCAAATTTTTAAGTTTTGTTTGTCACATTTTTTAATGTGCATTTTTAACATTCAAAATTGTGTTATTGACATTCTTAAATGTATATTTAACATTTTAAATTAGGAATCTCACATTTTAAAATGTGCATTTGACATTCAAAATTGTGCTTTGGAAAATTTTGTTTGTGACATTCTAAATTGTATTATTAACATTATTAAATGTTTTTGTCATTCTTAATAATTATTGTCTTTTTCAAATTCTTTTATTTTCTTTTTTTTTCACATTCTTAAATGCATTTTGACGTTCTAAATTGTGTTTTTGTTTTAAGTTTTTGATATGCATTTGATATTTAAAGTTTTAAGGTTCTTTTGTTACTTATAATAAAAAATGAAAAATTTTATGAAAAAAGGAAAAGATTTTTTTTACAAAAAAAGTACTGTTTGTATTTCTAAAAAAATAACGAAAAAGTTAAAAAAGTACTTAATATTAAGAGATCAAATCTTCAGTGTGAGTCATTAATTATAATTATAAGCAATTACTTATTAAAATTAGGGTTTTCACATTTTTAAATGGATTTTGACGTTCAAAATTGTGTTTTTGACATTCCTAAATATGTTTTTGGAATTCTAAATCGTGTTTTTCACAATCTTAAATGTGATTTGACGTTCTAAATTCTGTTTTTGACATTCTCAAATGTATATTTTACATTTTTAAAAAGGTTTATGAAATTCTAAATTAGTTTTTACATTTTAAATTGTGTTCTTGACATTCTTAAATGCATATTTGACATTTTAATTAAATTAGGGATTTCACATTTTAAAATGTTCATTTGACATTCAAAATTGTGTTTTTGACATTCTCAAATGTACATTTGAAATTTTTAAATGTGTTTTTGACATTTATTTTTTTTTAAGTTCTTCATATGCATTTAATATTTAAAGTTTTAAGGGTCTTTTGTAACTTAAATAAAAAATGAAATTTCCATTGAAAAGCCAAAAAAAGTCCTATTTGTATTTCTAAAAAACATTATAAAAAAATAACGAAAAAAGTACTTAATATAAAGAGCACAAGACCACAGTGTGCCTAATTACTTTATTTTAAATTGGGGTTTTCACATTTTTAAATGTGCATTTGCCATTCAAAATTGTGTTTTTGACATTCTTAAATATGTTTTTGGCATTCTAAATTGTGTTTTTCAAATTTTTATGTGCATTTGACATTCAAAATTGTGTTGTTGACATTCTCAAATGTATATTTTACATATTTAAATAGGTTTTTGACATTCTAAATTACTGTTTTTACATTTTAAATTGTGTTTTTCACATTTTTAAATGCATATTTGACATTTTAAATTAGGGATTTCACATTTTAAAATGTGCATTTGACATTCTAAATTGTGTTTTTCACATTCTTATATGTATTTTGACGTTCTAAATTGTGTTATTAACATTCTCAAATGTATATTTGAAATTTTTAAATGGATTTTTGACATTTTAAATTGTGTTTTTAATATGCATTTGATATTTAAAGTTTTAAGGGTCTTTTGTTATTTATATTTAAAAATGAATACTTCCATCCAAAAGCCATGTAGAGAATACACTAAAAAAAAATATTTGGTGGGATGACCTAAATATAAAAATCATAAAAATCAATAATATAAAACCGGAATAAATTGATAAAAATTTACGAAAAAACTGAGATTGGAGATCCTAAACGAATGAGGAAAAAACCTAAAACTGAAAGAGAAGTAGAAAGTAGCGTGCTCTTACCTTGCCTGTCGGCCATGCTGTCGAAGAAGCACCAGGGCGCCTCGTGGCCGACGCCGCACTTGACGAACGCCACGTAGTGCGACGTCTCGATGCAGATGACCGCGAACAGCTCCATGTAGAGCCTGGGCGGCCGGCAGTGCTCCTCCATGATGGCGAAGTCGCGCGCCACCTCCAGCTTGACGGGGCGGTGGTGCTGCCGCCGCTCGTGGCGGTGCGCCGTCTTGAGGCACTCGGTGCAGTAGCCGGTGCTCTCGAGACCGGCGGCGGCCACGTCGAAGCAGTCCTGGCACTCCCACTTGGCCAGCCGCCCGCACACGTTGCACTGCCGCGGCGCTGAAACGGTTTTTTCCACGTTCTAAATTGCGTTTTTCACTTACTTTTACATTCTAAATTGTGTTTTACACATCCTTAAATGTGTTTTTGACGTTCTTAATTGTGTTTTTGACCTTCTTAAATGCGCTTTTGACGTTCTTAATTGTGTTTTCAAAGTCTAATTTTTATTTTTCACAGTTAAAAAATGCGTTTTGAGATTATGAATAAGGTCTATGATTCCTATTTGTGTTTTTGATATTCTAAATTGTATTTTTGACATTCTTAATTGTGTTTTTTTAATTCTAATTTGTGTTTTTCACATTTTAAAATAATAATACATATTGCACATCAAGAAAAAAATACAGATACATTCAAAATTGTGTTCTTGACAATCTAAATTGTGTTATTGACATTCTTAAATGTTTTTGAATTGTGTTTTTGACCTTTTTAAATGCGTTCTTAATTGTGTTTTTAAAGTCTAATTTTTATTTTTCACAGTTAAAAATGTGTTCTGACATTTTAAAATGCGTTTTGAGATTATGAATAGTGTCTATGATTCCTAATTGTGTTTTTAAGATTCTAAATTGTATTTTTGACTTTCTAAATTGTGTTTTAACATTCTAAATTATGTTTTTAAGTTTTACATTCTAAATTGTATTTTTGGCATTCTTAATTGTGTTTTTTAAATTCTAATTTGTGTTTTTCACATTTTAAAATAATAATACTTTATTGCACATCAAGAAAAAAATACATAAAAATACAAATACATTCAAAATTGTGTTCTTGACAATCTAAATTGTGTTATTGACATTCTTAAATATGTTTTTGACCTTTTTAAATGCGTTTTTGACGTTCTTAATTGTGTTTTCAAAGTCTAATTTTTATTTTTCACAGTTAAAAATGTGTTCTGGCATTTTAAAATGCGTTTGAGATTATGAATAAGGTCTATGATTCCTAATTGTATTTTTGACTTTCTAAATTCAAAATTGTGTTTTTAACCTTTTTAAATGCGTTTTTGACGTTCTTAATTGTGTTTTCAAAGTCTAATTTTTATTTTTCACAGTTAAAAATGTGTTGTGACATTTTAAAATGCGTTTTGAGATTATGAATAAGGTCTATAATTCCTAATTGTGTTTTTGACATTCTAAATTGTATTTTTGACTTTCTAAATTGTGTTTTAACATTCTAAATTAGGTTTTTAAGTTTTACATTCTAAATTGTATTTTTGGCATTCTTTATTGTGTTTTTTAAATTCTAATTTGTGTTTTTCACATTTTAAAATAATAATACTTTATTGCACATCAAGAAAAAAATACATAAAAATACAGATACATTCAAAATTGTGTTCTTGACAATCTAAATTGTGTTATTGACATTCTTAAATATGTTTTTGACATTTTAAATCATGTTTTTAAAATTCTAATTTGTTTCACATTCTTAAATGTGTTTTTGAAATTCTAAATTGTGTTTTTTTTAAGTTTTTAATATGCATTTGACATTCAAAAATTTATTCTTGATATTCTAAATTACTGTTTTAACATTTTAAATTGTGTTTTTGACATTTAGGGACTGTTGTAACATATTAAATTGTGTTTTTGACATTTAGGGATCACATTTTTAAATGGGCTTTTGACATTCCAAATTGGGTTTTTCACATTTAAAATGTGTTTTTTGAAATTCTTAAATGCATATTTGACATTTTAAATTAGGAATATCACATTTTTAAATTGGGTTTTGACATTCTAAATTGTGTTTTTCATATTCTTAAATGTATATTTGACACTTTAAATTAGGGATTTCACATTTTTAAATGTGCATTTGATATTCAAAATTGTGTTTTTGGCATTCAAAATCGTGTTTTTCAAATTCTAATTTGTTTTTCACATTCTTCCTAATTGTGTTTTTGACACTCTCAAATGTATATTTGACATTTTTAAATAGGTTTACGACATTCTAAATTGTGTTTTTAATTTTTTAAACATGCATTTGAAATTACTGTTTATACATTTTAAATTGGACTTGGACATTTTACATTTCACATTTTTAAATGAGTTTTTAAAATTCTAAATTGTGTTTTTCACATTTTTTAAATGCCAAATATTGTGTTTTTGACATTCAAAATTGTATTATTGACATTCTTAAATATGTTTTAGACATTCCAAATCGTATTTTGTTTGTTTTTTTACATCCTTAAATGTGTTTTGACGTTCCGAATTTTGTTTTTGACATTCTTAAATGTATATTTAACATTTTAAATTAGAGATTTATTAATAAAATTAATAATAATAATAATAAACGTCTTTATTGAGAAAATAAATATACAATCTCAAATGGCAAAATTTGACTTGTAACATTTATTGTTAATGAATTCATACATTTAACTTCTAAATGGGTTTTTAACATTCTAAATTGTGTTTTTTTCATATTTTTTAAATGGGCATTCAAAATTGTTTTTGACATTCTAAATTGTGTTATTGACATTCTTAAATATGTTCTAAATCGTGTTTTTAAATTCTAATTTGTTCTTCACATTCTTAAATATGTTATGACGTTCCGAATTATGTTTTTGACATTCTCAAATGTATATTTGACATTCTAAATTGTGTTTTTTGAAGTTTTTAATATGCATTTGACATTCCAAATTACTGTTTTAACATTTTAAAATGTGTTTTTGACATTCTCAAATGTATATTGGACATTTGAAATTGGGGATTTCAAATTTTTAAATGAGTTTTTGACATTCCAAATTGTGTTATTGACATTCTTAAATGTTTTTGGCATAATGCCTATATGTTTTTTAAAGTCTAATTTGTTTTTTACATTCTTAAATGTGTTTTGACGATCTGAATTGTGTTTTTGACTTTCTCAAACGTATATTTGACAATTTTAAATAAGTTTTTGGCATCCTAAATCGTCTTTTTGAAATTATAATTTTTTTTACATTTTTAAATGTGTTTTGACGTTTCGAATTGTTTTTTTGACATTCTCAAATGTATATATGACAATTTTAAATACGTTTTTGAAATTCTAAATTGTGTTTTTTTAAGTTTTATATCCATTTGACATTCTAAATTACCGTTTTTACATTTTAAATTGTGTTTTTGACATTTTTAAGTGTATATTAAACATTTTAAATTAAGGATTTTACATTTTTAAATGGGTTTTTGACATTCTAAATTGTGTTTTTGACATTCCAAATTGTGTTATTGACATTCCGAAATATGTTTTTGGTATTCTAAATCGTGTTTTTAAAATTATAATTTGTTTTTCACATTTTTAAATGTGTTTTGACGTTCTGAATTGTGTTTTTGACATTTTAAATTGTGTTTTTAACATTCTTAAATGTGTATTTTACATTCTAAATTGTGTTTTTCACATTAGTGTTTTAAAATTCTTAAATGTGTTTTTCAAATTCTTAAATGTGTTTTAAACATTTTAAATTATCTTATTATTCTTAAATGTGTTTTGGCATTTTATTGTGTGTATGATATTCAAAATTGTGTTTTTGACATTGTTAAATGTGCATTCAACCAAGTCTTGTATTGCTACTGATTAAATTGTTTTTAAAACCTTTTAAATGTTATTGGACATTCCATATGTTGTATCCTAAAGTTTGGACATTCTTAAAAGTCTGCATTTTAAACGTTTTCAATTGTGTTTTGACGTTTAAAAAGTAAATTTTAAAGTACTTACATCCTTCAATGATATCCGTGACGTCCAGCAACTGCGACGGCAATATCCGCGGATAGACCTTGTAGGTTTTCCCGAACCTGGGCATCTGTATGATCAGACACGAGGGCACCTCCTTCAGCTTGATGCTGCTCGTCAGGAAACTCTGATCGAAGAGCTGCTGCACGGTGGGCAGCGTCAAGTCGGCGTCCTTCTCGACGAACAGCTGGTAGTGGAAGGCCTCCTGGCCGGAGTTGAGCTTCAGGAACGGCTCGGCCTTGAGTATCTGCGCCAGCAGCGAGTTGAGGAACTCCTCGGGGTCCTTCTCCTCGCTCGTCAGCCCCGAGACGGAGGAGAGGCGGTCCAAAAGGCGGCGCAGCTTCATCACGTGGTCCGCCCTGACGAACAGGTGCCTGCGCAGCGGGTTCACGATCTCCTCGCGCAGCACTCTTTGCACCTGACCGACAAACAACGTCGAGGGTAAAATTTTTGCGTGCTACGGGCTACGAAAACTCGATACCGTGTAAGAAAATGGATAGTGATAGTCTGACTTTTAAATGTGTATTTGACATTTTAAGTTGTGTTTTCAAGTTTTAATTTGTATTTTTCACACCTATAAATGTTTATTTGACATCCTAAATTGTGTTTTGAAATTCTAAATTGTGTTATTTACATTCTTAAATGTGTTTTTGACATTCTAAATTGTGTTTTTTACATTGTTTTTTTACACTTTTAAATGTGTTTTTAAAATTCTAAATTGTGTTTTACCATTCTAAATTATGTTTTTAAGTTCTAATTTGTGTTTTTTACATTCTAAATTGTATTTTTGGCATTCTTAATTGTGTTTTCAAGTTTTTTGTGTTTTTCACATTGTATTTTTCACACTTTTAAATGTGTATTTGACATCCTAAATTGATATTCTTAATTTTGTTTTTAATTTCAAATTTCATATTTGTATTATTTACACTAAATAATGTTTTTGACATTTTCAATTGTTACATTTAACATTGTGTATTTGACATGCTAAGTTGTGTTTTCAAGTTCAAATTTGTGTTTTTCACATTGTATTTTTTACACTTTTAAATTTGTATTTGACATTCTAAAGTGTGTTTGACATTGTAAATTGTGTTTTTGACATTCTTAATTGTGTTTTTGACATCCTAAATTATGTTCTTGAAATTATAAATTCGTGTTTTTAGTTTCTTTAATGTGTATTTGACATCCTAAATTGTGTTTGTGACATTCTAAATTGTGTTATTAACATTCTTAAATGTGTTTTTAACATTCTATTCAATTGTTTTTTCAAGTTCTAATTTGTGTTTTTCACATTGTATTTTTTTCATTTAAATGTGAATTTGAAATTCTAAATTGTGTTTGTGACATTCAAAATTGTGTTATTGACATTCTCAAATGTTTATTTGACATTCTAAATTGTGTTTTCAAGTTCTAATTTGTTTTTCACATTGTATTTTTTACACTTTTAAATGTGTATTTAACAAACTAAATTGTAATTTTAACATTCTTAAATGTGTTTTTGACATTTTAAATTGCGTTTTTCACTCTCAAAACTGTGTTTTTGCCATTCTAAATTATGTTATTGACATTCTTAAATGTGTTTTTTACATTATTTTCACATTGCATTTTTCACACTTTTAAATGTGTATTTGACACTCTAAATTGTGTTTTCAAGTTCTAAATTGGGTTATTGACATTTTTAAATGTGTTTTTGACATTCCAAATTGTATTTTTGTTCTAATTTGTGTTTTTAACATTGTGTATTTGTCATCCTAAATTGTGTTCTTAAATGTGTTTTTGACATTCTAAATTTTGATTCAACATTTTTAAATTTGTGTTATTAAGGTCTAATTTTAAATTGGGTTTTTAAGTTTTAATTAGTGTTTTTCACATTTTTAAATGTGTTTTGACGTTCTATTTTTTTTGGATTATAAATTATGTCTATGATATTCTAAAACTTGTGCATTTGACATTCAAAATTTTGTTTTGGAAGTTCTTAATTATGTTTTTGACATTCTAAACTATGCTTTCTAGCTCTAATTTGGTTTTTTACATTCTTAAATGTTTTGACATTCTAAAATGTATTTTTGGCATTATAAATTGTATAATTGTATTTTTTACGTTCTTTTAAGTTTTTTTAAGATTTTAAATTGTGTTTTTAAGTGCTAATTTATGTTTTCACATTCCTAAATGTGTTTTGACATTCTAAAATGTGTTTTTCGCATTATAAAACTTTAAATGCGCATTTGATATTTAAAATTGTGTTTTTAACTTTTTCTTGACATTCTAAATTTGTATTTTTGATTCTTTAATGTGTTTTTGACATTCTAAATTGTGTTATTAACATTCTTAAATGGGTTTTTGGCATCATATGTACATTGAGTCTATGACATTTTAAATTGGGCCTCTAAAAAATCGGTACGGGTGAATGGGGGCGCGTGTACGTACACTTCTACGTTCTAAGAAATGAGAGGCTGTGCATAAAATGGCGGATTGCCTATTTCTTCACAACCTCCTTGATATGGGTATCAAATGAAAGGGTTTGATGAGTAGAAAACGAAAATGTTAAAAATTTCCAAAAATTTCAAATTTTAAAAATTGCCCGCCAATCCCGAAAATGCCGTCAAAGATGAGTTAATTTTTCATAATAAAAAAGTATTTTTAGCTATTCTAGGCAATTTTTTTGGTGAAAAATGAAAGGTACCTAAATATGATTAATATTTACCTCTTCGTAGTCATCGATGTCGGTTTTGTTTTTGGGTCTAAACAGCAAGCTGTCGAATACGCTCGTGTAGGTGAACATGCTGAACAAAGTGACGTCCAGGTAGCAGGAATTGTGGTGGCCCTGGATGCCGCGATATTTGCCGCACACTGCGATCACGTCTTCTTCTGTTGGCATGCACAGTGGGGCGACTGCGCCTCTTATGACTGGACAGTCCATCTGGAAAATAGAAATAAATATTGGTGTTTTTTTAACGTTTAATTGTGCATTTTTTACCGTTTTGGTTTTGTTTTGATAAATTTAGGTTAATAAACAATAATTGTAGATAAAATGTGGGACTATTAACATAATAAATAGATAAGGATATATTGGTAGATATTTTTTTTTATTAATTAACATTTCTTATTAAAAACTTTTAGAGGAATTTTATGCATAAAAATATTTGAAATTGACATTTTAACAAATCACAAAACTGTTTTTATAAAAAAAATTTGGTAATTAATTATACTAGGTGTCCCTAAAATGCCTGTACAAAATGATACAAAATGATACCAAAATTAACTTCTATGCAAAAGTTAAAAGTTTGTTTTTAATTTTCTTAAATAACTTTGGAGAAAACAAACGTCCGGAAAAATTAAATGTATTAATTTAATTTAAATAATTACGTTTAAATGGACCTTTCAACTTTTTTATAAAAATATTACTTTTTAAAAGACGCTACAAATTAAGTTACATTTTTTTAAATTTAATGTTTTTTAAATATTTAAAAATGTGAAAACCTCAATTTAAACGTCAAAACATATTTCAAAATGTGTTAAACACAAATTAGAACTTGAAAACACAATTTAGAATATTAAAAACATAATTTGGAATGTTAAAAACATAATTTAGAATGTCAAATACACATTTAAAAATTTGTGTTTTATGCCATAAACACAAACAAGTTGACATTGTCAACTCATTTAAAAATGTCAAAAACACAATTAAGAATGTGAAAACACAATAAAAGAATGCTATAGGCGCCATTTATAATCATGTAAACAGATGTTAGAAAAACCCATTAAGGAATGTGAAAAACACAAAACAAAATTTAAAATGCCAAAACATTTAAAAATGTAAAAAACACAAATTAGAACTTAAAAACACAATTAAGAATGTCAAAAACTTAATTTAGAACGTCGAAACACATTTAAAAATGTGAAAAACACAAATTAGAACTTCAAAAACGCAAGTAAGATTGTAAAAAACATAATTTTAAATCCCAAAAACACATTTTAGAATGTCAATAACAAAATTTAGAATGTCAAAAACACAATTTAGAATGTCAAAAAGAAACTTTAGAATGTCAAATACAAATTTAAAAGTGTAAAAAATACAATGTGAAAAACACAAATTGGAACAAAAACACATTTAAGAATGTCAATAACACAATTTAGAACTTGAAAACACAATTTAGGATGTCAAATACACATTTAAAAGTGTGAAAAATACAATGTAAAGAGAATGTGAAAAAAAATGTCAAAAACACATTTAAGAATGCCAATGTTAGAAACACAAATTAGAACTTGAAAACACAATTTAGAAACAAAAACACATTAAGGAATGTTATCGACAAAATTTATAATCCCAAAAAGACATTTTAGAATGTGAAAACACAAATAAGAGCTTGAAAGCACAATTTAGAATGTCAGAACACATTTGAGAATGTGAAAAACACAAATTAGAGCTTGAAAACATAACTTTAGAATGTGAAAAACATGTCCAAGAATACAAATAACACAATTTAGAATGTTATAAACACAAATTAGAACTTGAAAACACAATTCAAAATGTCGAAACACAATTTAGAATGTCAAAACATTAAAGAATGGCATTTAAAAATATATATAAAATGCCAATAACACAATTTAGAATGTCAAAACACATTTAAGAATGTAAAAAACACAAATTAGAACTTGAACACAATTTAGAATGTCAAAAACAGATTAAAAGAATGTCATTGACAAAATTTTTAATCCCAAAACTCATTTTAGAATGGGAAAACACAAATTAAAACTTGATAACACAATTTAGAATGGCTTAAACACATTTTTAATAACTAAACACATTTAAGAATATGAAAAAGTAGGTTACGACCTACAATATTTTTTTAAAGAAATTTAATATTTCCGTCCTGAAAAACTAACGAGACCAACAGAAAGAAAACATATCTTCATAAAACATTTTGTCATGTAATCATGGAATCGCCCAGGAGTAAATTTAACACATTGTATAATAAACTACCTAAAATTTTTTTTATACAACCAGTGATTTGCGCATGCTTAAAATGGCCCTCCGGGCAAAGAAGGAAGTAGTACGACGATTTCGGTCAAATACTCACGTTTTTTTCGGTGACCTCCGGCACTGGAGCGGGCGCGCCGTCCTGAAACCTGGAATCCCTGTGGCACTGCTGCAACGGCACGAACAGCGCCCTACCCTCCGCGCACCTGAAGAACCGCTCGTTCTTGTAAACTCCATCGGACAGCTCCAGCGGCAGGTGCGACTGCTCCTCCTCCAGCTCCACGCCGACCAGCACGAAGTTGGCGCCGCTCTCCACCCCCATCCATCTCACCACGCCGTACAGCGGCTCCTCGCTGACGTCGTTCAGCACCTCCACCAGGGTGCCGAGCGACAGGTCCCCAGTAGTGCCGGGCGCCGGGTCGGAGAACTTCTTCTCGCTGACGTAGAACGTCGAGCGCGTCTTCTCGTTCAGCTCTAGGACCGTAACAGGAATGTTAGCGTCGTCGTAATCGCAATCGCAATCGTCGGAGATGCGGTGGTTCGCGTACACATTCTTGTCGGGCAAGTTTATTAGCTTTAAGTTTCGCGGTCTGCGTTTGCTCAGCGACATTTTGCTTGCTTACTTACTTTTCGTCGACTTTAGGCTACAGCACATTGTTTTTGCGTCGACCACTTCGGTTAAAATTAGCGATTGTACTGGACGCGGCACACTTTGAGAGTGCGGTCTATTTTTAGGGAGACAGCGCGCGGTGATGATAATAATAAACGGACGAGAGGAAAATGTTTCGGGATTGAGTAATAACATAAACAATGCTGCCGAGATTGGCTAACAAAGTTTTTTGTTTAAAAACATAGGCATGGAAAATTGCAGACAATAAAAGATATCGATTTGAAATTTTGAAAACGTTTATAATCCATCTAAATATTTTAAACAAAATACAATTTCCGGTTTAACCGGAAGTAACATCAACTACTATTCCTAAAGTGAATTATTAATTTTTTTTCGTTTAAATTTGCCAAATTTGGTATGCGAATATGGCGGTGGAATTTTTGAAATCTTAAAACATTGTTTAAAAGATTCCTTGTCAATTCTTCAACATTTTGCAGGAAATTACCTAAGACAAACTATTTTAACTTATTTTCTTAAAAATAATTTAAATATTTCAGAAACGGTTGAATTTAGGTATATGGTATGTTATTTGAATTATGCTTAGAATTTTACAAGGAATCGAAAAATAAATTCATATATACAAAAAAAAACTTTTTGTTTTTCCCTGTATACTGATCAATTTTCTAATTTTTGTATACGTAGAAAAAGTATTCTTTAGTAACTACATAACCGCAATCTTTTTTGTTAGATTTAATTAAAACCCCTAAAGTTGTTTCTGCAAAATCGTTATTATAATAAATTAAAAAAATTGTTTTAAATTTCTTTTTTTATATAATAAATACACGTAGGCAACAATTGTGTACAATATATGTGGATATTATTACAGTTCTACTAAAAATAAGAAATCATGCATTAATTTGATGCAATTTTTCAAGGTTTTTTCGCAAAATCCTATAAATAATTAATAAACTAATTCTGTAAAATAATTAACAATAAAAAATTATTGCAAATATAATGAAGCAATTTTAAATTAAACTAAAACTAAACTCTAAAATGTTATAAAACTGTCTTAATTACCTTAAACCATAAAGCTGTCTTTAATTAAAAAAATATGTCTAAAATGTCCTATTTGTGTCTTAAAACTGTCTAAAATGACTTAAGTACTATCTAAAATCCCTAAAACCATGTAATAATTTCCTATAATTGTCTTAAAACTGTTTTAACCACTTTAAACCATTAATCTATCTAAAGTTGTCTAAAAATGTCCTATTTATGTCTTAAAACTGTATTCCTAAACCATAAAACTCTTAAATTAACAAAAAATGTCCTAAAACTGTCTAAAATTGTCTTAATACTGTTTAAACCATCTTAAACAAAAAAATCTTAAATTGACAAAAATGTCCTATATGAGTGTCAAAAAACACTCTAAAAATGTCCTATAATTGTCTTAAAACCGTTTTATCTACCTTAAACCATTGGTCTAAAAATCTTGTATGTGTCTTATAAAACTGTCTAAAATAACTTAAAATATATGTATTCCTAAAACCGTCTAAAAATGTCCCATAACTGTCTTTATACCATACTTTTAACCATAAATTAACAAAAAAATGTCTAAATGTCCTAAAACTGTCTAAAAAGACTTGAGAACTGTCTAAAATCTCTAAAACCATATACAACTGTTCCATAATTGACTTAAAACTGATTTAACCTTAAACCATAAAATCTTTAATTGAAAAAAATTGGCAAAAAATGTCCTAAATGATTGTCTTAAAAGTGTCTAAAATAACTTAAGAATCGTCTAAAATCCCTAAAACCATCTAAAAATGTTCTATAATTGTTTTAAAAAAATATCCCATAATTGTCTTAAAACTGTTTAAACCATCTTAATCCGTAAAATCTTAAATTAGCAAACATGTAAAAAAATTTCTATTTGAGTGTCTTAAAAGTGTCAAATTACTCAAGAACTGTCTAAAAATCCTAAAAATCTAAAAATGTCCCATAATTGTCTTAAAACTGTTATATCCACATTAAACCATTAAGCTGTCTTAAAATGAAAAAATTGTCTACAAATGTTCCATAATTGTCTTTAAACCATAAAACTGTCTTAAATTAACAAAAATGTCTAATGTCCTAAAATCTTTAAAACTATCTTAAAATGTCCCATAATTGTCTTAAAACTGTTTTAACCATCTTAAATCATAAAACCATAAATTGACAAAAATTGTCTAAAAATGTCCCATAATTGTCTTAAACCTTAAACCATGAAGCTGTTAAATTAAAAAAAAATTCTAAATATATCGTGTCTTAAAATGCCTAAAATGTCCCATAATTGTTTTTAAAACATACTTTTAACCATAAAGCTGTCTATAATGACTTAAGAACTGTCTAAAATTCCTAAAATTTTCTTAAAACAGTTTAAACTACCTTAAACAATAATGCTGTATTAAAATGAAAAAAAAATAGGAACTGTCTTAAAAACTGTCTAAAATGTCCTATATATATGACAGATTAAATTTAAAATGTTACTCACTTTTACTGTGTTCCTCTTTCTTGGTGCCGTTCTTGACTTTAAGAGGCACCGGCTCGAGCGGCTCGTTCAAATAAAATTTACTTTTCCTCTGCAAAGTGCCCGTCGATTTCATCTTGGGCAGCTTGTCCCTGTAATTCTCGTTTCTGTCCAGCTGCTTCCGCAGACTGGCCGAGCAGTTTTCGAGCTCCCTCTGGTCGGTGCTGCCCGACCAATGACCGCCGATCAGCTCGTTCAGATCCATCTCCGACTTGATTTTGCTCTTTTTAGGCAGCTCGGCGATCAAGTGGTTCTTGTCCGGCTGTATCAGGGTGCTTTGGTCGAAGTCGTTGTTGGGATTCACCGACAAACTATCAACGTCCAGCATGTTTTGCAGCGACAGGGAGTTTCTGAGATACGTCTGGGATTTCTGCGGCAAGCCGTACTTCTTCTTGTTGGGGTATTCCCCGTATTTCGTGACGATCTCCTCGTAAGGTTTCGGCTCGCCGTGCAGAAAACTCAAGTTTTTGTCCATCTGCAGGTCCAACTCGTTCCTGGTCGGCGAGGGGGAGTTGCCTCTGTTCGACTCCAAGTACGATATATTTTCTATCGTGGTGAAAATGCCTTGTCCTGGCAAGCAGGAAAAATACTGCTTCCCCGCTACGCAGCCGTTGCACGCGTTGTTTTTCTTTTTTTCCTGTAAAAAAGTCTGGTTCAAATAAAAATCATTTAAATCAAACGAAATGTTTTATTAAGAATGAAATTTCCTGAGAAATGCTAAATATTTTGTTTTCCTCTTTGTATTTTTTTTATTAAATTTTTACTGCCTTTACTGATAAAAAGAATAATACAAATTAATTAGTAGTAAAATTATAAATAATAATCAACTAGGTAATTGTAAAGAATATTAATAAAGATAAAAATAATGGGAATACCTATACAAGATAATAATTATAAAAAATCTTTATCGGAACAAATCATATCTACGACGAACACAAGGTAAGGAATGTATTCAGAATAATTATTTGACATTTTATCTATCTAACAGCTGTACAAGCGATTTTAACCTCATTTTTTAGCCAGCCTGATTTAAATCACTATTTAAATCAACGATTTAAATCAAGTGCTTTTTTTATTTTAATCATGGTTTAAATCAGTTTTAAAAAAGTTTCTAAAATCCAAAAAAACAAAATATCTAAAACTAAAGCATAATAATATCTTGACACTATTTAAATAAATTCATATGCATACAAAAACTGCTTATTTTGTTAAATAAAATAATAAAGGAATATACAAAATAATATGAAAGTTGCGGACGGTGTTTATTTGTTTATAGAGTAGTGCCAATATAATATTATTTTAGTATTTTTTTTAATAGTAGGTACACTCAAAGATAATACATAATAGATAATCTTTGGGTACACTTTATTAAAAAAAGCTTATTATTTTGAAAAATCGTAAAAATAATTTTTTCTTGATTTTTTTTTAATAAAAATCACCGATTTTTGATTTTTTTTTGATTCATAATTTTTTTCGATCCCTGCTAGTAGCATTAGGTAACTTAATAAACTAATTCGGCAATAATAGTATGAACTAGATTTTAATATAATAAATGGTTTCTGAAAAATTAATAAATTGTGAGAGCTTTATTTAAGAGGTGTGTTCAGAAAATAACGGGAATTGTTAAATTTCGCAACCATACTGTAATGATGCCCCAGCCTCCATATTCGCCAGACATGCCTCTGTCTGACTTTTTCCTATTCCCAAAAATAAAGAGAACCTTAAAGGGCCGTCGTTTTGCAAGCATAGATGACATTAAAAGCGCATCGCTCAAAGAACTAAAGGCTATCCCAAAGATCGAGTTTTAGAAGTGTTTTGAGTATTGGAAGAAGAGCTGGCACATGTGCATAATATCCAATGGGGACTATTTTGAAGGCGACGACATTAATGTAGACGAATAAATATTTGTTTCAAAAAACGAAAATTCCCGATATTTTCTGAACACACCTCGTATAACTAGAAAAACGAACGTTTATTCCGAATTTGACACATATATATAAATATAGTTTGGTATTTTTAATATTTTAAATTGGTACACCTGTTTAATGCCTTAATTTTATTTTTACATTAAAATGTTAGAATTATAATTAGCAATGACAAAGATAACAGAAAATTCAAAACAAAAAGAAATTTTAAAAACAAATAGAATTTTGATAAAATAATTAATATGTCCTGCATAAATCCACTAAATAATTTTGTTTTACTTAAAGTAGCCAATTATTAATTTAATCTTATTAAAATAACAATCTAGACAATTTTTTTATAAATTAAAGATCATATAGGTATACCTATATATTTTTTTATAAATGCAAAGCTACTTGTAAAAAAATTCACAAAAAACAATATTTTACATTATAATATTGTAATGATTTTAAAAAAAATTCTAAATCATGAAATAAAATGTTACAAAATAAATTATTCCACAATTTAAGAAAAAAATCAAGGATTTTATTAATTTTATTAAAAACCGCAAAATGTTAAATAATTGGAAAATGTTGCAAACAAATAAAAAAAAGAACTTTTCACATAATGTTACAAAAAAATCTCACAACAAAAAGTCCCACTGAAATTTTAATAAGGAATGCAGTCAAATATTTGAGGTTATGTATCTGCCAGTTTACCGCTAATTTCGTGTATGTTCTGAAAATAATACAATATATGTTTTTTTTGTGTTATAAATTAATCCCTTTATACCCAAATAAAACATATATTGTATTTATTTCAGAGAATAAGACGAAATTAGCGTTAAACTGACAGATATATAACCTCAATTATTTACTGAATTCCTTATTCAAATGTCAAAGTGGGACTTTTTGATATGAAGCATAGTAGATCTGACTAGGTAAAAACTACAAAAAAACCAAAATAATTAATAAATATATAAACTACTTAGGTATACTAATTTAATTCAAATAAAGTAAACAATAAATTTAAAAAACTACTTAAAATTTGACCTTGTACTATTGCTGATACAAATACAAAACACCCACTGTTAACAGCAATAAAACAACATTTAAACTAAAAAAAAATCCTTTGTGACTAGTACCCAGTATCTTATCGTAACTTTTTATTGTTTCATTGTAATAATTATTACTTAATTATCAAACAAACTTACGTGTAGTTGTATGCCAAAACACCTTCCAATCTCCTTTACATCCCCGATAAACCTAATTGTACCCAGCAAAATATCATTTGTATCGATGAAACCAACTGTACATTCCTTCGTAAGACTCATCAAAGTATCACATTTTTTTGAGTTTTTGGCCAACTTCACCCTTTCCTGCGGCGAGTTAACCGAAGCCAAAAACGGCCAGATCTTCTCACTTATACACCTGATACTCTCCTTGGGGCAATTGAACGTAAAAGTCTCCCAAATGGAGTTGTCCCTTAAAAACTGACATGCATATCGGCTGCTATCCATGCCAGTTATTTGGACGATCTGCCCCAGCAGGGCCGTTCTTTGATCATTATCTGTTGCATTGTTTATTAATTCGTTTCTAATAAATATACCATACTTTGATTCTTTTGCGGAGTTCATCTCGCCGTTTAACATTAAACGTTTAACTGAGCATTTTAGTTACACGTAAACCGTTTGCACTACATACAAATCTCCTTAAACGGTAACGAAATGTCTCAAAACAGTAAATAAACAATTGACATCACAGAACTTGATGACACACAAATAATAAACACCAACCCATTTGACACCTGTTTAGTATTAAAGTTTATTGCTTGAAATTTCCATCAAGTGAAACCTTCTTTTTTTGTTGTTATTCAATGCGATTTAAATGCGATTCGACATCCATGCGGGTATTCGCGATTAATTGTGTTTTAATGCAATTATTCGGATTATGAATCACGCAAAATCCTTGAAACGTACAAAATTTCTCTCTCCAACGACATACGAAATGTGGATAATCGATGCTAGGCAACCAAGGTTACATAAACGTTGTCAGGTTGCCTATTTTCCACCTAAAACTTATTGTATTTTTTTATCAGGACTGTATCATGAAAACCAAGCATTTCTGGACTTTTTCTTATTATTTATTGGATGAAGAATCTCCAGCCGAGGCGCATGTTTTTTTAAACACCCTGTATATGCATAGATTAAAAATTAAATGGGCAACCACAAAAGGGGTTTGTGTTATCATGGTTGCCATTGCATACCACATAAATCAGGGGTCTAATATCAAACAGCAAAGTCCAACAGGTATTTATTATGGGTTTAATATTGATGAATAAAACGAAGTTTTGGTTCAGTCATAATTTATTTATTATAGTTATTACAGTATTACAAATTCTGGATATTTTAACAACAATAAGACATAGATTATCCTAATTATACCTATACAAATTACAGATCATACAAAACTAGATATATCTTAACACTTATTTCGATATTTTGTACAAGAAAAAACGTATGTCCCCATTTTCTTACATTGACTAAGTTACAAAAAGGTTAATAATTTAAGACTTGATTTAATTTTTGGTATAAAATTTCCTAATTTTTATATTTACACTAGATAAATTAATTGTATCAAACAGCTGTGGACCGTTTCCAACTATTTTTACTAGCTGTAATACTACTTTGGGTGCCCTGTAACATAAAAAAATTGTAAAAAACTATTAAAATTTTTAGCCCAGTCAAGTGACTGTGCTGCAAAAATAATCAAAAATATTTTAAGAAATAAATTTATTTATTATTATTTTTATTTAAAAACATAGTTTTTATGGAAAGTGAAAAATGGTATTACACAGGGTTTTAGATGGGGTTTTTGACAGTAGACAATTTCAAAAACACTACAAGGAGAAGGGTGACGTCACCAAATTTAGTAAGTATGAGGGCCCTGTAAAATAAAAAAAACTAGATTAGGAGCTTAGGTTTTTAGGGGAAAACACCAACACATGCGGGAAACAATTTTTCACTTTGGTGGTTCATTTTTTATGTCGCTCAGTGCACATCAAGTACACTGAGTGATATAAAAGTTAAACCAATTTAATTTTTAAGCGTTTTATTTATAATTTTTTTCGTTTCTGAAAACGTACCCTATGACTTAGTATTCTTCTGGAGCTTCCTCCGAGTGGGAAAACTCCGAAACTTAAACTAAAGCCCGATTCAGATGCTGAATGGACATGTTCAGGCCTTTTTCGTTTGGAAATGCATTTATTGGCCAATTTACGAACCTTAAATATAACAAAAAAATTAATAATTTCATGGCAGGTAAACAATAACAAATTTGAAGCAAATAAATAATTTGTAGGTAAAATAGTTTTTCTAATTTGGTGGCAACAATATATTGTTATTGTATGTTTTACTTAATGATTTGTTAATGAAAAAAGTATTGTTAAATTAAGAAAATTTACCATTATTTTAGATTTTTTATAATGATAAAAGCTCCATTAACCATCAAAAAATAAAACAAAAATATTATTTTGAAAACAAATTAAATAATTAACGTATATATATGCAGGGCCATATTAACCATTAGGCAGTATAGGCAATTGCCTTAGGCGCCAAGAAGAAATAGGCGCCTTGTCCCCAACCAACTTAAAAAATTTAAAAAATGGTTTTACAAATATGAAACAAATAAACAATATACAATTATGAGTAGGTACGGTAGAGTACCAAATAATCATTTTTAAAAAATGCGGCTTCCTTTGTAATAACGCGGTGTCAAGCCGACAAAGGCGTGCCGCTCTTTAAGCGTGTGCCGCACTGAAGCGCGTTCCGAAAGAAATTCGCTTCTGTTTTTATGCCCTACACAGGGTTGCCAACCGTACTAGAATTATAGTATTTCTACTATAATTTTATGTCGGTGTACTATGTACTATAGCAAAGTATTATAGTACGTTAAAATACTATAATTTTGAATACTTAATAGTATTATTATTATAATACCCACTTCTTAAAAAAATCTATAATTTTTAAAAAAGAAAACTGTAGAATTTATGAAAAAGAAAACTGCAAAATTTGTATTTTCGCGCCCTCTTTTATGCAAAAGCAAAACTAGCCACATGAAATACCGTGGTGCGCATTAGTGCGGCGCGTGCATTTATTTTCTTATTTAACTGTTATAACAGAATAAGATTTTTATAGGTTATACGTGTAAATACAGTGTGTACATTTTATGATTAAGGGTATGCACTTACCTACAGAATACATTTTCAATTGCATACAAAGTTTGTAAACTTATCAGTTATTGTCACAACAATCGTTTTTTAAAAATATATCGCGTGTGTACCACGTCTTACGGGATGCGTATTATTGTTTAGGGTAAAGGAATTGCAAAAACGATTCATAGTGTCTTGAATTAATCGGTTAGAAAGACGATTATGAGCACCATAAAACTCACGAAATGCCCTATGTGTTTCCCCAATTTAACCGTTTTTTTTCAAAATAAATTTTTTCAAATTAAATTTGCCAAACCAACCTAACTCAAATCGGATGTCACAGAAAACAGTGTTGCCAATTTAAAGTTGTCCAATTTTTAAAAAAACACCCTTTAATATAATAAAAAAACCTGTCTTTATTCTAACTTCTAGTAGCCTATTGGTAAAAAAAGGGGGAAAAATGTGGGCTCCTGATTCTCAAAAACCTATACGTCATCTGTACTATAATTTTTCTAAAAAATACTATAATTAAATTGAGAAAATACTATAATGTGCATCTCAAGAGTTGGCAACCCTGGCCCTACACAAATTTATTTCAGATGAAATTAATCAGTAGTTAGGTAGTTATGTTATATAGCTGTTTGTCTTCGATAGTGTAAATTTGCTATATGTTTTAAGGTAGGTACCTACCTATTTATGAAATGTTAATATTAAACATTTAGTAAACCTACATCTTACAAAGAAATTTAGGGAATTAAAGTTGTTTTACATTTTTTTAAATACTTACTATTTTAGTACATCTTTAATAAAACTTTAGGACCCTAAAAAGTTTTTAGTAAAAACTAAAATTATACTTGCATAATATGCATTTTTAAATTTTATATCTCTGCAGCAGAGACTCTGCTAAATTATTATTAGGGTAGGTACTGAACCTACCCTAATAATAATTTTATTATAATTAAATGCATTTGTTCGAATTTACCTTTTTTCTCAGTGTTGGAGGTGATATAATACGTAACTATATTTATTTGCCTAGGGCCCCTTAATTGTAGTATGTAATAATAGGCGCCAAATTTTTAAGTGCCTAAGGCGCTCAGTTGCCTTAAGCCGGCCCTGTATATATGGGTGATTCTACAAAAGTTGGACAACTTGATGTTATCAGTCAATAGAGTAGGTAATTCAATATTTTTTGTTAATATTTTAGTATATTACAAAAGATCCAGGTTTTTTAACTTGTCCACCCAATTTTAATGTATACTTTTCAAAAGCACGTTTGTAGAAAAACATAATAAATATTTAAAACATCAGTACCTTGGCGTTTCACAACTCCTGAATTAAATATTTGAGTAAATTTATTTTAAAATATATTTAATTTATCTTAATTTTTCAATTTCACTACAAACTATAAAACATTAAATAATGTATTTTTCATATTTTATCATAAATTCGAATAATAGCAATTTTTAAAAAATTGATAATCTTTGTACTCACTTTTACCCGTCAGTTCTGTGTCCAATGTTAAAATTCAAAATTCCTGCGAAATATTGAAGTTTAAACGTCAAGTCCTCGTTTCAACTCAAGTGTTGGTAACAAAATTACCTACAGAGCCCGCCCTTTGCACGACAGTCATCTTGAAAACAATGCAAGCGGCGAAGTTGTGGTGAATGCACGTATAGTTTCAGTTAAAATTTCAGTACTGTGGTGAGTAGTTATTTTAAATATCAGTAAAATACTAAATTCCGAATTATAATCTCAAATTTTTATCCTATTCATCGGTACCGTGTCGTTAGTTCCATGTTCGATGTTTCGGTTATTTTTTCGCAAACTTCCATTTAAATTCTGCTTGCGCAGAACTTGTTTATTTAATGTCATTATAAACTCATATAAATTTGGTTTGGGTCCCATATCTAATAATTGAGATATCGGTATAGCCAAAATCCACCATTTGATTTTAAGATATTTAATGTATAATATGCTCAAAGTTGCAATAAATCTTATATTTTCCAATAAATTATGTATTTAATTAGTACCCTGGTATACTCGTCACTTCCCTTGCATTCAAATTTAGAAAACACAGATATTTCAGAAACTGTTTGAAAAAGTGACTGGCCCGGTCTGGAACAGTATATTTATTATATTATCTATGTTCTCATAACAAAATACTGTTTAATTTTCTCTGAAAACTTTATAAACAAAATGAGGTCAAAAGTTGCCCAACTTTTGTAGAATCACCCATATAAATATTGGGGTGGTTAAAAAAATCGAATATTTTTTTTTTACTTTTGACACTGAAAAATTGTTGTTAGTCACTTCTATAAAGTATTCCGTTTTTTGAATCACACTAATATATGTATACATATGTATAAAAAAATTAAAAAAAAATCCTGATATTTTCTCACCTGTTTTTTAAACACAGTAGTTGTAAGAGTATATAGGATGGGATTAAGGGCCGAATTTATCGGCAAAACGAAAATGGCCAACCACGCGTATAAATCAGGCGGAATTGCTACTCCTGCAAATAAGAAAACACCCATAAATTCACGTAAACACTCCACATTTATAATTTATAAATCGACGCAAATGCCAGTCGAATTAAGTATTTAAATCACTTTATTGAAATTTATCATATGCGATGTGGATTGACAAAATAATTTTTAGGTAAAAAATATAAGCCGCATCCGTATACACTGTTAAAAATGTTTGTAAAATTACTACATTCTTTCTGCAATTTTAATACGCATTTGTTGTAATATTACATTTTGTTAAAGCCAAAGTACTAAACAGGTTCCAATTTTACAATGTTTTTGTTTTTGTCAGATACTTATAGTAATTTTACAATCCTGTATTGTAGAATTGAATTTAAAATTTTGTAAAATTTCTATACATATTCGGAATTTAATTTTACTAAAATAATCAATAAAATTACTAACCAAAATTTGCTATTTGAATTACAATAAGTGTTTGGAAATATACAAATCAATATTTATTTTATACAACTTCTGTTTGCATTTTAATCATATACACTGTTAATTTTTTGTAAAATTACAATTGTTTTGCAAAACAAAGAATGAGTAAAATTACAAATCAGTGTATACCAATACAAAATTATAATACAATTTGAGTAATCTTCCAAGACATGTTGGGAAATCTACTAAGATAAGTTGTAATTTTACAATCTATATCTATAAATCCTACACGCATTGTAATTTTACTAAACAGTTTGACAGTTTCTAATAAAAATCATCGCAGATTTACAAACGTTGTTTGTAATTTGTTTGCTATAATCAAAATGCACAGTATGTACCGATTGCGGCAATCACGTGATGTTCTTACATCTCGCCTCGGTTGACTTAGGTGGACAGTATATAAGCTCAGGTGTCTTTCGTTTTTGGTGTGTTCCAATACACCAAATTTTGTAATTTTCATAAACTGAGTTGAAATGAATTGTTTAGTATAATTACAATACACCATTTTAAAATTACTAAACATTTTAGTATTTTTTTTAGTAAAATTACAATACCTGTATAGTAATATTACTGAACAAATTGTTAATAAATGCTTGGTGAATTTTAACAAACGTTTTGTAATTTTCCCAATTTGGTAAAATTACAATAGAAATTTTTAACAATGTAGTTAAAAACATCAAATATTATTGAAAAAACTTACCAAAAAGTGCTACCAACTTGACGATAATGATGGGCACCCAGCAGAGACTGTCCGTCAAAACTATTATGCCGAATCTTTGGGCTACCTTGTCCCGCTCTTCGCTCTGCCTTGTAGATCTGCAGGCTACGCCACTGGCTTTTATTTCGTTTATCATTCTTACGTAAGCGTAAGAAATAAAAACCAAAGCAAAAGCGTTCACCAGTATGAACATTGTGGCTGAGTATTCCCAACCCTATAAAAAAAAAATCAGTCAGTTTAATCCAAAAGTTCTGATAGACGATTATAAACAAATTGTGTTGGTAATTTGTTAATTCATATTAAAATAAGAGCATCTTGAAATTAATTTTTAATTAAAATAAAGTGATTAAATCTGGAAGCTAACGAAGTTTACTTGTGTGCGAAGTGAAATTATAAAAAGGCAAATTGTATTAGGGAACTTTGAAAATTAAATTACGCGGTCAAGATGTGCCATCTGTACTTTTCCAAACACATAAGTCTGATTATGTAATGGCCCATTACAAAGTTTCATGGCTTAATAATGTTATTTTTAGCCAAACCTTTTCTTTGTAAAGATTTCTTATATTTAGAAAACCTATCATATTCAAAATATTTTTTTCATTCAAGTCAACTTGCTTTAAAATAAGAATATATATTTCAACTAAGAATATTTAACTTCTTTAAAAAAGAATTTTGTAGTTTTGGAAATATTCTAATATTAAGAAACCTTTCTTGTTTTAAAAAGTTGCATGTTTCAATCCAAATATTAAATATTCTTGAAGGAAATCTTAGTTGGTTTCTTGGTACAATTGTTAATATTTTTTTATATCAAGAATAAGATATCCTTAAATTTTTTTATTCGTTTTAATAAACAGTATTTTCTTTTGCCAAGAATACATATTCTTGAAATCGTGTAGGAGTGGAGATGCCGACACGTTCCTCTGAAGTTTTATGCCTAATCATGCAGTGTTTCTTTCTTTTTGCGAGGGAGAGGGCGTATTTCATTAAAAAATTATTAGAAGAGTGGTCAGCATCGAAGGAAATTATAAAAAAAATTGAAGGTAAGTAAGTTGTTATTGATATACCACCCTTTTTTAAATTTAGCGTCGCATTTACGTAGGTTTATTGTTTAAATATTTACTAATATGCATTAAGGATGCCTTAAAATTATTTTATTCATAAATAAATAGGCTTTGCAGTGATAACCAAAATATCTTATGTGTTTAACACTCTGATTTGTATGGCTCTATAATTTTAAGTTAATAAACTTAATTTATTTTATGAAATTTAAAAAGATTTTGTTTTAGAAGTAATTTTGTTACACACTTTGGGGTATAACATAATTTTGATTCATATAGGGTGGAGTTCATTGGCAATAGCTCTAAATTATTTTATAAAATTGGTAATTCCTTTTCTACTATGCCCAAATATTACAAATTATTTAAAATGAAAAATATGTCGATAATAATGATTAAGTTCCCTACGTTAATTAATAACAATGTATACATTCGACGGTGGTCGAGTGGTTAGTGCAGCTGACTACAAGCCGGAGGTCGTGGGTTCGAATCCCACCAGGGGTATGGCTGTTTATTTGTGTTGTCCTATTGTGTAATAGTCCTTCGGAGGGGACTTTAAGCCCGCGGTCCGTTCCTACCCCTAACCCGCACAAGCCATTCAGTTGGCTTATGGGACTTCTTAAGAAGTAAGGGTGGAACTAAAAGAGCACTTTTGTATATAAACTTTTTTTTGTATTTAAATTTTTCTTGTATTAAAAACAAAATAAATGTGTTTGTTCAACGTTTGTTTTTTTATTTTCTAACCTAAATTTTTTTGCTTACTGCACCACCTAGAAACGATACAACGTATACTTTGACCCTTCAGTAAGTTTGGCTCAATTTTGAATAATCCGTAAGTATTTAAATATAAAGTTTTGTTTAAGATTAGAGAACAATCCTTAAAAAATTATCTTGCAGTAATATTCCTAAACATAAAGATGTTTTTATTATTAAAATAAATAATTTTTAGTTAATAGACGTATCATTTCTTAAAATTTTATTGATTTTAAAAACAAAATGATAGATTTTTTGAAACATTGCTAAAATTAGCTTAAAATGAAATAGATACTTTTATTTTTAACGATACTTCTTGCATTGTTTTAAAATAAATATTATTTTGTAATCAATGAAATAAAATTTTAAATCTTGTATACATATATTAATTATAAAAAATATTGGGTTATAGAAAACATCTTGATTTAAGAAAATTATTTCAATATCACATGTTTTTGTTTTAAGAAAATTTATTCTTGAATTAAGTATCTTTTTTATTTAAGAATACCACTAATTTATTTTTATAAGAACAAATTCTTGCTTTAAAACAACCAATTATTTGGTTAAAGAAAATACATTTTCTTGAATCAAGTAAATATTGCTGCCTTATTACAAAAATTATATTCTTGTTTTTAAACAATCAAAGTTTTATTTAAGGAAATTTAATTTACTTGCATTAAGAAAAGATTCTTGAAGTAAGTCAACGTGAATTAAGAAAATACTTAAAATACTATTTTAAAGAATATATTCTCTTCGTTATACAGACTGTATAGAATCAAGTAAGTAAGGCTGGAGACAATGATGACAAATTATATTCTGATCAGAGAAAAAGAAACAAACTTTAATTGGGCATTCGTAATTACGAACCATAGTTGCCAGGTTGTTTTAAATCAGAAGAGAACGATTATAATTATTTAATAAATAGTTCAATTTTATTTGTTTGAAACTTTAAAAATAACAAAAAATTTAATAATATGTCAAAACTAATTTGATTTAGTTAATTTTCTTACTTTTAATATTAAAAAATAAGAAAAACAACCCTTTTAGGAAACAATAATAGCATATGGCAACAGCGCGGCATGCAGCCAGATACAAGGGCATGCAGTTTGACCAAGACTGTTTTGAATCAAATAAATTTATTTGATACAGGAATATTCTTTTCAGTGCATTAAAGGTCATTATAGAACCTAGATGTTAAGCATAACCTATCAACTCTTTTTTACTCACCATAGCATAGGGCTCGTGTATATGGAGGGACAGACAGACGCCGTTGCTGCCGTAGAACTCGTCTCCGAAATACGAGCTGGCAAAGTTGCTCAAAGGGGCCAGAGCCACCAAAGCGGCGGCCATCCAGAGCACCAGCAGGGTTAGGGCGGCGGTGCGCGGGGACGGCTGCTTGCGAGCCAGCGGCTGAGTGACGGAAATGAACCGGTCCCACGTCACCAAACTGAGGATCAGCACGGAGGATTCGCAGGACAGCGTGCTGAGAAATCCTGCAAATATTAACAGCGGTCACTCTTGTGCCATTCTATGCAAAAAACAACGAGGTTTATATAGTATATAAGTCTACCAACACAGGTGAGATGGATAGTAACTGTAATTCAACTATAGGTTTATAAAGGAAATACTTGCACAAATAATGGCGAGATGTGTAAATATTTAACTGCAAATAAATGAAGAGGTGCGACGTGACGATACTCCAGATCAAAATGGAAGATTATGTCGACAAATGCTGTAAAAATGTTATTTCAGGGATTTGTAAAAGATTGACCTTGTCCTTGCTGGGAAAAAACTAAAGAGCATAGAGTCAAAGAAACCGATAACATAATATTTTAATATTTAACTTAAATCTGTCTTCATAGAATACATTATCCCATCTAAATGGGATACATTACAGATATCTATAATATAGACTATATACAGGGTGTCATTTAACTTGAAATATCTCAGTTAGTATGCATTTTACTAAAAAATGTTTAAAATAAAAATTATATGATTCTAGGCAGGAATTTAAATAAAATTCTTATTTTTTAAATTTTAATTAAAGTAGGTGCTCAAAATAACAATATTACTGCTTCTCCATAAATCAAAATCATTTCTATTTTTTCTTCCACTGTTAAAAAATCCATTATGAATAACTGCTTAACGAAAGGAGGTCTTTTTGTTTGCAACATCGAACTAAATTGATTAAATAATGCTAAACTATGTATAAATAGTTTCTTTATACCTCAATAATAATTATTATTTATAACTAAATACCATTTTTTATACCTCAATTAGGATTAAATTAATTAATTGACAAAATAATGTTTTTTTACCTTAAATGAGGTATTTTTATTAAAAATAGTACAATAATCCTTTAAATTAAAGTATTTAATGCTAGGAGGTAAAAAGTGACCATGGTTCGCAATTGATAATTATCACCGAATGAAATAATGTAGGTATAAAACTCAAACCAAAGTAAACTTAAATATTAGTTAAAAAATCGTGAGTATTTAAAAAAATCAGATTTAATTTAATAAGATAAAAAAAAGAAATTATTGCAAAATCGTATAAGAAAATTGATTGTTTTTCATTACAGCGCCATCTATTACATACATGAAAAAATATTTTAGACAAAATCTACCTATTTTTAGTCGAATGATCCAAATCTGTAATAAAAAATAAAGATATTTCAAAGTTTCAAGTTAAATGACCCACCCTGTATATAGACTATTATATTATAGACTATATAAAAAAATATAATAAATATAATTTTTAAATCGATATTATTTAAAAGCATAAAATAAAGTACATATCGAACACTGTATACAGAAATGGAAATATATTTCCATTACAAACGAATTAAATTTTTCAAAGAAACTATATCTGTGAGGATTTGAATACCTACATTTGAAAATTTGGAAATTAAAATTATTTTCCATTAAAAATAATAATAATACTTATTCATGTTATACATTTTACATTTGTTGCCAAAATTAGATAGGTGCAAAGAATTCATAATATTATTTGCGAAAGTGTATGTTTGTTTGCATTTCAGGCAACAAGGGAGCAAAGGATCGACGTGATTTTTTGCTTAGAAATAGTATATGGACAGAAAAGTACTTTTTTTTACCATATTTATGTTATAAATATTTTTTTGGCATTTACCAAAGTGCTCGACATTTGATTATAACGTAAACAACAAATAACTACGTCGTCTACATCAGATCATCCAATTCCAAAATGGTTAGAAATAAAACTGAGTTTTGGAGTTTTTCTAATAAAACTTTTAAAAGCAAAAAAAATATGCTACTTGCATCTACCATCTACGAGGTGTGTTCAGAAAATAACGGGAATTGTTAAATTTCGCGGCTTCGGAGTGTCTGGTTGTCATAAAATTTTATTCATTATGTTGGTATACATGCCCCGAAGTATGATAAAAACTTTAGCTGTTTTCATTGTTTACTTTGTCTGTGGCAGCCGCTAAGGTTAGACGTGTTTTATGAGCTCGGCGATTTTCGTTCGTTAAAAGAAATGGTCTTTGATCCATTTGTATCCAATTTTGCTTAAAAAATGAAATAAATTCTGTGAAATGTTAACAAAGGCCTATAGTGAGTCTGCTATAAGTAAAACAAGAGTTTCCAAGATGGCCGTGAAGACGTTGAAGATGACGAACGCCCCGAACGCACAAGCACATTAACAACCGATAAAAACATAAAAAAAGTAGAAGAAATGGTTATAAACCATCAGAGAAGTCGCTGATGATGTTGGTATATCGATTGGCTCATCCCACGAAATTTTTTCAAATGTTTTGGGTATGAAACGCGTGGCAGATAAATTTGTTCCAAAATTGTTAAATTTTGAACAAAATTTTTGTCCAAAAACAATACTGTAATGATGCCCCAGCCTCCATATTCGCCAGACATGCCTCTGTCTGACTTTTTCCTATTCCCAAAAATAAAGAGAACCTTATAAAGAGCCGTCGATTTGCAAGCATAGATGACATTAAAACGCATCGCTGAAAGAACTAAAGGCTATCCCAAAGACCGAGTTTTAGAAGTGTTTCGAGTATTGGAAGAAGAGCTGGCACATGTGCATAATATCCCATTTTGAAGGCGACAACATTAATGTAGACGAATAAATAAATATTTGTTTCAAAAAACGAAAATCCCGATATTTTCTGAACACACCTCGTACAATAGAAAATGAACAATAAAAGAAAATGTTTCCATAAATCTTACCAACAACCACATTTAGGAACATATTTTTTTATTTCCAAAGGATTTTAATATTTAATCTAAAAAGACTATCCATTTATCATGTTCTATGTCGACTATGCTAGACATAATCCATAATAATATTATGTTTTCCCAAAAGCAGTGCCCCAACTTCACAGTATAATAATAGATAATCTTCTTAGGGTGAGATGGCCAAGATTACGCACTTCGAAAACCACATTAAAGATAAAACACCTATCAAGAAGGCCTTATTTAGTATAATATATTATAATACTTATACATACTTATATAATATAAAATGGCTTCAGATAATAATCACAGAAATAGTCACCCTGTATAGACTCTTACTATGAATTCCCTTTTCGACCACTCTACCCTAAACATTTTCCAGCAAACTACATCACAGACGTAGACGACTAAATGAATTTAAATTTGAATCACGTTTTCTTCCCTATCAACTTATTGAGCTCAGCCAAATGTGTAAATATGTTATGGTAATTTACTATCGGTACCTGCGCGAACATAAACAACACATCATTTCGAAATAACGCATGAATGAAGACTTGAACGTGAAATAAAATATAAGATATTACTTGACATGGAAAATTGGCAAGAATTTTCATATCAAAACAGTAGTATATTGCGCAAAGTCTATCTAGATATCTAGTAAAGACCATCTGCCAAAAAGTGAGGTTAGTTTTACTTTGTATTTTTCATTCTTCCACTTGTGGGACAATATTTAACTATAGTATAACAATTGGTCTTCATACTTTTTAACTTTATACCTTTTGAAAATTTTAATTAAAGTGGTGCTCAAAGTAACAATATTAAATATTTGCTCGACGAACTCTTTTTTTCGGTTGAACACTCCCGTATGTAGTAAACTGCTTGACTGTACGGTGAAATGAAGTACGTGATCGAATTTTTTCCGGAAAACGCTGAGCGTAGATATTAACAGCATCATCAAGATTCCTGTCTGCTTCTCCATGAATCAAAATCATTTCTATTTTTTCTTCCACTGTTAAAAAATCCATTACGAATAACTGCTTAACGAAAGGAGGTATTTTTGTTTGCAAATTAATCTTTGAACTAAATTGATTAAATAATGCTAAACTATGTATAAATGAATATATAAATGAAATAATGTATAAAACTTAAACCAAAGGAAACTTAAATATTAGTTAAAAAACCGTGGGTACTTAAAAAATCAGATTTTATTTATTAAGATAATTATTACCAAAAAAAGTGATATTTTTATAGAAAAATTATTGCAGAATCGTATAAGAAGAAAAATCGAACAAAATTGATTTTTTTTCATTACAGCGCCATGATAGATTCCAAGTTAAAAGACTTACCCTGTATATAGTCAACGTCTTAAGGTGTTCCATAATTTTCAGCCTTTTGTTTACTGCAAGACTTCAATTTTCCGCGACTCATTCATAAACCGGTCACGTATTCGAACTATCGAACAGGGTGGATTAAGTTTGATTTAATGTATGCAGCGAAATATCTATGTGCTAAACAAAACAAAACACGATCTCGGGGCGCAAATTTCATTCAAATAACAATCAAAAGCGATTACGCTCACGGTTAATATTTCCTTGAAATTGGACACTTTTCTGCAGAAAGGAACCAACCCACAAAACCAAAAAAATCGAGATATTAATATAGCTAAATTTAGCCTTTGAACTAATTAAGTATGTATAATTTATCTGCAAAATAGGTCATAGCCAAAATGCAAGCGTAGTGAAATCTATTAATTATTGAACCAACCAACATTCAATAATAGTGTGGATTACTAATAATAGTGTGGATTACTAATCCAGAATTAGAATCTGTAGAATATCTGCAAGTGGGTTGGATCTTTTTTGTAAAAAAGCAGGCTGGTAGACCCACTACCAAAGTCTTTAAAGATTTCCTGCTTCTGCAAAATATAAAGTCTTAATGCATTTTTTTGGTAGCTTACAAGATGAGGTGGGGTTGGAAGATGATGTGGGCGAATTTCAAATAGAATCAAAATTAATTCATATTACCATTATAGTAGTAATATCAGTTGTATTTTGTTTGGAAATAAATAATTGTAGCTTTTCTTTAAATACATACATACATCAGATAGTAGTTTTCATAAATTGCAGAAAGGAACCAACCAACAAAAGCACATTTTTTTCGTCACCCTTACACATAACATCACAAAATCCACCTGATGAAATTTTTAAATTATATCCCTTAAACCTCCGTAAGTCCAAAATCGGCATAAAATTAACAGGTAATTTTAAAATTATTAAAATCTTTGATAGCTTTTTTCTCAGTTTCATCATGGTGTGGGTTGGTCCCATTCTGCAGAAAGCCGTCCAATTTTGAAAATCAAAAATATGAATATTATTTGCATATAACTACTTACCACAAATATTGCAAAGAAAGCTGTGCCTCCATTTGTACTGGTGCCTCAAGTAGTGTCCCCTGTACTCCTGGTCCACGGAGGCTATGGTGAACAAGTAGACGCCCATCAGCAGATCCGAGAAGGCCAGGTTTCTCAAGTACAAAGAATGGACTATGTTGTTCGAAGGGCCCAGTAGGCGGCCGAGCAACACGATCAAATTGCCGGTGCATCCAATGGCTCCCATGATCCAAACACTGAGAAAGCGATTAATCCAAGTTGTATGGTTGAAATAAAAAAGTTTTTGGTGCGCTTAATTCGAATCCGAACAGAATTGCTCCATTATGTGGTTTTGGAAAAGTCTAACTACATCCTCTTTAAATGCTTTCAATATCATTTATTTTCTCCAAGAAACCTTTTAGGTTTTATTATTGCTTTAACAGCACCTATAGGTAAACCCATAAACCCAAACATCTTTTTAAAGAGTGTGACAAAGCATTGAAATAATATTTAAGTAGAAGCCAAGTCACAAAAGGACAAAAGGGTAATGAAGGAATTGAAAGAGCTGATGATCAAGTTCGAACTTACTTGAATGAACCTTAAAAGTCCAGATAAAAAAACAATAATCCGTCTGTCAAGTTGGCCAAATACAGCTTACAGCTATCTCGCCAGAACTTTTATGACCAACATTAGCTCTATATCTTTCGGATGGCTGGAAGAACAATCTAGTAAAAATGTGGCTACCCTTCACCCAAGAAATAAAAAAAAATGTGATGTAGTACTTTTGATTTGAGTCTCTAAAACCTGATGAATTCGCATTCAGCACCTTAAACCTTCGAAAAATATATCCTAGCAATATTTAAAAAAACACATGCTATTTTTATTTATACTTACCAAGATCTTAAAATTATGTTGTCCAGAAGATGGTCTTGACTAGATATGCCATCTCCTTTGGGAAAACAATTTCTGACATGCGTAGCTGCAGTACACATTTCAAAGCTGTCGAAATATCTGAAAGAAATTAAATACCTAGTTCCTAACTGTTCATATTTGACAAACTAAACAAACTTTCTTTGAATGTACAGTGGAGTATACTCTATAGTGGAAAGAAGACTTTAAGTCCGAGGTCCATTCCGTTTGAACTTTTAACAAAAAATCCACTGTTGATTAATTTTTTTAATTCAGAGTTTTACATCAAGTAAATGAGTTTGTTCCGTGAGGTTTTATTGGTAAATGCATGTTCGTCGAAGCAACACAAATTAGTACTCGGAAATGCAGCAAAATGTCGAACTAGAAATTTGCATTAGTTGTTGGTTCGGGGAAAACGTGTTAAATGCAGCTCCTTCATAATGTTAAGTGGTTTACAGATTCTAGGCACATACAGCCGAAACTTATACGAAACACATACTTGAAAATTAAAAATTATCCAACACAAAGGATAAGCGAGATAAGAATAAAAAACGATAGCCAATCCCAATACATGGCCATGGGGAATTATTTAAATTGCTGGGATACTAAGAATGCATTATTATACGCTAAAGAAGTATCGCTAGCAGCGCCACCACTCGGTTGTTATCATCGTAACAAAAGTAAAACTTTTAATAAGCAGCTGTCAAACGCTTTGTTACAAACGAGTGTTTTTGAGAATAAAACCGGAAAATGTTAAAAACATCGAGAAAAAAACCGTGGCTCGATTTGTTGTGTTGATGGGTGTATTTCGAGAGGAAATCCTGGGTTGAGTTTGTACCGGTTTTCCAATAAACAGTGTTAATCTGAATGAAGAAATAAATTGCATACAGTCTCTGTAAATATAAATTGTACCTATTAGATACAATAAATTCACATTTAAGTAGTGATTAACGTGAAAAGTGTAAACATTTCAATTCAGTAAAAATCGTCAAACAAATAAGTCGTCTAAATTTAAACAGCATTTAGCATTATTAAAAGCGTTGATTAAGAAATTTCTTTAAAATGTCCAAATTTAAATATAAATTATATTAGGTAAAGTTATCATTAGTTAATTCTGCACCAACAAATGTACTTACCGAATTGGATCCTTTGGCAAAACATGAAAATGCATGATTTAGTTCTTGAATTTTATTTACAATTAAAAACACAATAATTTACCATGATCCCTTAGATAAAATACACACACTAACGTAACTATATAAGCATTTAAGCGTTGAGTTGCTTAATCAATGATATAAGGAGTAATCAAACGAAATCGAGTACTAAAAAAGTTTTTTAATTTTTTCCTTGCAACGTAAAACACAAATAACGTGCGCGATTTAGCTCTGCAATTGAACAAAATTTGTCGAGTAATCTCTTTTTTGAAAAAACTACTATTTATTTAAAAATAATGTATAATCTGTGCTTTAAATGTATTGTTGACAATTCTTAAATTCACGCAAACCCGATACTTCTTTAGCGTATTTTGTTTGTTTGTCTAAATCCAAGTTTGTTAATTTTGGGGTACCTCAAGGAACTGTATTGGGTCCTATTTTATTTTTACTGTATGTTAACGATATCGTAGATTGTCAATAAATTTAAAATTGTGTTATTTGCGTATGACACTATGTTTTATGTATGTGGCAAAGACTTAAAACAAACACAACAGGATATGAATAAAGAGTTGCATAAAATATTTACGTGGATCTGTGATAATAGTTTATGTTTGGCAAAAAATCTAAATTAAGTCGTGCTCCTTAACGTAGTAGAACAGCGAAAAATAAAGAAGCTATTTTCAATGCCTTAGATGCAAATAGTAGGAAGAGCATAAGGGAAGGGAAGAACTAACTTACATGTTTTCCAGTTTGTTTAGCGGCTGAAGCAGTTTCTTGTCCAAAATTCTAAACTTATTATTTTCCAATTTCCTAAAACACAATGTATTCGATTATTCCATCTCACCCAATTTAACACTTAAATTAGCTGATGTTAGAAAAGTTGCAAAATCAAAACTTGGCTAACAAGATAAAAACTTTTCGTACTTACAGCGAAGTCAAATTTGGGACGTCAGTAAAGACGCCCAGTTCCATGGACTTTATAAAATTATCGTTCAAACTCCTGAAAGCGATAAGGATAAAATTATCTCACAATGAATCTCTAAGGAGGCTCGATACATGGGGGAACACCTTTTTTCGGGTCCCCCAGCGTTTCAACTTACAAGGACTGAAGTTTGTCGAGATTAAGGAAAGTTCCGTTTCGCAGCTCGGTAAGCCTGTTGTCGGAAAGGTGCCTGAAAAATTTTTAAAGGAAAAATCACTGAAAGATTTTATACTTCGTTTCGAATGGCTTTTAAGTGAGTAGCTACGCTCGAGAGACGTAATTGTCTTCAGCCAAGTTAATTTCAGCAAATTTATCAAATAGACTATTAACCTAATGTTCCATGCAGAGTTATAATTATGGACAAAGGTGGCAGTTTTGTTAAATCGAGTTTTGAGCAATATTGGCTCGTGTTTATAGTTATAGTTATTTTCCTCTTATTGTCCATGAAATATAAAGGTGTATTAAATTTTAGTTTTGCTATTGCTTCTTAAAACCGTAATCACAATATCTTATTTTTATTACACAAAATTTTAAAATATTAAAACTTATACTGTTATTACTATGGTCAAAATGCAGCGTTTTGCGGAAAAAATTCAATAACTGTTTTATTACAAATAAATATTAATTTTTTCTTTTTTTTTTAATGTGTTAGTTAAATATGAGTTATTACGTATAATAAACTATATTTTAATCGAAAATTTTAAAGGTTTTTATTTTTTAAATGCTTTTTTAGATTATCCTAAAGCACTGTTTTGCAGAAATAATTCACAAACTTTTTTATTAAAAATAAATATATTTTTTTTTACTGTATTATATAACGATTATTAAGTATATGAGGTGTGTTCAGAAAATATTGGGAATTTTCGTTTTTTGAAAAAAATATTTATTTATTCGTCTACATTAATGTTATCGCCTTCACAATAGTCCCCATTGGATATTATGCACATGTGCCAGCTCTTCTTCCAATACTCTAAACACTTCTAAAACTCGATCTTTGGGATAGCCTTTAGTTCTTTCAGCGATGCGCTTTTAATGTCATCTATGCTTGTAAAACAACGCCCCTTTAAGGTTCTCTTTATTTTTGAGAATAGGAAAAAGTCAGACAGAGGCATGTCTGGCGAATGTGGAGGCTGGGGCATCATTACAGTATTGTTTTTGGACAAAAATATTGTTCAAAATTTAACAATTTTGGAACAAATTTTGCTGCCACGCGTTTCATACCCAAAACATTCGACAAAATTTCATGAGATGAGCCAATCGATATACCAACATCATCAGCGACTTTTCTGATGGTTTATAACCATTTCTTCCACTTTTTACATGTTTTTATGGGTTGTTAATGTGCTTGGGCCTTCGGGGCGTTTGTCATCTTCAACGTCTTCACGGCCATCTTGGAAACTCTTATACCACTTGTAAACTCTTGTTTTACTTATAGCAGACTCACTATATGCCTTTGTTAAGATTTCACAGAATTTATTTAATTTTTTAAGCAAAATTTGATACAAATTCTTTGATCCATTTCTTTCGAACGAACGAAAATCGCCGAGCTCATAAAACACGTCTAACCTTAGCGGTTGCCACAGACAAAGTAAACGATGAAAACAGCTAAAGTTTTTATCATACTTCGGGGACATGTAACATAATAAAGAAAATTTTATGACAATCGGACCCTCCGAACCCGCGAAATTTAACAATTTCCGTTATTTTCTGAACACACCTCGTAATTACCTATATTTCAATAAAAAAACATAAAGGTTTTTATTGCAAAGAAATATTTATTTTTTTATTTTTTACTGTGTTTAATAAGTCTAAATAGGTACAATTAACTATATTTTATTAAAAAAAATTAAGGTCATTATTTTTTAATGCCTTTTTAGATGTTCGCGGTGAAACGATTGCAAAAATAATTCAATAACTTTTTTATTGTAAATCAACACATATTTTTTTGTCTTTTTTTGTTTGTCTTTGTCTTAAACTTATGTATATAAAAATGTTAATTTAATTTTTTTAATAACAAGTGTGAATTGATTTTCATCCAAATTTAGAAATCTTCTCTTTAAATTTTCAGAAAATAGTCGTCTTTGCCACTATTTAAAAATAGTTGTGTTAAAAACTGAAAAGAAACGCAGAAAGTACCTACTCACTTTGAAAAATCACAAAATGCAAGAATCTAAGTTAAATTTGCTTTCGCTATATAAGTAAAATATTATTACCTTATAGGTAAATGAGCAAATAATGTTTTACAATAGTTTTTACCTTTATTAATTAAATTAAATCAAATCAAAACATAATTATTTAAAAATAATTCTTTACCAAAATGTATTGCTTTAAGATGTTTTTAAAAATCTATTTATTAAGTTTTTTTTGGTAAATTTAAATCTAAATTATTATTAAAATACATTGGTAGGAATGGTTTAAACACGAAATAATATATTATTATAATGGAATTTAAAGGCCATTTTTTACAACCCATTAGGTGTTGGAAAATGGTAGAATTGGCATACAAATTTTTGTCAACATTCACAACACAGTTTAGCAATAATAAACGATAACATCCCGCGTGGTCTTAGCAACTTATACTTAGTTGGTTTTACTTAATAAATGTAAAAGGAAAAAGTATATTTATTCGCAATAAAAAGTTATTGAATCGTTTCCGCAAAAATGTGCTTTTTGATACAGTGAGGCGCATTCACCATTTTTGACAATTAAAAAAATGGCGGATGCGCAGGGATTTTACTAACGGTATTATAAACAGTCCTAAAAAAGGCAAAATATTTATTACTGAATTTAAATAAACTTCGTTAAGTGAGTATAAAAAGCAGAACTATAATAATAATTATTGTTTTAGGTCAATGTTTTTCGTGTAATTTAAAATCCTCTATTTTTTTTTTAATTAAGTGCAAGTCCCATTTTTAGAAGACATTTAAACCGTATACGTTATACGCTATGGCGGGTCAGTTATCCTTAATTGTTTTCTTTCTATTTCCAAAGGAAAGAAGCTTGAGGATAATGTAGGTTAATTAAAAGCGCTTTCGAGTCTAATTAGTAGAAGTATTTGTAGCGAAATGCAATTATACACCGTGTTTTTAGACACACTGAGTTTTTTGCACCACTTCCTTTTTCCTCAGTTTTTAGAGATTTTAAATTAGGTATTATCTTATCAAAGTTGCTTAACAGTTAACTAATGTTGTTTTACAAACTAATTAAGTAGATTAAGTAGATTGTATAAGTAGGCAATTTAAGGATACCTTGTATAAAACAATAAAAAAATTATACTTTTTTAGATTGTATCACTCTTGACGAATGTGTGAATATATGATGTCAAGTGAAAACGATTATTTTTTATTTTTGGTTGTTTCACTGGTAGTCTAGAATGGGGTTTTTGGGAAGCCACCAGGTCTAGTAATAACATAACATAAGTGGTTCTGTTTTTTTTAAACATCCCTTTGAAATAAGTTATTGTATCTTTTGACACCTTAATATTTTTTAAAAATACAATTGCACATACATAAAATATTTATAAAAAAATCTACTGACTGAGATATTACACTTCACGGTGGATAGGTTTTTGAATAGCAAATTAACGAACTTAAACTTTTGAATTATAAAACAGCAACACTCTCATCTGCATATAAATTCTAACTGACCTTCAGGAATCACATGCATCTAAAATATCGTAAACAGAGGTTTTTGCTTATTTAAAATGATTAAAGCGCCATCCGCTGCATAAAATTTAAAGCAAAAACAGATTCACGGAGGATAGAATCAATTTTTGTAACACCTACATAAATGGTTAAAAAAATTATTTCTTTTTATTTTTAATAAATTTTAAATAGTGGAATTAGCTTTTTAGGGTTGGTGTATACAAATGATCCTTTTTCATAAATAAAATGATTAGAAGATATCTGAAGCTACAGGATACATTTTTATGCATATACTTTATTTATTATGAGAACGCTTCAAGATGAGGGTAAATATATTCAAATTGGGTAAATTTCCCTTGTTAAATATATTTCATGTAAATTTTAGTGCTAATATTAAAAAACGCAACAATAAAGTCTAATTTAAAAATTCCATAAATACATTCTTTGACAAAAGTGGCATATTTAATATTTTTTACTCCCACCTTTAAAACACTCATTATCGTACATGTTTCCATGACACTAAGAAATCGTTTACACATTGACAAGCTTGATGGCGTTTTAGGGCTTTAAATTAGTTGTAAATGTCATAAAATCGTAAAAATAAAGTGCCTTTTTGTGAAATATTACACGGTACGACAAAATTTGATTTTTTTCCCTCCCATGAAAAATTTCTATAGATTTTGAAAATAGACTTAAAAAAATGATACCCGTGTCTTGTTGTTTTTTCAGATCACGTCTTTTTTTTAAGTTCGATCCAATAAAATGTTATCCACGGTATTCGGCACATAATAGCTTCAATAACAGCTAAGCAGTATATTTTTATGAAAAATGTATTTAATGAATAAATGGACAACCATTAGGATTATTTATTTATTTTAAAATTATTTTAATTATATACAGGGTGTTGCACATTTACGAAATACGGTTGTTTCACGTTCGTGGTCCATTTAGAGTTTCTGAGGAACGGCAAAAGATATCGATTTGAAATTTGTAAAGCGTTTATAATCCAATTAAGCCTATTTTTCTAAAATATTTTAAACAAAATAAAATTACTGTACCATGTCCTATACTGCCGTCCTAAGCGCAGAAGCGGTAACTGCACATTTTAAGGAAATTGACATTTTTCCGTAATATGAACCTAGGGTTAAAAATCTCTACTTTAATAAGGTATTAAATCGGTATTTTGTCAGTAAATGATTGAAATATCAAGTTATTTTTAGCGGTGTCTGTTACCAAACTGAGTTGGCAGAGCTATTAACATAAAAGTACCAATATCTCATGACAGCCATTATGTTAATTACCGCTTCTGCGGTTAGTACGGCAGTATACCTAGAGTAAATAGTTTTGGATTTATTAATTTTTTCGGTTAAAATATGACAAATGCGCGTCAATCAAAAATAGCCTATACTACTACTACTACTACTACTTTATTGCTATTAGGTTTGTAGAAATTGGGGTGGAATTTTTGGAATCTTAAAAAATTGTTTAAAAGATTCCATATCAATTTCTTAACATACCGGGTGTTTAAAATAAAAAAGTTATTAAC